TTCAGCAATGCTGAAAAGACATTTTACATCAGGTTTACTATTGGAAGAAATATCGTTGATAGAAAAGTTCAAGGTAAAAATCTCACGATCATGCCTATGATTTTAAAATATATTTTTAAAGTACAATTTGGAAATAAAGGCTTTATGTGTTAATCATCAATCGTTGATATCTTTATTACCGTAGGAGAGAACCCATTACCACTCTGCACCCACATTCCTATATTTGGGCATATGGTCCATGTATGTATTGAATTTCACCAGATCAAGATGGATAACAGGAGACTACAAGGATGTGTCTATCTGGCTGCCACTGGAATTGCGGAGCGAAAATTTCAAATCGGTTGCTTCAAACTGCTGACACATCTTCTAAAAGACGAAACTGAGATTTTGGTGTTTGAGCGGAAAATTGTCATTGAAAATTAACAGTTTCATAAATTAGAACTTGAAAAAGTGTAAGATATGAACTTGTTAGACCTACATCCATTCTTTTACTAAAAAAAACCTTTTTCCGAATTTTGAAAGCTCCTTAACATGTATTACGATCAAAAGGCCTGCTTAATATATTCATAGAAATAGCATTAAACATTTTATTTTTGAATTAATTACTTTTTGTTGGATGTTCAAAGGCGTTGTGCTAGGGTACTTAAATTATTAACAGATTCAATATAAAGTTACAACATCTCTAAAAAAGTTTTAATCCTTACAGGAGGAGTAAAACCTCGCTAATTTGTAAATTAAGAAAAAATAGAATTGAAATGTTATATATTAATACTGAAGATATCTTGATGTAATTAAAATATATTTCCTTTTTACATATACGTGTTTATTCATGCCTGTTTAATTGTAATAAAAAAATTTAGACTTGGTTTGAAAATAATAAATACGTCGAAGTTCATTTTACTGTGCCTTAGCGCCTGTGCAACAATTAAAGTATAAACTGATCACGTCGTAAAGAGCAAAGCAATGTGCACATGTCTAATTACGTGGAATGCATGGTACTTTTCGGATTAAGGAAAATGCTTTAATGGATGAAATTGATTGAAAAAACTTTCGTTAATATTTTTGAGAATCTTGTCAAGAATGGCATGTTTGAGATGATAATTGCAACTTTATGAAGGACTAAAGCATTATTATAAAACATTAAGTTTGCTGAAACTTAAGATCTGATGATGTTTTAATACTTAAATCATTTTTTTTTTCAAGTTATTAACGGAAAATTAACATTAACATTATTCATGTTCGTGTACATAATAATACATGACATGAACTTTTCTCAGCCTGCATCAAACATCAATTAATTCTTTTACTTCGACACCCTGGAACACCTTTGAATTGTTCTTATTATGAATCACTATTTAACGTGAAAAAATTAAATATGAGAACAACATGTATTAATCATGTTTCTAGAAATATATAAGTGTATTGTACATATGTCAGAACTTTATTTGTATATATGCAGCTCAGCTCAACTCAGGACATACCCAATATCCATGCAGTGTGCTATTTACTTTGGTAAGGATGCTACATATATTAACCCAAACTCTCAATCATTTCCGTTTTTATTCAGTCACATGGTTTATGCTATTAATGTCACGTATTTTTTCGATAGGAGTTCTTACTATAAACAACTGTCATTTGTATGGAATATATATGTTATCTTTCAGATTATAAGTTTATTGTTTCCATTTTAAAGTAGTTGCAATTTTTTTGTCCTCAGTTAATGTCATTCGTGACACACTTTGAGTATATAACATCCAAATTCTTCAATGGATGATTGTATGACTTTGTCATCCATGGGAAGTAGATTATTTGCACATTTCCTTTCGAATTTTCATAATAATATTCTTGTGTTAAAAGGACATACATTTATTAAAATGTGACTTTGCTCTTTCTTTACTTTGATGAGGGTCTTAAGTTTTACATCAGATTGTTTGTCATCACATAACATTATAAACAAATTTAAATCTTCGTTCTGACAAGTAAAAATATCATGGAACTTTCTTTTTTTAAAAAAATTAGTAAAGGCACCTGATTTTTTTATTGTATAATCATTAATCGATCGTAATTTTTTTTAAGGAAGTTGCCCCCCCCCATTTTTGAAACCGTTGCTTCGGGCCTGCATTTGATAAAAATATTATCATTCTTAAAATTACACTATTTTCAGGCAGACCACTGTTTGAAAGTTATTGAATTATGCAATGTGAGAATTTCTAATATATGTATTAATAAATAGCCATAATTCTCACGATATTCCACGATAGGATGTCCTTTTATTTCAAGCACATAAACACTTCATCCTCAACATCTTCCTAATAACTTTATCACAAATTTTAATTTATTGATACATATAGTGATATACATGATTGTTTAAAGGAATTTCCTTTTTGATTTTCAAGGATGCATGTATACTTTTTGGAGAAGGAATTATAGAAGGTTCCAAGTGGTCATTTCAATTTGAAAATCGGGATAATTGAGCGTTGAAAATTATTATCCCCTTGCAACGAAGTTTGAGAGGATGTAACAACGCGCTTGTGTGTGTTTGTTGGGGGATAGGGGTGGGGGGTGCGTAACAAACGTTACACACGGATTCGATGTGCTCTTTTGCGAGGCCCGGCGCTCCGTCTTGCGGTGCCCTTGTTTCACTTGCCTTGCCAGCATTTATGATAAACCATATTTCTAGTAAAGAAAAAAAAAGCATACTATTAGATTCTTAATAGAATCTCATTCACAAATAAATGAAAATGATTTAGAATGAAGGTGATGGAACGCATATTCATATAAAAAGATTATATTCTGTATGTTGAAGCTAGAAAAACTTACGCAGTTTTGAAGAAGTGATGCAACACTTTGTTTTAATCAATGGCTTAAAAGATATAAATATGCATGTATCTGTACATCCTCACAACGTCAGGGGGCCTGGGTAAACACTTTGCTATTTGACAGCAAGGTGTTGACTAGACGTTGTGAGGATGGTATCTGTAAGTTTTATTGATTAGAAGCCTCACAAATATAATTTAATATAAAAACAAAAGAGAGTTGACTATGACGTACTGTAAACTTTTTTTTCAATTTCGTGCAACAGTACGAGGGTTGTCCGAAAAGTTCGTGGACTGATGCAATAAAATTAATACTATGTAGTCTATGCTTACAAAATTTTTAATGAACATAAAACAACGAAAGTTAAAGAAATGTTGAAAATTTTATCTTGATACCTTGAATATGAATCAAATTATCATAAAATAAAAAAGACACTATATGATCACCCGGCGCTGTCGCCATTTAGTTTCATGACATCATGAATTTTCAATGTTTGCATTCTCTACCTCAGGCACTTATCTTGATGAGTTTCCTTGGAGTTAAGTAAAGATTTAAACCTGTCTTGTTTATATGATATTACAATGTCATAAAGAGCTGATTTCAATGCATATAATATTGTAAATAGATCTGAAAGATCCTAAATTGATTATAACAGCATATTTGCTCACACATGATCAACGTCACTTTTCAACGTGACCAACTTTGAACATCCTTACTACAAATCGACGTTAACTTTTACATCTCTCGTCTCTCGAATTTTTTTCGGCATTTTTAAAAACAGGTAGTCTTAATGCATTTTATTTTTCAGTAGCCCATTTAAATATTTCCTAGGTCTATGCCAGTTTTTCCAGAGGTTAAAACTTTATAGAATGTTGGAAAAAGAAACCCACCCCCCTTTCTGACGTCATTACAACCCCATAAATTTTACGATAAAATTTCATAGAACTTACAGAATGGGGAAAATTGCAAATTTTACGGTACAATTGTGTCATATCACATGAGTGAATTAACGGGATTTTTCAATGACAAATGCTCATATCAAAAAAGGAGTTTTTTCTAAGTTACACTTAGGTAGAAAAAACGTAATCTTCGAGGATGCGCCGCCTGGACATACCATTGCTTTCAAAAACATCAACAATTTATTAAAAAATAAAGCTAATGATGTAAAGTTTATTATATAAATAAAAAAGATGATGCTAATTATACCTTAAAAATTCATTGATGTATCTTAAGCGGTTTTAATTTTATGGCGCTAGTCCAAGAACTTTCCGAACAACCCTTGTATGCATTTATTGACTAGGTTCGATCAAGGACAGCAAGCGTTTGTCGGACTCCTGAACCTAATTTGCCTTAGGCCGAAGGCCAACAGTTTGGTTCGAGGGTTCGAAAAAGCGCCTTTGTCCAAGAACACAGTCAATAATTGTTTTGTTATACCTTTTACCTTTAATTATATCGGTTTCAATGTATGTGATGGATATGACATTTAAAAATCGATTGTTTGAACCACTCTAAAACATGATTTTTTTTTTTTTTTTACCTTTTTTTGGTATGGATTTATACAGGAAACAATTCTTAAAGAATAATATTCTGTATTATGATAAGTCCGGCTGAAGTTCTCTCTTTTAGCATCACTCGAAAACCTGATGTAAATTGGTTTGCTTTCTAGAGAATCGGCATTGGTGTGTCTTATATTTATAATGACCAGGTTTTATTCAATATGCAAGGCCCATCCTGCAAGGGAGTTCAAGTCCTGATAATATTTTTTTTTTCTAAGCTACGATATAGTTGAAGGAAAATAATAGCAAGGACGGCTTTCACTAAAACTAAAACTCTGATTTGTCCTGCAGCTATTATAAATAACGTTGCAATTTGACCATTCATCAATGTATGGTCGAACGATATTTCCATGCAACAGATGCAGATATTAAAATTATCATTTGAACTTTTTTTTTCTAAATTTCCTTTATATTTGTTATTATCTTGTTTTAAGAGGGAATAAATTGAGGCAATGCTAAAATCCTCCTTAGCATTTTGTAAAATAATTTGGAATTCTCTAGAATATTGAAGGTTTCCTTATTTCCAATTCAAGTATCGTTTGCATAAATAAAAATTTCCTTACTCACAAACACCATTTATCCATAGGAAAAAATATTGAGTTTGGTTGGACAGAGAGACGTTTTAGGATGAAGTTGATCTTTCTTTGCTTTGTTGTTGCGTTCTGTAATGAGAAAACATATGGTAAGTCACGAAGAGCTTGATTTTATTCTAGCCTAATGCAATATATGTATTATACTAGTATACTATTTTTATCAACACAGTTTGAAGAATATTCATAAATGATTGTAATTGGTTTGTTTACAAGGTGAAGAATTCTTCTTGGATGAGTCTCTTGAAGGTAGTGTCATGGAGTACTTTTCTGGAGATGACGGTTGCCACTGTGAGCTGAACGAATGCAGCTGTTGTAAAACCCTGAGTTTGCCAGTGGTTCAGATATCCAAAGAAGGTATTGTTGATATAAATTGTTTCAAGATTCTTTCTTTCCAGAAATCATATAAGAGTTAACAGTATTAATCAGTGATCATAACTTACAGTTTGTATAAGACTGGAGTTCAAGAACGCTGAAAACGCATTTTACGTCAAGTTTACGCTTGATGGAAGTGAGATCTTTGACAGAAAAGTCCAAGGTAAAAATCCTTATCTGTGAAATATTTTTTTTTGAAAACTACAGTGTATTTTAAAATGAAGGCCTGGTGATTTTTTAATCAAAAATCACATCTTAATTACCATAGGAAAGAACCCAAGGCCACTCTGTGTTAACATTCCACTCTTGAAGCATCTGGTCAATGTATGCATCGAACTCGCAGACATCAAGATGGACACCACCGGACTACAGGGTTGTGTTAATCTTGTTGCGTCTGCTATTGTGGAGAAGAAGTTTCAAATAGGCTGCTTTAAAATGCCGACAGCTTTTCTAATAGACGATGATGACGTTTTGGTGTTTGAGCGCAAAATTGAGATCAGAAATTAATGGTGTCATAAACTGAAGTCATTATGTGAAAATTGTATACTTGTTAGACCTAAATACATTCCTTAAATTAAATGTATTTAAAATTTTAAAAAATCATATCGTTATTTGGGAAGTTTTTTTTCCACAAAACTAGACCTTACTTCTGTATTTTCCTATGAAGGGTTACTTTGTAAGTAGAAATGCTATTGGCACTTCTGATCAAAATTGGTGCAAAACCAAAATTGTGAGATAAGTGTAGCATCATGTTTCTAAAAATAGATAAGTTGCCTCATACAAAGGTTCATATCTCATATGTATGTCCAGCTCAACTTATATTCAATGTGCTATATTTATATTGGTAAAATTACAGTAAATCCCAAGTCTCAATCATTTCCCTATTCCCAGTAATTTGCTGGTTGATTTTCCTTATGACAAGCTGTTCCTAGAACTAGAAGGATTGATTAGTTTTGAATCTATATCATAAAGCATTAACATAGGTATTTTTCCACTATGCAAAGACATTATGACAGTCATGAACTGTGATTAAGAACTGTGATAGCTACAAAACCTTTACGTAGGGTTTATTCTAAGACTGGCCTAGTTTCTAACAAAGCAAAAAAATGTTAGATTTTTGTACTTTTTCAATGGATATTCATAAATTTCAATAAACATTGAAAGGCTCTTGCAATTAAATATATTAAGATATATAGATGACCATAAATGCATACACATGAGATTAAATTTTGAATTCTTCCCATTTCTGTCACAATGTAACAAATAGATTGTTCTACTCCAGTGTTTCCAAAGAACTGGAGTTCTATTTCAAATATTCAAATTCAAATAAAGCAGACGTCATCTTCTTTTGACATCATTAATATTTTTGGTATCAATATATCCGCCATCCTTTACTGTTTTAGGAATAACATATTGTGTAAACCTAGAAAGTAACTCTATGTTTGAACTAAACTTCACTCCAACTTAAAGAAATAAAAGTAATCATATGCTCGTGGTCACGCAGAATTTTATCAACTGCAGGAAGGATTACTGTGGTAAAATCATTGATTCTTCCAAAAATTACACACTTGTTAATTAGTTTACCAACTTCCCCAAAAGAAAAATTAAAAGAAATTGAAAATATTTTTTATCAGTAAATATGGAACTTTAAAACTCCAAGAGTTGCAAAGAGTGATATTATTCAAAACTACGATAATGGAGGTTTCCATATGATTTGTCTTGAAACTTTTGCTAAAAGTTTGAAAGTTACATGGGTTCGCCGCTTTTATGATGATACATGTAAATCCGGCTGGAAACACTTGATAATTGAAACTTTGCCTAATGTATCACAGATAACAGTTTTTGGACCTTCTTTTTTGCAAAAGCTTATTAAAACCAGCACAAATATTTTTGGATTGATGTTTTTTCAGCTTTTTTAGAATTAAGAAAGTGTATCGAGACTCACTGTAATTTGATTCCTGTGTGGTTTAATGAATCAATATGTATTAATAGCAAAAGTGTATTTTATAAACAAAGGTTTGAAAAAGGTGTTTGTTACATATTAGATTTTTACAATTACACTGGTGCATTAATGTGTTATGGAGAGTTCTGTAATCGGTACAATTTCTATCCACCATTTACCTTGTATTACGGGATTATAAATAGTATAAAGAAACTAGACCTCTATTACAATACAGAGTATATTGTTAATAACTTCCCTTTTTACCCACAATTTTTGCAAATAATAAGAAAAAGTAAAAAGGGTTCAAAGGATTACTACAATGTATTTTTGAATCATAGTTGGAAAAAACCTAAATGTGAAATGAAATGGGAAAAAGAGTTTAATCTAGATGTGAACCGTAATTGGTGGAAGACTAAAAATAGTCTTATTTTTAAAGTTACAAATGACATGCAAATTACATGGTTCCAATACCGCATTATGCACAGAATTCTTGCAACAAACATATTTTTAAACAAGATTGGGATTGTAGAATCAGAATTGTGTACTTTTTGTAATGTACATCCAGAAACACTGGGACATTTACTTTGGGAATGTGAATATGTAAGTAAGATCTGGGGAAAAATTCAAGATTGGATAAAAGATATATCTTGAATTGATATTGCAAATAATGAATTGGACATTATTATTGGAAAATATGATAAGTATTATAACATTGCAAATCTGATAATATGTATTGTAAAGAAGCACATATACCGAAAAAGATGTTTAAAACACATTCCTTCATTTGAAGGAGCTAAAAATGAAATTTTGTATTATTATAAATGTGAGAAATATATTTACAAGAAAAAATGTGATATTGAGAAATTTGATAGAAAATGGAACTGTCTACCATTAGAACAAGTCCCGCATAATTGTTCTGTTTGAGCTGAACCCCCCTGCTGCTCAAACTACTTATTATTGAAACAATGATTTTTTTTTTGTATAATTTAGATAATTAAGCTTGCATATACATGTCTTGTATGACTGAGGTGTGACTGTTGTTTTTTCTTTCTTTTTCTTTTTTTTTTTTTTTTTTTTTTGTATATAAAAATTCACCTGTCACAGGATGTATGTTTTGTATAAGAACTTTGTCAAATTAGTTTGCAGAATCCAAGGCTCCCCAACCTTGGCTGTAAACTTATTGATCATCATATTACTGTGATGGGGTATAATAAAAAATTTGAAATACATACATACATATATATATATATATATATATATATATATATATATATATATATATATATATATATATATATATATATATATCCACCATCCAATTAAGGAATCACTGTCTTGTTTGTTGGGTATGCCAGAGCATCATAACGACAATTGAAAACGAGGGATAATTTGCATTACTATCGTTTATGTCCCTGCCATACCCTAGTTTTAGACATTGATTCCTTGTATTTACATTTTATATGTGAAATAAACAGGTAAATATAAATTTTAAAACTGCTGTCTAACAAAAAAGGCATTCCATGTTAATTTCATTAGTCCCCGCCCACTGACGTCAGACACAATTACGGCTGCGGCAGATTGACATGCATATAAGGCACTTGACCTTTCAGCGCAATTTACATTCAATTGTAAATATTGAGAAATCAATACACTTAATTTTCAGAAAGTTATCGCAGAGAAAACAGTTTGAAATGTAAATATTATCGAATAATGACATTTCCATTTTTTTTCTTCAGCGGCAGTTTTGAATATGCTACGGAATTGACCAATAGGAATTATGAGATTAAAAAAGTCTACATCTTTGATCACCTAGTCGAGAAAACATTTTTATTCAATGGCCCAATTAAAGGAAAAACTCAATAGCTAGATAAGACAATTAAAATATTTTATTTGTTTTTTCGGACGGGAAAAAAGCGGAGCATTTTGATGATTACCATAATCTTTTTTGCGTAAGCAGAGAAAATGTGATAGGTCATTTTCGCAATTAAGATAATCAGTTGGGAAAATGAAAAAAGGACATACCCCCTGCTATATATGTTGACTGCATTATCCACTGTAAGACCACACTCAACTGTTCAAAAAATCGGACATGAACTGTTTGTTCCCATTATAAACATCTGTCGAAGTAAAATTTTACCTTCCAAGAAAGTCTAATAAATGATAGTAAGATGGGTTAACTGAAATTATTCGAAAAGCATCTTCAATATCAGTTTTTGCCATCAAGCTGTGCATACATATTTTTGGACTATGGTGTAGTTTTTGACAAGGGGGCTGCTGGAGTTGCAACACAACCTAGGGAAAACCCATATGTAAACCCATTTACCAAACAGGCCTTCGATTCTGCATTATACCTATCTAACTTCTTGTTCAGAATTTCCCTTTACTGACTTGGCAGTTCTGTTTTCTTGAAGTCATAGGATTGGAGAGAAACATTTATATTAATTTTTTGGGTGTTGTCCCTTATTCGTGTGGGATAATTGCCCTTTTTTGTATTTTCCACCTGGTTGAATGCGAAGCAGAAGCGGACTCTTCCCACTTGCTTGCCACGAAAGGACTGCCAAAAATAGATTGGCTTTATGGACAAGGCATTACATTTACATTTTAATTCTTCTACTGACTTTTGCCATGCTAAAACTATCGATTCCTTTGATTTCCTAAAGAACTCATCATAAGCCCTCTATTCTGCATAGCCATAGAGCCTGATAAGGCTGATGTGTTTCAGCAAATTATTTTTTCAAGGAAGAATCATTCTTTCCAAACGAAAAAAAAATCAAATTGGAATAAAACTAGTTATAATTGTAACGGAGACCGTTACAGATGTTCCCCAAAAGCCCCCCAACTCCTTTGTGGTGACTTATTCCCTGTAAGCTTCATAAAATAAGGCAATCCAGTATACTGGTTGTTTTACGCGTCACACCGGCGCGCACGCGCATGCATGTGTATCGTGACCATGTTATATTGTCTATAATATTAATACATGCTTATATTCTGAGTATCAAAACATTTCATCAAAAAATATATCAGTTACGGTAATATCTATTATATTGGACATTTAAGCATTGCATGTGCATGATGACCATTTCATTTTGTTTACACTATTAATATATCTCTATATTCAAAGTATCAAAGCATTTTATCAAAAAATATGAAAGTTACGGCTATATCAAATATATTGGTCATTTTAGCATTGCACTTGCGTATGTGCATGCATGTGCATTTTGACCAAATCATCTTGTCAATGCTTTAGATATATCTTAATGTTCTGAGGATCAATACATTTATTCAAAAACTATAAAAGTTACATCTATATCAAGTATATTGGTCATTTTAGCATTGCACGTGCGCGAACGTCCATGCATGTGCATGATGACTATATCATCTTGTCTTCATTATTTGAGTTTCAAAGCATTTCATCAAAAATATAGTAATGGCTATATTAAGTATATCAGTCATTTCACTCATTTCATGCGCACGCACGTGCATGCATGTGCGCGCAAAATGACCTTCGTTCCGCACATCTACACAATATGCCTGTTAACCTTAAAAAGTTTCATCTCAATTGGATGAGAGCCCTCGAGGACAAAAGAGTAACGGAGAAGAAATTTTGAAAAAAGAAAGTTAAAAACAATATGTTCCCAAACTTCGTTTGGGAACATAATAAAAAGAGAGATAATAGTTGTTATTAATATTATAATTATTCAGACGTTCGTTAAAACGTATACGCATGTATTTCATAATGACCTTTTAAAGAAGTATCTGAGTATGAACAATTTCTAAAACGAGGTAAGTTAGTGACAAACAAGTTGATGAAACAAGAATATCAACTGTCTCGTTTAAAATCATCATTTCGCAAGTTCTATGGTCGATATAATGACCTTGTCAGCAAATACAATCTATCGACGGATTTTTCCGTTATTTCCCGATCATGACAAGGAGCACACGGCGAGTGAGACCGGTCGGCAGGGGATGCTCATTTCTCCATGGCACCTGATCCCACCTCTGATGTTTTTGGAGGTCCATGTTTCCTCTGCTCCTGATTTGTATTGTTTTAATGGATTTTAAGCTTGAATACTGTTCATTATCTCCATATTTCATTTAAAGGGCTTCAAAATTAACACAACAGCTTAGAAGTGTTTACAATCAGTATTTCTATTCTGAAGTCTTTACAAACCAATTATTGTGATGTCATTACGTCCTCAATCATTAAATTCGTGATGCATTTTAAGTATAAAGTATTAAAGTTCCAACTTTTCAGTGGATGATATACAACACACGTGAGAAAGGATATTATTTTGCACTTTTCTTTTCGAATTTCCTAATAATTGTTCTCGTGATTTAGGGACATTGAAATGTGGTCATTACCAATATCTTCCTTAACAATTAAAATTTTATAGCTTTATAAAGGTTTCCTTATTTCCATTTTAAGTACGATTTTCATATATAAGTCTTTCCTTAATACAAACAATCATTCTTGCAATGAGAAACTATCAAAGCCGGTTGGGCAAACATTTTACGATGAAGTTAATCCTTCTTTTTCTTGCTGTTGCTATGATGTATGAGAAAACATCTGGTAAGTGCTGAAACATCTGATTACAACTTAGACTGCTGCTATGTTTTCTCATCCCTGCATGTACATCTATTTCTGTAGGTTTGTCATTTTCTTAACTCGGGTGTAATGTGGGACTGTGCATCATCTACAAACATGTTATTAAGGACTTATGACACTCTGCTCTAAATTTCACATTTTTTTTAAAACTTCCTAACATTGATTTTCGTCAAGAGCTCTAGCATTAGACTCAGATGAAAAATAGTGTGAGGTATGAAGCGCTGCTTATTTTGTCAGAAATGATTTTTATGTCAGACCATGATATGAAGAAATTTTAACACAGAGAAAAGAAAGAGTAATAATTTATTATCACAACATAAAATTTAAAATATGAGATGTATATGAAAATAATATTTAGTGTCATATCTTTTAAATTCATATAAGAAAAAATAATAAGGCGCTGCATCGTAAGTCAGAATATCGCAGTGTTATATGTATTTGTAAGAAAAAAATACATTTATTAACAAGAGTTATCTTTCTTATAAATATTCTTTCAATGGAAAAAAATGCAATACTAATAAAAATCCTACATATGGTACTTGATACATTAAAGCATTTTTAAAATAGTCCATTTTAAGATATAAAATCTTCAATTTGTAAGGGTTTTAAAACTGGATTTAAATGTTTTTGTCGAATATAATAAAACAATTAGAAAAGTATAGGCAATAGGAAATAGAATTTAATGTTTCAACACATGCCAGGTTTGATCGAATTGACTACTCAATTACTAAACTCTGGTAAAGAAACTATGAGTAATATTAGGATCTTTTAATTGGAAAGTTACCTCTCTTGTCAGAGGGTCGCTCCCCCTTAAATTTTGGAAAAAGGTGTCTTCATATATTACATTGTGATTCCTCTGTTTACAAGGAGTAGAATTCTTCATGGATGATCCTCTTGAGGGTGGTTTCGTGGAGGACATCTTTGGAGATGACGGTTGCCACTGTCAGGAGGACAAGTGCAACTGCTGTAAAACGCTGAGTTTGCCGAGAATTCAGTTCTCTAAAACAGGTATGATAAAAAAAATATACCCAAATCTCTAAATATCGCATTGTTACGAACTGACTGAAGAACCTAGCGCTAATTTTTTGCAGCTTGTATTTCGCTGGAGTTCAACAACACTGAACAAGCTTTCCACGTCAAGTTTATGCTTGACCAAAAAGAAATTTTCGACAAACAGGTTCAAGGTAAAATAATAATCTTATTTTTGTACACGTTTTGGAAAAAATTCAGTAACACATAATCGTTAAATCTATATTTTCGTATTTATCCTTGTTAAATATTAAAAATTTGTTGAATATAGGAAAGCACCCAAGACCTCTTTGTGTAAGCGTTCCTCTTATGAAGCATCTGGTCAGCATTTGCATTGAACTGTCAGACATCAAAATGGATTCCACTGGACTAAAAGGCTGCGTCAATCTTGTTGCCACTGCCATTCAGGAACACAAGTTCCAAATCGGATGCTTCAAAATGCCGACAGCTTTTCTCAGAGATGATGCTGAGATTTTAATCTTTGAGCGAGAAATCAAGATCAGAAATTTAATGTCATAAATTCAAGACAAAATGTGTCAATACATTGTTTGAAGAATGCATGCGCAAGCAAACGATACAATACACTTACCCATAGCATTCTGATTTTTCTATGGTGTGTCCTTAGAATTTATATCAAGTTCTGTTCTTAATCAGTGTATTTGTCGATTTAGCACTCCTTGTCTGTATATATGCACGATTTAATCTTGGGAAAATTTATATAAATATGAGAGCTCATCTTGAAAGCAACAAAGCATTAATCAGTAAAGTTAAAGATAGGACAAAATAATTTTTTTCCATTTTCTCCTCCTTTAAATTTCAAGAAAGGAAACTCCAATAATTTTCTGTAAGAAATATGGAAAATGGATTTGTAAATGGAAATTTAACATTGTATATGTTCATGACTGTGTACTTGAAATTATTTTTTAATTACATTATATAAAAATTTCATTTTTACGATCTAATAAAGACATGTAGTCATGGAATTTTATAAAATCAAATCAATTATTTTCTTTATTTTAAAATGCACATGTACGGAAGCCCGTTGAGGCCAGTTCAGAGAAAGAAATATTCTTACTGCGTTTAAACGCAATAATTATTGCATTTAAAGGCAAAATACTGTGTTTAATCGCAAAAGATTGCGTTTAATCGCAAAGTATATTGCGTTTCAACACAAAACACTTTGTGTTTATTCGCAAAAGATTGCAATTAAATGCAAAACTTTTGGAATTAAGCGCAATACTTTTTCGATTAAACGCAATAATTTTTGCGTTTAAGCGCAATAATCTTGGTGTCTAAAGGCAATCATTTGTATGAAACTTTGCAGGACACAATGGACCTCTGCATGCTGATATCTTTTAATTCTTTCTCTTTTTTACTTACGAGGAAATTATGTACTGTCTAGCTTTACAGAATCAGATTCTTCCGAGCAAACGCTCTTTGAAACTTAAGGACAAATCACCGATATGAATTTCATGTGAATTTATAGAGGAGAAAAAATGTCGGGTTGTAAAAACAAAGGCAACCTAAGAATAAGCCATGTCTTAAACTTATTAGATCTCTATATTCTTAATGAAGTTTTGGTTAGTTGCTTACAATCATGAATCACATTTTCGACTTTAATACAATTTCTGCAAACAATTAGAAAAATCTAAATAAAAGACTAAAGAAGAAAAAAATGGTTAAAAAACTATCCCCCACGTTTCGGTAACAAAGTTTAACCCACGTATAAAGGGGTTCAGGAAACGACTGATGAAATGTTGGAATTACGTACAATATGAAAATACGGGAAAATACGGGAATCAATCTGTCAGTCCATCACAAAAAAAATTCAACATTAATTATAATTTCTGAATGAGAGTAGAATAGGCTTATTATTTTTAAACGTGTATTACCCATGACAAGACCTTTTTGAATGTACTATGATTTTTGACCTTATGAAAGTGACATTGAATTTCAAAAATGTTAACTTGGCCGTAACGCTTGCACAAGAGCAAATGCTTCTAAACTATAAAGCCTTTTTTAACATGATGGACGGATAAGACATGACAGTCGAGATAGTTACAATATGCCATAAATTAATTTACCACAACCAATCAGACCCTGAAAGCGGGGAACCACAAATTTTGGAATTTTTCTTGTTTCTCACAATTACGTCTATAGCTAACTTTTTATCTCCTTAATTTTATAGTGGAAATTTAAAATAACAATTTTAAAGAGCAACTTATTGAATAAAAGTGGAAATTCTCGGAAAAATTATTATTCATATGATACGGATTTAATTTCAAGACTAGAGAGAATAAACTCTCATTATATCTGAAATTAATTATCCTAAGAGTTCAAGGGTACAGGGGGCAGGTGATCGAGAAAATGTGATATATGGGCAATAGTTTTGTCAATCGATTGCAATCAGGCAACCGCACGTAATTAGTTAAATTGGAATAAACAGGGACGTGAAAGCGATCATAAGTACTTGTAATGAGTTCTTAATTCAAGTATTTTTTCCTAATTATGGTTTGAAACGGGGAAAAATAGAAATAAAACAAGCACTTATTTTCAATAAAGTTAAGTGTAAACAACAACTGCCAAAAAATGAAACTAATTTTCAATATTAGTTGAAGAGGAAGTAAGACTGCATAAGTAATATAGACTAAAAAAATGGATATGATATCCAATATACTGTTATAACAAAATATTCAAACCTTTAAATATTGTTAATTTCACCTTGAAAAGGTATACGAGATGGATTTGAGAATCTGAATCAGGAATAAAATTCTGATTTTAACATGGATTCGAAATGCTAAATAGAATTATTTAAAGTTACGTACATTAACATTTAAGGAAAATTTAAACGTTGTAATATGTCATCCTTTTTGTCAGCTATACGCAAAAAAAAACACCTCAGTTTTACTTCGTTTATTTAGTTAGAACAGCTACCCCCCCCCCCCCTCCTGAAATTGAGATATGGAATGGCAGCCCTATGCAACCAACTCTGCCTAAGCACAATGATATCGCCAATACATTGAAAATTAATTTCATTATAAATTTTTAAATACATTTAAACAAGATGTGTTTGTGAAACACTGATGCCCCCGTATGGCAACTTATATCAAAGGTTAAACTTTCTCAAATGCAAATCAAATATGTTGGTAACCAAAGTAAGGTATTGTCTCGAGGAATATACCTGTGAAATATGAAAGCCCCAGGAGCATGCACTGAATAGATATGGAAAAGGTTAACGTTTTTTCAAAAGTATGTCAAATTCCAAGGTCAAGGTCAAATGGTCAAAATTAATGGTGCCCAAGAAAATGCCTTCTCCCAAAAAATACACAGGTGAAATATGAAAGTCAAAACACCAAACATTCAAAAGTTATGACCAAGGTTAAAGTTTTCCAAAAGTAGGTCAAACTCCAAGGTCAAGGTAAAAGGGTCAAATTTGTTGAAATCCAAAGAAAGGTCTTGTCATAAGGATTACAAATGTGAAATATGAAAGCCCTAGTACCAACCGTTCAAAAGTTATGGCCAAGGTTAAAGATTTTCAAAAGTAGGTCAAACTCCAAGGTCAAAGGGTCAAAGTTGTTGGTATTTAAAGGAAGGTCTTGTCACAAGGATGAAAGAGTAGAAGTTTATATTTGTGAGAATTTAAATGTTCTTTGGACCATGGCATTATGATGCTTGCACTTTGGATGGTTTTTTTTGTACTCAACACAACTGTTATTCTCGATCAATGGTGTTGCAATATTCATTCAATTTTGAATTTCCACAAACATCCATGCCTAAGGCCATGAAAATTTACGGCATTATTTTTTTTCTCTCAGCAATAAGGCAGAGTCCTTTTTTAGCTCATGTGAAGTGAACCCTTTTAAAATTTTTATTTGCCCCGCGGGGCTTTGGTTATATTAAGGTCAGTTCTTCTTTCATTATGTCTAAATAATTTTATTTCTTTAATTTATTTTTATTTATATTGCTGCCAAACGACTTAAAAGTACTTTTTAACAACTCTTTTATTCCTGCATCACTATAATCAGAGTTTCCTCCATGCTGAACAAGGCTATATATTTACGATAAGCAATCACTATTACATGTATGGCGGAAGAATATTGCACGATTTATTAGAATTTCCTTTCATTCAAATCACATGATCATTAATTTCGATTGCTCAATATTTTTGGTTTTAAATCATATTCTGTGCTGAAAATGGCAGGAGCGGCAGTTATTTTGGCAATTTTCATTGTTGTGCTAGCTAAAGCTGAATACATGGTTTCAGCAGTAGGTAATGTTGTATTTTGAATTAAGCAACTCTGAAACTTTGCAACAGAAACAAATTTCAGAAGGAAAAAAAACATTTTTATATTCTGATATCACCATCGGCATCGCCGTTATTAATCATCTATAATATTGGTGTGAGAACGTATTCGTCATTTCAACGTTCCTTTGATGAAATTCACTATGCAATAATTTAGATTTATTCATTTTAAAACTTAGGCAACAGTGCTGATGTTCCCTACGATGTCGGAGAACACTGTGTGTGTTCAGGAGTATCTTGCAGTTGTTGCCGAAACTTGACCCTTAAGGCCTTCCAAACGAAGCACTATGGTATGTTAGTAATCTTCAGAAGGAAATTAAACATTTAAAAGAAAAAAATCGTATTTGGAACAAATCAAAATACAATTTTTAACTTTGAATGCTTACAGTTTGCAGCAAAATCCAGTACGACAAAACGAAACAGGTGTTTGCAACCAAACTTGAAATTGATGCTAAAACTGCCATAGAACAAGATGTGCCAGGTAATGCTTAGAAGAGCATCAAAGACTGTTTGTTTGCTTTGTGAACTGAAACATATCAGTTTCATTTCTTTATGGTTTTGATTGTTTTTCTTTTACAGTTAACAGTTCAGAACCAGTGTGTAAGGAAGTTCAATTTGGAAACAATAAAACAAATGTGTGTTTCCATTTCCGCCATGTCAATGTCAGCGGCGACAGTGTGTCTGGCTGCGTGCGCACCACCATCAAAGCTGGGGAAATGAAGCAGATGGTGAATTTGGGATGTTTCAAATTGTCCGTCACATACAAGCTGGCAAGTCATTTGAAGCTCCATCGACTGGTGAGAATTTGGCAGAAAGAAATTCTCGTCAGACTTTTCCATGTTGGTATTAAAAATGAGAAAAAGAAAGCAAAACATATATTTGATTACTAGAGACTTTGGGTTTGAAATTGCACGGTTATCATTGTTTGATGTACATATAGCCATTTAGAGGCCAGAGGATGAGCAGGTGATAAATTCGAACTGTAAAAATACTGTATCTGTTGTTAGATTACCTACCAAATACGTATCAAGTTTCATTCAAGGGTAAGGTTTACCGGGGGGATGTATACAGAATGAATTGGTAAAATTAAAACACATTTGTGCCGTTTTAATTATTTTTACTAATATTTAGATCATCTTTGATAACACTCTTTGATTTTATCTTTTATACAGTTTTTTCACAATAATTATTTTTACTAATATATAGATCATCTTTGATAACACCAATTTGATTTTATATAGTAAACATTTTATTCACTAAGTTCTAGTTTTTGTTTACCCCGCCTCAAAATTAAGAAATGATAATGTTACTGTTGAGTTATATAATCATCATTGTATCCTGACAAAACCATCCAAGGGCTTTTAGTTTGGAATATGTTCCCTTCACCGACGATATGTCATTAATACTGGCATATTTCATAAGATCATAAGGAAAGGCAACCGATCTTCTGCTCATGAAGCCACCAAGGAGAATGACTCAACAATTGTACATGACGAAATAATTAGAAAATACACATGTAGTCTTTCTTGAGCAGTGAATCTTCAGTCCTAATCTTTAGTCGAACTCATACCAATGCAAATGGCGGGCTTATCTTTGTATAATCATATATAACCTTGAAAATAAAATTATTTGATAACTTCCTAAACGATTCTTTATATTTTCTATCATAATGGTTGTATTTTTAAGACATTTTACTTTTTCTTAGATTTTTTTCTCTCTATTTGATTTTTATCTAAGTTGTTTGATACAATGTATACTGAACAATTTTGGCAGATAGGCGCTGATTCTGGAGGAGAAAATGGTCATTCGAACGTGAATTTCGGGGCTATGGAGTAACATGTACATGTAGCTTTAGAATTCAAATCTTGTTTGTGATATGATCCTTTAAAAATTGAACTTCGAATATTTTTCGGAAAGATACGATTTTTATGTCATAAAAGTGTATTTTTAAGGTAGATATGTGTCCTTGCTCCATGTTTTTGCTAAGCAAAAAATGTATATTTTTAAACATATATTGAAAATATACTTTTAAAAAATGGAGCAACGACCCACTTATATAGAAAAATTGTGTAACACTATGAAGAAATTATTATTTTTGCCCAATAATTTTAACACTTGTGAAATTATGAAATTGTTGCAATGTTTGGAGATTTTCAGGGGCGTAGCTTGACTTTAAATTCTAGTGAGGCAAAACCATACATGTAGCAGCAAGAGGTCTGGGGCCGCCTTAAGCCCCCAGCAGGTTCCGGGTGGTGTCATGGGAAGGGGGGGGGGGGCACTCCGACAGAAATGGAGTTGGGGTTTTTAAAATGCAATAAAATTTCATTTGTTGTACTGGTTTCTTTATTCAAGACTTCAGCATGATACTACATATTGTAAAAGAATGTAAAAGAGTTAATAAATATGTTTACTAAAACTTTTGAAGCATTTAAAGGTGAAAGCGCATCTTATTAAACTTTTATTTCTTTAAAACTTCAACATTATAGAACTGCTTAAAATGTTAAAAGAAATGCCATTAATTTTACATATAATCTGCAACGTATTGTTGATTATGGGAAGGGATGGTGGTGGTGAAAAATCTAGTGAGGCAGTTGCCTCATTGCCACAATGGAAGCTACGCCCCTGATTTTACCTAAAGTACGAGGGGTGATCAAAAAGTTCGCGAACTATTTCTATATTTTAAAAACTAATTCAGATAAGAATGAAACAGCCGATGTTACGTAATGTTTTCCTACTTTTTTAATGACTTCACAGTGTGAAAATGACGTCAATATCTAGATGACTTGTTACAAAAAATAGTAGACTCAGTCATACTCAAGCAAGGAACTACTGTAAAGTTTAACGTAAATCTTGGGAATTCCTTTGCAGTATATAATAATTTATACAAGGTTTATGAAGACGAAAGACTTGCCAGAAGTTCAACCATTAATTGGATTGGTTGTTTTAGTGAAGGATTGATTGATTATTATTGTTTTACGCCGAGTCGGCAATATTTTTAGTGAAGGAAGGGAGATGGTTAAATATGATGTTTGTTCAGGTGCCCAGTGAAAGAGATGTGATATGAAAAGGAGAAGGCGCCCATACTTTATCCATATTGGATAAACGACACACCCAAGACAGAGGAGTCGGGTTGTGATGGTCACCATGCTAATTCTGGGAAAAAATATCCTTACCTACCCATCCTACAGCCGAGGTTGGGCCATTTGTGACAAATGAACTATTCTTGTTATAAAAAAAAAAAAAACCTGCATGGTAAGAAATATAAGACCAGGAAAAATCTTACAGTCCGCTCCGGAGCATGTCACGTGACCGCCTAGACCACGTGTTTTGCGCATGGGCAAAACGGTGGTAGATGTTCATTAAAACCGGAGGGGACTACTTTAAAAAATAATAAACATTGAAACCTATCTTTATTCTTTTATGGAAGTAATTCAATTAGTTCGCAAACTTTTTGATCACCCCTCATATATAGTAATGTTAAGTAAAATATCAAAGCAAATTATAATTGAGATTTAATTTTTCACTGTCCTATTTGTCCAACCATAGGATTTTCTCGGCTTGTTCGCCCATCTTCTTTAGCACTCTTAGGGAAACAACCTTATTTTCGTGTAAACTTTCTTGGTTATATTTCAACACTGTACAGGTCATTTTATTTTATTGAAAGTCATCCTCCCTGTTAAACCTCTCAAGGCATTTCTGAAAAGTCGAATGTTACCATGTTATAATCTTGTAGGAATGTCTCATTTCTAATTTATTTCAACTCATCTGTCTGTTTAATTCTCGAGTTTTCCTCATTATCGAACAGCTGGGTAGATATCTGTGTAAAAACAGGTGTCATCGGAATTTTTTTAAGGAAGCATTTGAATGACTAAAAATCATCAAACTTTTTAGAATGATTTCAGTCACGTCCATATTTTTTGCAAAAAGATTTTTTTTTTCTTCAGAAAATTGACCAATTAATGCTTTGCTGTTTAAAATCTCGTTTTATTTATTACTGGTATTCATATCTTTATCTAGCCATACGTTTTATGGGAATGTGAAAAATAATAATGTCCATAAATAACAAAATGTAATTATGTAGAGAGAAAATTACATTTTAACGATGAAAATAAACTAGTTGATTACATTTTACAGCACCTGATGTTTACTTGCTATTCCACGGATATGTGTTTATTAAGAAATCGTGGTTTAGTAAGGATTTCTGCAGGTGACTTGTTTCTTCGGATTCTTACCTACCCTCCCATAACTATTCATATCAGGAATTAAGTGTTTAATAAAGTCTATGAAGATAAGCCTCCTTGTTGACATTCCGGTAAACATTTTGTTTTGATGAAACCCAACGAACAAATGTTGGAGGAAACTTTTATTTGATGACACGCATTCAGACTTCAGATCTGTTTTTATTATGTCAGATAACTGTAAAATCTCTCTAATTTATTGCAGGATTATTGAAATTAAATACCGATGGGTCTATGTGTTCTTGATATATGATCATCGTCTTAGCTGTTGTTTACTTACCAATGTTTGAGTGTGACGTGTCGATATTTGTAGTAACAATCAATCCTGCAAAAGATATCAGTACCTTGTTTGTAGAACACTGATAGGTATGAATTTATCAAAACTAGGAATAAATACGAACTTCCAATCTGTAAATTCATGTGGAGAAAACTAATCGATCTATTTATTTTGTACTTGACAAACTTCATTGTTATGCAGAGTTAAGCCCAGATTGGCTAAACTGCTATCTCTGGGTAAGGCGTTAAAAAGGGGTTAAACATATTTTGAGTGGTGGTTATTAGATTGAGAAATGCATAAGAATTTGGGCGTGTTTTCAATCAGGAAGGGCTTATTTCGGGTATATCAATACGTAACCAATATTTGAGAGCTGATTCTGAAAACTGTCTTCCAACATGGCGAAACTGTTGATTTTGTACATTTACTTCTGTCTTAACATTGTGAAATACGCTTCCGGGCACGGAAGATTGTGGGAGCCCCCGGCAAGAAGTACCCTTTGGAGAAGGGGGTTTCATACCACCCATAACTACGACGACAATGCTCTATTCTGCGGAGGATTTTCGGTAAATAATTATTGACCGTGGTTGTCTTAAAATCATACATAATTAAATACTTTAAAGTCATTTCCATTACACTTCAAAATATGTGACTTGAAGAAAGGTAATATTGTAAAAGTGGGAAAAAATAGAATACGTAGAAATTGAAAGAAAGGTAAATAATAAATATAAGGAAAATCTCTTTTTTCCTTACAATTTAATTTCAATTACAAAATAATTTTTAACTAATTTAAGTAAGAAATGTATGAAAATTTAAGCAACTGATGAGGACTCTAAAAATGTTTCATGTTACCACTTTTCCATTTTGAGAATCCAAATTTTAGAAATATGGAACTTCAGAGACAAAACGAGGCTGGTGACTGAGAAACGCGACAGTCATTTGGGAGACATCATAGAATGACATAAAATCGAATACTGCCTCTGATGTCCATGTTTTTAAAAATGTCTGTCTTAAGAATAAATGACCAAGCTTTACTTAAAATTTTATATTGATGATATTTTATGGTGATATTCTTTACATTTTTGGTAAATTTCTTTCCATAAATACTTCAGAACTTTATTGGGGGGGGGGGCTGCAAAATCAGGACGTATTTGCTGGAACGTCCTATATAAACACTAAGATTTCAGATTGCGGCATAAGAAAACTCGTGTAACAGTTTATAATTTAGTATCAAAATTTTACCTATATTTGCACTTTATCTAAATGCAAAGGCTAAAATAGTAAAAAGACGATTCCCTGAGTAATTCAAGAATAACTCATAATACCCGTTGAATTTCCTAACTGTTGAAAATGTGATTTATGGTTTGATTTGAAAAAATAAGATTAATTTTTTCACGAAAACATGGTTGAATTTTATTTTATTTACACATTTTCAGAAAATAACCTTGTTTTTCTTGATTTACATGATCTAAAAACATCATCTCTAGGTGCTAATGATTCCAGCCTTCTGGATATATGTATATATATTCGGAAAGCTCAGTGATCATCAATATTAATTTAATCACTATAAAATAAACATCTTCAAATAAATGTAAAAGTTATAAGGATAATCATATCAGGTTCCAAGATTTTGGTTATAAAATATATTTTAAGGAGAAGTAAATTTGAATTGTATTTTATACAGATGCTAAATAATTATTTTTCTATACTAGTTTAGATATACATGTGATAAAACATTGGGGTTTTGCGCAGGGTTTTTTCCGATCGTTTCATTAAACTAAATGATAAATGATGGTTTTGTGGCGAATGAATAACGTTTTTATAATTAAAACCTAATTATTATTTTCAATGCTGTAACTTCCCAGTTATTTTTTTTATAAATAATTCTCACAGAATTGTGAAAATTGTATAATCTTTTATTTACACAAATCGCTTAGAGATAATTTTCCACAGTAGCTGAGAAATATAAAGCAGTCATATTCAATAGAAAGAAATAAGATAGAATAAATCTAAGATAATCTTAAATTATAATAGGATCCTATGGTAAATGATACAGTATTTGTTACATGTATATTCCTATGAACGTCACGTAATATTAACTGATGAAGCTCCTAGTTCATCTCAACCAGAATTTACACTGCGTATTTTCATTTCTTTTTTAAACATGAAAAAGAAATCACTTTGCACTTAACATTTTTAGACTGAGCATCTTGAAAAATTTGATACTGCGAAGATATTACAGTTAAATTGAAAATGTGTATTTTAAATATTAGCAACGTAAACTTAGTATATTTCAAAACTCTAATCTTACACAAAATAATTCTTAGTTCCTAAATAAAAAGTTCTCCCGAGCTAAAACGAGACAAAACGGGGTATCGATTGTCGGCTCTGGCAACGAACTCTAGTTCAAGTATACAATTCAAGTTTGTCTCTATTTTTTTCTATTACTCTTTTTAAAAAATCCTTTTTTCAATCTATATTGTTTATACTTTTACTTTTTTGTAAAGATTAGGCTTATTTAAGGCGTGCCTCTAAGTTTATGCAAGTTTGTTTTGACCCAATCAAGTACCCACATCGTACCACGCAAAGAAGTTTGCACCAATGCATCGCGTGCATAAGTTTGTCTTTAATTGAAGTCTTGTTCTCGGGCCAAATATTTGGGCAACACACATGATTCATATCATGTTCTGCAAACACAGTGAATATTGTAAATGGTATTTTATTTAGGGACGGTTTCGTAACAACCGACTGATGCCTAGGGGGGAAACTGGTCAGGAAATGATTCTGTTGTTCCATGTTTTGGCACTAATCCTCGCGTCTGTTGCACCAAATTTACCCATTACTTGACCAAACATGAAAGTGTGTCGAAAAAAAAGAGTCAAACTTTAAAAATTAAAAAAAAAATCACAATTTTTAACAGTTAACGTTGAATTCTGGCTTCCGCTTTTATATAAAAAATAATAATATTAATAAGAACGTGTAGATGTTAACTTTTTTTTTATTCATTGCTCTTCTTACTTATATCCGTAAGGATTTATTTAGCTATCCATGTTGTATTAATTGGGAAGGGAGAAAGTTTTTATTGCTAACTTAGTTATGGGAATGGAGAGAGTTTCTATAACTTAGTAGCCTCGGACTCTAGCATCTTTTTTGTTTTTTCCATTCTTTTTTTTTTCCTGATTTACTCGAAACTCGATGTCAGGGTCAGGAATTTGGAGCTGGCTGCAAGCATAATTTCATCTTTCGCAACCTTTATTACTTTTTTTTTCAAACCATAATTCGGAAAGATCCCAAAAAGTTGCGATTGTAGGTTCTCATTTATTATCAGTTAGCAAAATATTTGCTTTGACTCTGATGAAGTAGAGATTTGCCAAATGATTTCATTAGACTACAGAACAAGGAAATGTTCCAGATCCTAGCAGCTAAACAGCTCTATGTAGAACTACAATCTTGATCAATATGCTGCCTTAGCTGCTAGGTAGAGAAGGCTACCATGTTAGTATACATGATTCGATTATAATCTATTATTTTATACCTAAAAAATGATAGTGATTTTTTAAAAAAAAAGCCCTAGGCGTAATTAAATAAAAAAAACATTTTAATATGTAGACTTGTTCTCACAAATGAGCCATATATGATTAATATCCACATCACGCCCTCCAAAATCAAATAAACTCCTTTAGTGCGGGCTATTTTGAAATTAAGCATTGTATCACAAATCTCTGCTGTTAGATTTGATCTTCTTCAATAATTAAATAAACTTCTTCTTTTTTTCTATTGATTTGAGCTACCCTTCATTTAATATACTTCATTTTATATACTTCATTTTACATCAGGTTCAGATGATGAACGGTGGTAAATGTGGAATTTGTGGCGACCCCTTCAATGCACCGCAGCCTCGGGACCACGAAGCAGGAGGAAAGTATGCCTCCGGTATCATAACGAGGCACTATACCGAGGGGCAACTAATCGACGTCGACGTGGATATCACAGCAAACCACAAGGGGTGGTTTGAATTCCGACTTTGTCCAAATAATGACGTAAAAAAAATTGCAACCCAGGCTTGCTTCGATAATAATCTGCTAAAGTTTGCAAATAATTCAACAAGGTAAATAGTGGAGTTTTTTCCTGTTCATGAATATCCTTAAATATAATCAAAATTATATATATATATATATATATATATATATATATATATATATATATATATATATATATATATATATATATATATATATATATATATATATATATATATATGAATGTTAAATATTGTCCTTAGATTTCAATCTGCTTGTCTATTAAAAATATATTGAAATACTAGAATTCTAAGTAAGTCTAGATAAACTCCTTTCATTACCGAAAAAATTAGCTCCTTCAATACATGGTGGGGGTTGAAAATATTCTCACGAATTCTTTTCTCTTTTTCGGTTTGTTTATTTTTTCTCCTTTTATTCTCTCGTCAAAGCTTGATTCTTATTACGATATTCTGTAATTATTTATTAAATTCTGTGTTTTTATTGAAGGATGCATATATCTACTGCAGTCGGTATGCACCACGCTCAATTACAGCTACCACCCGGTCTGACGTGCACCCAGTGCATCTTACAATGGAAATACCACACAGGTTAATTAAAAAGTGCTTATAATCCACGTCAATTTTTTAAAAGTTGATTTTTAATTAACATATGCTTATCGCTTTCTGTTATCAAAGGTTTTTGTTAGTATATAATTAATACTCTATCTCTAAAAAAGAAATGTCGTACCAAGACGTCGCCACGTCATGAAAATCCAAATGACACTGAAAAATTTCTTTTTTATGAGGATTGATATTAATTTGTAAACACGACTTGATTGTACAATAATGCGTGTATGTTAAATGATAGTAATATAGGGAGATATCGATGTGTTTCACAAAGGGTGCAACTTGCAAAATATGTGTTCTATAAAATAAAAATTATTTTGATTGAAGGAAACAGCTGGGGCGTTGATCCCTCGGGAAAAGGATGTATAGGGTGTGGCTCCCAGGAGGAATTCTATGGTTGTTCTGATATAGCTATTGAAAGCAAGAGTGGAAACCAAGCGAATGCCGTCTCAACCGCAAAAACAACAACGACAAAACGACCTACAACATCAACGACGACAAAACAACCTACAACAACAAAAATAACAACAAGCACCACGACTCCGACAACAACAAGCACTACAACTCCGACAACAACAAGCACCACAACTCCGACAACAACAACAGTGAAAGTAACAACTCCAACGACAACTAAAACCACAACTACAACAAAACCTACAACAACCACAACAGCAAAACCGAGCACTACCACAGCAACAACAACGACGACGACTACTACAAAAAAACCAAAAACAACAACAAAACCAACATCTCCTTCATCTACAACTGCTGCTTCTAATGGCAGTGGTGCTCGTCCCGTTCCCGGGGGAATGAGCCGCAAAAAGAAGTGCGGACCTACCTACGTCTGGAAGAAGACACCGGGCATGCAGCAGTGGTGTGAAACGAACTGTCGGATGGGATATTGCCCAGCGTCACACTGTGTTTGTGTGTAAACTCTTATTAAAACGTCCGCCAAACGTATAATGTTATTTTTGTTGATTATTTTTTTTAATAAATACATTTTTAAAAAATAAATACAATTTTAAAATATCTTTTATTTATTTTTTCCCTTTATCGAATGAGTATTACAAGGTTCTTAAATATTCTTACTAGAATCAAAGGTGAGTTATTCTCTATGTACGAAATCTAGTACATGTAACTGATTTTTGACTGCCTTTTTGGTTGTAGATCCATTATGACCTCATATTAATTAATTCAAACTTACTTTTTCTCTTACTTTCTCTTACTTTCTCTTACTCTTACTTTAAAACTACAATTTAATTACGTAGAAATTGAGCATTTTCACGTCATCATTAAAGTAATTCTATTCTCGGGTTTGAGAAACCTGTAGGTACCTTTCATTTACTTGATCTTGACCTTAATACACGTATTCACATAAAATTTGTCCAATTTATGAAAGATGATGCTTTGATAAATCTAGAGCAAAGTTGATTCTTGTAAAAGCTTCCTGCGATTAATGAATCTAACTCCAAAATGCATGGAATATCAGATTTCTAAGATAGAAACCTACCATAAAGCCTGTTTCCTTGGAATTATGTAGCCAAGATTCCCGGAAAAATTCTACTATATAGCCAGGCTTCCTGAAGAAATCCTACCATAAAGCCAGGCTTAATTCCTGGGGGTATTCCACTATATAGCCAGGCTTCCTTGGGATATTTTACCATTTAGCAGGCTTAACGGAGAATCAAACCGGTCCTACTATATAGCCAGGTTTCCAGGCTAGGAGAAATCCTACTATATAGCCAGGTTTCCAGGCTAGAAAAAATCCTACTACATAGCCAGGCTTCCGGGAGGGGTAGGAGGGGGGGGGGGCTGGCTGGGGAAAATATCACTATATACAGGCCCGTAGGTAGCAATTTCAGTGGGGGGGGGGGGGGGCAACTATACATTTTCAGTTGGGGGGGGGGGCAGCATGCAAAAATTCCTTGACATAAAAAAGGTCATCAGACGTTATTACTGAGGGGACACAAGCACCAAGAAGCTATGTTTTCTATAGTATACTATATATCGACAAAATTTCTAAATTGTAAATTTTTTGACTGGGGTGCCCCCCTCCCCCCGAACAAATTCATGGATCCGTGCATGTTATTAGTTGTAATTTTTAAATAATAACAACCATTTTAATTTGTTTTTCTTCTTCATCGAAAGGTTTATACAATATCAAAGATCAGTCAGTTTTTTGACTGGAATGAGCAGAAATTGTTGTTGATTATATCAAAAGTTATGAGATATTTTTGTTTGTGATTTACTTACAGACCTACATGTATGAATATTTATAAACGTAAATTATGAGATTTTTATATATTGTTTGATTCATTTGAAAGTATATAAACTGAAGTCTTGCAAAAAAAAAAAACAAACAAAAAAAAAAAACAAAAAAACAAAAAAATAAATAAATAAAACAAAAAAAACAACAAAAAAAAAACATGCAGAAGCCAAAGAGAAACAACTCTAAAACTAAGGGCATGCCAGTTACCCATTTTCCTCCCTTACATAAGACACTAGTATATCCCTCTGCTTGTTAACAAATTTACATTAAGGTAGATCACCGAGTATAACCCCACATATGGGGGTACGGAATAGTGACCTTTGGGGTGCGGATTTCGAAGCGTAATTTGCTAGGGAAATTGACCTAATTAGCTTTTCTACAGCGATTGAGATGGAATTAGTTTAAGTTTCATATTGCTTTGTATAATCAAAGACCTTTAGGTCTTATTTGACCTTTGCACGTACAAAATGTTGTTTTTCTGGCATTAAAAATTTAACAAGAAAGAAAATTATTTTAAAATCTTAAACTTTTGCTGAAATTAAGCATACTGATCAAAGTTACTTTATATATTCAGAAAAGAAAATCAAAAGTGGGGGTCTATGATGTAAAGTTTTAGATACTAAACCAAGAGGCCGATGGCTCACCTGAGTCAATACTAGTAGTATGCCCAGCTGTTCTTCGTCAGCAGAATTCTTCTCCTATATATTGATATATAAAGCTTTGATCGCCTGTTCTAGGCACACCCTACCCCCAGGTGCCATTTTTGAATGAAACTGAACATAACCTTCTGAGGATGCTGCTATATTCATATAACTAATCATGGTTTTGCTGTTCTTTAAAACGGAATTTTAAAGATGTCTGACACCCTACCCTGGGGGAGGAGGGGGGGGGGGGAAGGGGGGTCATGATTTGAACAAAGTTAACTTGAATGTACACTACCTGAGGATGCTTCCATATCAATATGACTAATCGTGGCTTTGTTGTTCTTGAGAAGAAGATTTTTAAAGATATTTCCTATATATTTTCTTTCGTAAAACTTTGATTTCCTATTATGGCCCCACCCTACTACTGGAGGATACCTGAGGATACCTTGAACAAATCTAAATCTACAATACTTGGGGATGCTTCCATATCAATATGACTAATCATGGCTTTCCTGTTCTTGAAAAGATTTTTAAAGATTTTTCCTATATATTCCTATGTAAAAATTTGATCCCCCATTGTGGCCCCACCCTACCCCCGGGGGTCATGATTTGAACAAACTTGAATCTACACTACCTGAGGATGATTCCATATCAATATGACTAATTGTGGCTTTGTTGTTTTTGAGAGGAAGATTTTTAAAGAATTTTCCTATATATTCCTATGTAAAACTTTGATCCCCCATTGTGGCCCCACCCTAATCTCAGCGAGATCCGTAGAGACTAAAAATTTTGGTCAGGTGTCTTTACGGATCTCAGACCAGAGTCACATAATCTCATTCGGGGTTTTGTGCCAAAATATAAAGTTGTTGATTTTTCATAGCAATAAGCTATTCGTGTACACCACCGATGCTGACGAGTTCCAGCAATAGTCTGCTTCAAATACTTCGTTCTACTTCTATTTCCTATAGAAATTAACCATAGTACGAAGTATTTGAAGCAGACTATTGCTGGAACTCTACGAAAAATCAACAACTTTATATTTTGATGGATTTAAACCTTTCAAAAATAAAAAACAAAAGTTTTATGGTGATAGGGAATTAAAAGGATGTCCAAAGCAAAAAAGTTAAAGCAGACAGCCAATACATTTCAGTCCGTATTAATCGAAACAAGAGGTCGAAGTACGGGTACGAAACCCCGAATGAGATTATATGACACTGGTCTGAGATCCGTAGAGACACCAGACCAAAATTTTCAGTCTCTACGGATCTCGCTGAGATTAGCCCCACCCTACCCTGGGGGTCATGATTTGAACAAACTTGAATATACACTATGTAATGAAGGTTTCACATAAGTTTCAACTTTTCCGGCCCAATGGTTCTTGAGAAGAAGATTTTTAACAGTTGACACCAAATTTTCACCAATTCTTAATTGCCTCCCCTTGGAAGAGGGCATGACCTTTCATATGAATAAACCTGAACCCCCTTTACCCAAGGATGCTTTGTGGTTGAAATTGGCCCAGTCGAAAAGGTGAAAACTTTACAGAAGGACGGACGAACGGCTAGACAGACGGACGGACAGCTAGACGAACTACAGACAAAATGTGCCATAACTTTTGAACAATTGCAGCTAGGGCTTTCAAATTTCACAGGTATATTCCTCGAGACAAGACCTTTCTTTGGGTACCAACATTTTTTGGCTTGGATTTTGACTTGCATTTGAGAAACTTTAACCTTCGCCATAAGCTACCATACAGGGGCATCAGTGTTTCACAAACACATACTGTTTAATCATATTCATTGTTATTATGCCCCGTATCGAAGATTCTGGGGTATATAGTTTTTGCCCTGTCCGTCTGTCTGTCTGTCTGTCTAGCTGTTTGTCTGTTTGTCCGCAAAAACTTAAACCTTGCCCATAACTTTTGATTGGTTATAACTATGGTTTTCATATTTCACATGTGCATTCCTTGTGACAAGACCTTTTTGGGTACCACCATATTTTACCTTTTGACCTTGACCTTGGAGTTTGACCTAGTTCTGCAAAATTTAACCAAACTTTAACCAGTTGGTGCTAGGGCTTTCATACTTCACATATGTAATCCTTGTGACAAGACCTTCCTTTGGATACTAACAACTTTGACCCTTTGACCTTGACCTTGGAGTTTGATTTACTGTTGGAAAACTTTGACCTTGGTCATAACTTTTGAACGAGTGGTGCTCCGGCTTTCATATTTCACCTGTGTATTTCTTGGGAGCAGGCCTTTCCTCGTGACCATTTGACCTTCACCTTGATGTTTAGGTTTATTCTTCGAGACAAGACCTTACTTTTGATACCAACATATTTGATTTGCATTTGAGAAAGTTTAACCTTTGCTTCAAGTTGCCATACGGGGGCATCAGTGTTTCACAAATACATCTTGTTTTCAGAAAGGTAGCGTCGCTTTTGAAAGGCGACAGCCAGGAAAATAAATACTTGTTCATTTGATAAGCAAAAAAAGGGAGGGGGTATTGTTCAAACTTGAAATATGGGGATAGGGTGTTTAATTCCGACTTTTCGACAAGAAAAAAAAATCGAATACATTAAAACTATATTGCAACAAAAAAGGAGGGGGATACGGAAGCCCATTTGGGACCTATCAAAAATATTTTCAAATTCGATATAACGAATTGTAGAATTTGTTATAATGAATTTAATTCGTTATAACAATTTCTTTGAATTCTGATTTAACAAATTTGTTGAATTCGTTATAACGAATTCAAAAATTTGTTATAACGAATTAAATTCGTTTAAACGAATTCTACAATATGTTATAACAAATTTAATTCGTTATAACGAATTCAACAATTTGTTTTAATGAATTTAATTCGTTAAATCAAATTCAACAATCAGCGCCTATAGAAAAATATGTATGAATTCGATATAACGATTTGTTGAATTCGTTTTAACGAATTTAAATCGCTATAACAAATTAGAGAATTCGTTTTAACGAATTCAATTCGTTATAACAAGTTTCAGAATTCGTTATAACGAATTTAATTCGTTATAACAAATTTTGAATTTGTTATAACGAATTCAACAAATTTGATATAACAGATTAAATTCGTTATATAACGAATTTAATCTGTTATATCAAATTTGTTGAATTCGTTATAACAAATTCAAAATTTGTTATAACGAATTAAATTCGTTATAACGAATTCTGAAACTTGTTATAACGAATTGAATTCGTTATAACAAATTCAACAATTCATTATATCGAATTCAAATATTATTTTTGATAGGTCCTAAATGGGCTTCCGTAGGGGGAGGAACCAGCCTTTCGATGATTTTTTTTTCATTCAAGATTACTAGTAACAGTAAAAGATGTTGGGATAAAGTGGGAGTGGGACCTCCCCCCCCCCCCCCCTCCGTTCGGTAAAGTAGCTTTCAATGGTACAATTTATCATTTAGATCCCAACTTTCTAACTAATTCTGTCAATGTTGAAATCTTCATCATTTGATGTAAAATAAAAAAAAAAAGAGCAAGAAACATATGCAAATATTAATAATAAAGAAATGGCGAATATCACTGAATGTATTTATATCTGTCAATAAATAAAACAAGTATATGAAATTAGTAAATGTGCCCGTCAAAATGACTATTTACAAAGCCATGGAATTGGTCGTTGTTCTTGGGTCTATTGACTTGAAGTGTATAACCAATTAGAATTTGATCTGAATGCCTCGGATATCCTTTTCTTTTTATGCTTGATACCATATGTGCATTTTTCCAAATATGGATTTACAAACTCCTATAACACCATAACTAATCATAAAGTAGGACCAGAGAAAGTTCGTGTGGCAGAAAGCAAACATAAACATATTGTTATAGAAATAAAATGATTGTCTCTTTATTGCCGAGAGTGGTGTTAATGAGTATCGCAAGAAGACTACTTTAGTCATATTGTTGATATTCTCTCACATTTTTGTTTACAAACCATATATGGTTATGACGGCATTGATCTACAATGACGAACTAATTAAACCAAGACCAAAAATGAAAAACAGTCAAAAAGAAAATGGATGCCAAAGAGGCGACCACACTTAACATCACTGGACTAAAATATAAATTAAGCAAAGACGCGGCCAAAAAATTACCAAATCTCAAAGTCACGTCTGATGTAACAGAGTACAGTTTTGAGCGACCTAGGCAATCTTTTGAGGCCGTTTACAACTACTGTTTGGTCGGTAAGCTTCATATTCCACCGACTGTCTGTATCGGAGAGTTCCTGGAAGAACTGGAATTCTGGGGAATTGATGTAAAGGATTTGGAAAAATGTTGCCACCACAGGTATGTGTTGTTTATGCGCGAGCAAGAGAATCTGAGAGGGTTCCTACGGTGTACTGAAGCGGAAATTGTCCACTATGAAGAAGTTGAGAAAAATGTAACCAACAACCTTAAGAACAGGATGTGGAGGATTATCGACAATCAAAATAATGACATTAAAACAAAGGTAAGTGGGTAAACCATAGATACGTTGTCTTTTTCTGTTTTGTGTACATGTGCCACTGTGTGCGTAGTACTTTGTTTTCATTAAGGACATCGATTTGCAATTTTAAAATTGCATATACATGCACGTGCACGCGGGTGCAAAGCGTAAAATGACCAATATACTAAAATCAAGCAATTTCTTATTTTAATTTTTAAAAAGATATAATTATATTGCTTTAGTTATAAGAATAGGTTGCTAATACATGTATATAGATCTACATAAGCTAGGATAAGATCTGCATGAGGGGAAAAAATGAAGGTTCTGAAACTGTATTAATTAGTCTCTGAGAATGTTTTCAAAGATAAAGCAAGATCATATTTTGTTTAACAAACAGATATACGTACTGAGTATCTTGATAGCATGTTCTTTTCAAATATGCCACTGTTCATTATTCATCTTTAAACTGTAGGCGTACTTTGTCTTGTCCACCGCCGTCATCTTACTGGCAATCTTCGGAGTGGCGTTCAGTACGGTTTCTATCACCAATCAGGGAGGTAGCACAGATAGTCATTTCTCAACTAAAAGCAGCACAGAATATACAACAGCGGTGTATAATTCTACAGATGGCGCATGGATTAACGAGTCACTACGAAACGACTCGCAGACATATACAGGAGGAGGGAAAATATTTTCCAATGCAGCGCGTGACAAAGTTTTAACTACAAAGAACAGCAGTCCTGAAACTCGTTGGTTCCTTTACATTGAGCACTTTACAAATGCATTCTTCACTGTGGAGTTGATCCTTCGTCTTGTATGTTGTCCTTCTCTTCGTCGTTATTTTCAAGGATATCTGAATTGGCTGGATATTATCGTCCTTGTTGCAAGTTATGGACGGTACATCGTCCTAGTTGCTGACATGACGGATTCTTCCACGGACGCCGATCCACTGCTGTATCTCCAAATGTTTCGAGTTCTGCGTCTGCTCCGAATCATTGAGAACGTTCCAGCTTTCAAGATCCTTTGCTACTCAGTCCGAATTGGTCGTAAAGATCTAATGACGATGATTTTGTTTCTTTTTATGGGAATGCTATTGTTCTCTAACTTTCTCTACTTTGTGGAGAGCAATGAAGAATTCAACAGCATCCCTGATGCTTGGTGGTTCAGCATCGTCACCATGACTACGGTTGGCTTTGGCGACATGGTCCCAAGGACTTCCGTCGGACGGGTTATCGGTGCCCTGTGTGCACTATCCGGAGTCTTGTTTATCTCGCTGACCATTCCTATTTTTGTCAACACATTCCAGTCTCTGTATCTGTACGCCTCATTCAACAGTAAAAGACTGCAGAAACAATAGTAGAGTCCAGAAATATAACAGTGACTTCTTTCTGTTGTAATACATGTAGTATGTTAAATCCTTATTTAATTGTAATTAGACGGGTACATAAATGTAGATTGAAAATCTTAAAAAATCATAGTATTGTACTGGAGTGTTATGAAATGCTTGTCGACATGGAAATCTTACTAAACAGATTGTTTAACTGATTAAAAAGACGTACACGTTAGATTACCTAGTGACATTTCACATATGGCTCCGTAAATCAATGATGAATTTATGTCCATGTATGATGTATATAGCATATCTTGAGTGCCTTTTTTACAGGGCATTATCATTACATTTACTGGCAAGATATCCACAACATACATTTACTTTTCCCGCGTTGAGAAAAAAAGTAAGTTCTTGTGAATAAGAATTGACAAAAATTAAATTCTTTCTTGCCTTTATTCCGTATTGGTAGGAATTTCTTTGCATCAGTCTTAATAAGAGGTCACTCAGAGCGCATCTCTTCACCAAGTTTATACGTATACACGGTATGCTGCCCTACTGTTTCTGCAGCTATGTTCAGGGAAGTCAGAGCGCATCTCTCCATCATTTATATGTATACACTGTATGCTGCCTTACCGTTTCTGCACCTATGTTCAGAGAAGTCAGAGCGCATCTCTCCACCAAGTTTATATGTATACACTGTATGCTGCCCTACTGTTTCTGCACCTATATTCAGGGAAGTCAGAGCGCATCTCTCCACCATTTATATGTATACACTGTATGCTGCCTTACTGTTTCTGCAGCTATGTTCAGAGAAGTTAAAACAATCCAGCCTCAGCATCTATTTACTCTGTCTCCAAATCAAATGTTTCCCTTATTCCAAAATTTGTATATAAACTATCGATTCTAAGATATCTTTCAGACAGATGATACAGATAATAAGGAAATTCGAACATCTAACATCCAACTTCAAATCTAAAGGATTCATTTTTGCTCCTGAGGCACAATCTTCCTTAAAATTTATCAAAATTTGTTTTAAAGCCAGAAAGATAGATTTTAAAGCCAGAAGGATAGATTTGAAGGATAGAATTTAAAGCCAGAAGTATAGATTTTAAAGCCAGAAGGATACACATGTAATCTGAGTGCATGTATAAATAATCTCCCTCCAGCTAAGATGGTGAAAGTAATGAAAATATACAAGCCAATTAATCAACTCCATGTATATTTTTTATTAGTTATATTCTTGATAATATATACAAGCACCAATATACATGAACATGGGACCTAATAAAATCAAATTCAAATGTCAGTATTATGCACTATGCATATTCATGCTACATTTATGTTGGAATGAAATGAATTTTTAAATAGTCTTGGAATTAATAGTTAAATATGCCACTATAAATGTGTAAATTTTTTTTCTAAACAATAGAAATGCTGCCTGTTTTTGTAAAATTTTATGAAATACATGACAGGATTTTTCAGCTAAATCATACAGATCTATACAGAAATTCAAAACTTCTTCATATAAATAGAGATGCAGAAATTCAAAACTTCTTCATATAAATAGAGATGCACATAAAAATTGTGTCTACTTCCCCAAACAAATCCCTCATTTCACAATTTCATGTAAAATATATATATCATATCTATGATATGCCTAATATTTGATAAAATTATCATCAGTGTTTCTGTCTCACACACACCAGCTTATTTTTGCTATATCACAATGAGAACCCTTGTAAAATATGTTTGGTTAACTCTTCTCTGTCCCAGGATCAGATAGGTAGCACACACACATCTGATCTTTCCCTAACAACAGAATGGTGTTACCATCAGGATGCCACTTCAAGGAATGGACATTGAAAACTCCTACAAAAAGAGGATGTACAGATTTAAAATAAAGATATTACCATTTCTTGACATACATGTATATTTAGAAAGTATGCTATCAATATAATCTAAACTGTTTTTTTTTCCCAAGATGTATATGTAGAATTATTTCCTGCATGTACAAAAATCACAGAACAAGAGGCCCAAGGGCATAAATGGTCACCTGAGTATTATATATTGTAAACAATCCATAGAAGTATAAAATACAACCAAATAAACTGATACATGTAGATGAAGCTATGTTGCCCAAAAAAAAAAAAGTAGGATGATCAGTGATCAACAAAATAATTAGTGTAGTACTCGGTAACAAATTTTAAAGTAGATCTATTTACTTGCTTGTACTTGCCCCCATTTGCCAATATCACCATTCTGACTAGCAAAACAATAGTGCTTGAGCACTGTTAGAAAACCAATCTCATTCCTCTCTTTTTCTTTGAAGAACATTTAATGTACAAAGATAAGGTATTTGTGTCTCTTTATCCATTATTTACAACTCTACCTGACCATTAAAAACTATGAAACTACTTTTTTTTATCTATTATAAAAATTCTTAAATAAATATCTTATTCAAATGAGTTTCAATTAAATCATTTATAGTGTTAATTATCATCGGTGAATAGCAAAGAGGAATAACCTCTCAATAGACTACAAATTAATAGAGGCATGTCGAGCACCAGAACACTTGAATAAGTGGTTCAGAATTTCAAAAATCTGGTAAAAATACCATTAAATTTTCAAAGAATAAGCATTTTCACTATAGATTCAACATTGCCCCACCTTAACACCAGAACCCCTTACTAAGGGGCAATGAAATTTACAAATTTGGAAGCACACTTGCTCATCATGAATATGCAATTAAATTGTTTATTTAATACCAAGGAGCAAAAAAGAAGATCTTCAATGAAATAAATGTTTTTCCACTATATAATCAATAGAGCCCCCCTCCCCCCCCCCCCCAAAAAAAAAATCAGAACCCCTGGGGCCACAAATTTCACAATTTTGAAAGAGGCACCTTTGCTCATCATAACTATGCACTTAGTTTATCTCGAAGTCAATGGGGCCAAGAAAATACTTCAAGATATCCCAGGGTTCGAGATATGCAGGGGAAAAATACTTAAGGAATAAGCTATTTGGACTTTCAAATAACTTCAACATATCCATGGTATTCGAGATATCAGTGTTTGATTGTATACAGGGGGACAGAAGAAGATTTTTAAACAATTTATGCATTTTTATTGCATGATCATTAGAGCTCTATCTTAACTCAGAACCCCTGACCCTGGGGCCATGAATTTCGCAATTTTGGTAGAGGGCTCAATGCTTATTACAATCATGCCAACAGTTTGATTGCTTGATGTCCAGGAGTAAAGCAGAAGAGTTTTAAAGATAGCACTAATTTTGATGGTTTAGCCCTTCCCCTCAGGACCTAGGGGAGCTGGGACCCTGAAATTCACAATTTTTGTACCCCTTCATCCATTGATGCTATATGCCAAAATTGGTTGAAATTAGTTCAGCAGTTCAGAGAAGAAGCTGAAAATGTTCAAAAGTTTATGACTAATGCACATCACACGACAACAAACAGAAACAAATACAAACAATAGGTCACCTATTAACATTAATATACTATAATAAACAAATAGGTCACCTGAGTGACTCAGGTGACCTAAAAAAAAAACCCAGAAGCATTATGAAACCCAAAAACAAAGAATTGCTCTCCGACTATTGAGCAGCTTTATTATCATATAGAACACCCTATATAACTTGACAGTTTGTAGTATTGTAATGTACATTGTCAATCTGTGTCTGTGTTTTTGTGTTTTTATCTTACCTTCCACTGGCACCTCTACAGCCAGACTGCCAGCGGGGGACCACATGTACATCTTACTGGTACCTGTACACAGGGCCAGGCGAGACTGGAGGGGGTCCCACTCTACACCTGTCAGTGAAAATATACTACTTCTCAAAACAAATATCTGTAACAGTAAACTCATGCATATGAGTCATGGTGAGCCATAATGCTCAATGAATTACATTGTTCTTAAAGACAACTGAATCTTAAAATCATATCTTTTATGAAAGGTCAAACTAAGTTGAACATAATATATCAACAATTCTTATCTACAGTCTCTGAATTAGCTTTATTACTAAATGCACTGTTGATAAAGTTTATTAAAGTTATCCTACTGTTGAACTTGGTTTTTAAAGTCTCATCTTAAAGACCCCTGACTTTCACTTCTTGGGCCAAGTGCTTGGCAAAAGAACAGTCACTCATTATCTATGTTTTATGTCTTAGATTTGACAAAATGGGTGATGATGGATGCAACAGATCACCTGAATGACTCAGGTGACCTAAAAATTTATACTTAAGCATTTGGGTAAGAGATGTCTTTTGTACATAGTGCTTCTTGAAAGGAAGATTTTTTATGAGTTCTTATTTGCTCCCTATTGATAAAGACAACACAGCCATTCATAAACAAGAGGTCCATGGGCCTCACTGCTCACCTGAGCATTTTGGCTAGGAAAACACAGAAATCAGTTCAGTCTCAGTATTGAACAGTTTAAATACTGTATGTGTACTTAAAAAAGCGGGCTTTATATTTTAGCGGCTTTGGCACAGACAAGGATGCGCTAATTCATGAATACCGCTAAGAAATCATTTATAAATACAATATATGGCACTGACATGTATAGCGCTAATTCAGCAACTCCATACCCAGTGATTGTGCTAAATTTTGAATATGCCAATTTATGTACACATACAGTATTTAAGTGGTCCCAACCTATTAAGGGGGCCTACTGGGGTTTTCATTGCGCAGTACTTCGTGCAGCATAGTAAAATAAAGCGAATTTACTATTTTAAAGCAACTATTTTTATATAATTTATAAAAATTACCAAAATTAGGAAATCTAAAGTTAAAAAATCTAATTACATTTTTAAATAATTGATTTTTTAAACGATTTTTCAAATGATGGGTAAATAGACATCATAACAGTGTGTTTTTGAGGTTATGAATAACCAAAGTTCTTTAAGAGGGGTCATTGATTATGTCATAAAATAACCAGAAGTCTCTGATGAGACTGTAGCTCTACTGGTCTGTTTGTATAACAAAAGAAAAGTAGCACTTGGATTTGAAACATTGCAACATGCAACAATAAATAGAATTATGTATCTTAATGTAGTCTACTTTTGTGACAAGTTATATTGAAATCAAATGAAAACTAGGAGGAGTAGCGTTTTGAAAGTATTTCACGGAAATTTCTATTTTTAGTACCGGTAACCATGACAACACCATTCACCCAAATAAAAAAAACAGAAATACATATTATGTATCGTAGTGTATTCTAACTGTGTGCCAAATTAGATTGAAATCAGACCAAAATTGTAGGAGGAGTAACGTTTTAAAGGAATTTCACAGAAATTTCTATTTTAAGTAACCATGGCAACACTGTTCATCGAATTCAAAAACCAATGCAATAAATTATGTATCTTAGTATAGTCTTCTTGTATGCCTAATTATATTAGAAGCAGACTAAAACTGTAGCAGGAGTAGTGTTTTAAAGGAATTTCACAGAAATTTCTATTTTTAGTAACCATGGCAACACCATCCATTGAATTCAAAAACCGATGCAATAAATTATGCATCTTAGTGTAGTGTACTTGTGTGCCAAGTTATATTGAAATCGGACCAAAACTGTAGGAGGAGTAGCGTTTTAAAGGAATTTCACAGAAATTTCTATTTTTAGTAACCATGGCAACACCGTCCATCGAAATCAAAAACCGATGCACTAAATTATATATCTTAGTGTAGTCTACTTGTGTGCCAAGTTATATTGAAATCGGACCAAAACTGTAGGAGGAGTAGCGTTTTAAAGGAATTTCACAGAAATTTCTATTTTTAGTAACCATGGCAACACCTTCCATCGAAATCAAAAACCGATGCACTTAATTATGTATCTTAGTGTAGTCTACTTGTGTGCCAAGTTATATTGAAATCGGACCAAAACTGTAGGAGGAGTAGCGTTTTAAAGGAATTTCACAGAAATTTCTATTTTTAGTGACCATGGCAACACCTTCCATCGAAATCAAAAACCGATGCACTAAATTATGTATCTTAGTGTAGTCTACTTGTGTGCCAAGTTATATTGAAATCGGACCAAAACTGTAGGAGGAGTAGCGTTTTAAAGGAATTTCACAGAAATTCCTATTTTTAGTAACCATGGCAACACCGTCCATCGAAATCAAAAACCGATGCACTAAATTATGTATCTTAGTGTAGTCTACTTGTGTGCCAAGTTATATTGAAATCGGACCAAAACTGTAGGAGGAGTAGCGTTTTAAAGGAATTTCACAGAAATTTCTATTTTTAGTGACCATGGCAACACCGTCCATCGAAATCAAAAACCGATGCACTAAATTATGTATCTTAGTGTAGTCTACTTGTGTGCCAAGTTATATTGAAATCGGACCAAAACTGTAGGAGGAGTAGCGTTTTAAAGGAATTTCACAGAAATTTCTATTTTTAGTGACCATGGCAACACCGTCCATCGAAATCAAAAACCGATGCACTAAATTATGTATCTTAGTGTAGTCTACTTGTGTGCCAAGTTATATTGAAATCGGACCAAAACTGTAGGAGGAGTAGCGTTTTAAAGGAATTTCACAGAAATTTCTATTTTTAGTAACCATGGCAACACCGTCCATCGAAATCAAAAACCGATGCTCTAAATTATGTATCTTAGTGTAGTCTACTTGTGTGCCAAGTTATATTGAAATCGGACCAAAACTGTAGGAGGAGTAGCGTTTTAAAGGAATTTCACAGAAATTTCTATTTTTAGTAACCATGGCAACACCGTCCATCGAAATCAAAAACCGATGCACTAAATTATGTATCTTAGTGTAGTCTACTTGTGTTCCAAGTTATATTGAAATCGGACCAAAACTGTAGGAGGAGTAGCGTTTTAAAGGAATTTCACAGAAATTTCTATTTTTAGTAACCATGGCAACACCGTCCATCGAAATCAAAAACCGATGCTCTAAATTATGTATCTTAGTGTAGTCTACTTGTGTGCCAAGTTATATTGAAATCGGACCAAAACTGTAGGAGGAGTAGCGTTTTAAAGGAATTTCACAGAAATTTCTATTTTTAGTAACCATGGCAACACCGTCCATCGAAATCAAAAACCGATGCACTAAATTATGTATCTTAGTGTAGTCTACTTGTGTGCCAAGTTATATTGAAATCGGACCAAAACTGTAGGAGGAGTAGCGTTTTGAAAAATTGTTTACAGACAGACGGACAGACAGACAGACAGACAGACAGACAGACGGACGGACGACGGACACCTTACTATCGCATAAGCTCTTCTGGTCTCTGACCAGTAGAGCTAAAAAGTATGAAATAGATGCTCTTGAAATTTTAAACATAGGAAATTGAGAATCTCACAATCATTTTAGTAGTTTCTTATATAAATCTACGGCATCTGTCACGTTTTGTAGTACTCCATAAAAACAGGAAAATATCATGAATTTTGACCATTTTGAGATGCCCCCTCTGGAAACAGATGGTAGAATTTTGTGTTTCTTGCATAAAATGTACATTATAGTTATAGTCATCAAATAATATAATTTTAGCAAAAAGTTTATAGTAGCATATAATTTGCTCCGAAGTTCGAAAAAAATAGTATTTTCCTACACATCCTATAGTCAATGTACCTGTATTTTGAGATGGTCCCTAAAGAATAACCGGACGGTAGATTTTCACTAAACTTGTCATGTATACTGAAGTCAATGTAAGGTACATATGGTATAAAATTAAAGAGTTTCTCTATAGTTGTTTTCACACAATAAAACCCCAGTCGGCTCCCTTAAGGGGAGGGAGGGAATGATTTGAACACTCAAATTTACACTCACTGAGGATGCTTCAATATTTCTTTGAATAATAAGGGCTTTAGAAGATTTTTAAAGATTATATTCCTATAACTTTTATCTGTATTGCCCCCCCCCCCCCCACCCACCCACCCAAGGGATTATTGATTGATTTGAACTATTTTGAATTTACACTACCTGAGGATGCTTCCATATAAATATGACTAATCATGGCTTTCCTGTTCCTGAGAAGAAGAATTTTTTAAAAGATTTTTCCAATATATTCCTTTGTAAAACTTTGATCGCCCATTGCAGCCCCGCCCTCCCTGAAGGTCATGATTGTGAAGAAACTTGAATCTACACTACCTAAGGATGATTCCATGTCAATATGACTAATCCTGGCTTTGTTGTTCTTGAGAAGAAGATTTTTCAAGATTTTTTTCTATATATTTCTATGTAAAACTTTGATCCCCCATTGTGGCCCCACCCTACCCCTTGGGGTCATGATTTGAATAAACTTGAATCTACACTACCTGAGGATGATTCCATATCAATATGACTAATCCTGGCTTTGTTGTTCTTGAGAAGAAGATTTTTCAAGATTTTTTTCTATACATTCCTATGTAAAACTTTAATCCCCCATTGTGGCCCTACCCTACCCTACCCTCGGGGGTCATGATTTGTACAAACTTGAATCTACACTACCTCAGGATGATTCCACATCAATATGACTAATTGTGGCTTTTTTGTTCTTGAGAAGAAGATTTTTTCCTATATATTCCCATGTAAAACTTTGATCCCCCATTGTGGCTGCACCCTACCCCTGGGGGTCGAGATTTGAACAAATTTGAATCTACACTACCTGAGGATGATTCCACATCAATATGACTAATCCTGGCTTTGTTGTTCTTGAGAAGAAGATTTTTCAAGATTTTTCCTATATATTCCTAATATGTAAAACTTTGATCCCCCATGTGAAAAGTTTACAGCTAGACAGATGGACGACGGACAAAATGTGATCAGAAAAGCTCACCTGAGCTTTCAGCTCAGGTGAACTAAAAAAACCATAAACCAAGTCTGTTAAAGGTTTGAAAATACCTAGAATATTTGGAGAAAAAGTTGAAAGCATGAATTTCTCAGAAAAGTAAATAGCGTCATCCAAATTTTCGCGTAATTTTACAAAAAACAGATGAAATGTATAAGTGATAAATAACTTTTTAATTAAAAGTTTGCCGTGCTCCGGGTCACCATCCCAAGTCTAATAATGAAGTCATAATTGTAATTATACATTTAAAATTGAATAAAATTTTACATTTTGTAATTCACATATAGTTAAGGATTATAAATATGCTAATAATAAATATCTTTGACACAACTTTTATTTAAATTTTAGCTTGTCCAAGAACTTTACGGACAACCCTCATATTTATATGAATTCATTATATGGATATAACAAATTATGGATATAGCGAATTAAATTCACAGGTCCCCAGGACTTCGCTATAACCAAGTTTTACTGTAGATAGATTGATAAATTCTAATATTAAGAAAAGCTTGCTTAAGTTCCCAATTTAGGTGAGCCGATATAATGAAAGTAGAAGAAACCTTACAATTATCAATTATAATTCACTTTTAAGATTTTATGCATAATAAAACAAAAAAAATGCATGACTTATCATAATTGGCATTTTCATTAAAGTCATTTTTTTGTGGATTCTTCTGTCTGACTTTTCAAAAAAATTCTATCCAATAACTAAAATTGACATATGATTTAAAATATAGTACAATATACTTACATTTTATTGCAGCCCCTTGAGTCAACAGTGCACACAGTTTGAGTTTCTGAACATCCCAAATCCATAATGTATTTGGCATATTGTCTATTTGAATAATTGAAAAAAAATATATGATTATAAATCATAGCACTAATGAAAATAATTACAAAAAATTCGCAGGTGAGTTAAGGCTAGGTATAGGCATTACTATGCAAATAAACTAATTAAAATGCCTAAGGACTATATCTATTATGCAGAGAAAGTTAAAACTTATTGTATATTACATACTTGGTACTGAAGACATGAGATAGCCAGTACACATTATGACGTAATATTATGACGTCATTGTTCTTTACTACACAAGATTATGACGGACATCAACAAAAATGCTTCGGCGCAAGGGCATGCTCTATTTTATTTAACTGAAACAAGGTATATTTAGAAGCAAAATATTCTAAAGATTGCCGGAATTGCTGCACAAATATCAACAGCTCAGTTGTATAATTTCTATTTGTAAAGTTTTAAGTTGAATCAGTGTAAAAATTTACAGTCCAGTACAAGTTTCCTCAAATTCCGATCAAATGAGCAAATGCCTAGGATTTGTGCAGCAGTATTATTAATCTATAGAATATTCCTCTTAGCATTACACAATTTTTATGTAGAATTAAATAGGTTAATCCCTTGCGCCGAAGCTGTTTTGTTGACACATTTTATTACCTCCAGTAGGTAAGAACAGTGGCGTCATAATATGACATCATAATGTGTACTGGCTATAACATATCATGGGTACTAAGTAGGCATAAGAAAATAAATCAAAACTTTCTCTGAATAATAAATATACCTCTTTTGCGTTTTTATTAGCTCATTTGCATAGAAACGCCTATACCTAGCCTTAACTCACATGCGTATATTTGGTTTGTTTGTTATCAGGCAGAAATTTAACAAATTTTATTAGAAATGTTTTTTAAATTCTAATCTTTTTTCAGAAAAGCATCTTTTCCTTACATTTATTTTGGAGTGTTAAAAAAATAAATATAATCATATAAATCATCCTCTAAGGTTTTCGACATTTTGTTATACCATTTCTTGTGTAGATGAATCTGCAATCACAGCTAAAGGCTAACAAGCCTACCCCTAGTTTTGGATTGGCACGGTTTGTGTCAGGTTTTACAATAGGAATGTTGACTGGAGGATGCTCTACCTCATCTAATCAGAAAACAGAGAAAATGATAATCAAATATAAATTAATGATATTAAAGAAAAAAATTAAAATTCAATACCTGTCTACAATTTTCAAAAAAAAGGCCATCAAAATCCATTACACTTTAGAATGGACAGTTACTTAGGGGATGTTCTTTTGCCAAGACAAACAAGATACATGCATGTACTTACATTTACTCTGTGGGGTGAAGAGGGCTGCTGTGGGTGCATCAACATCGTTCCCTGGAGGTAAAGGGGCTCTAGTCTCTGTCTCCCTATATAGCACCTAGAATATAAAATTAAATTAAAACTTCAAAGGAATATAATGACCTCTTATGTAATAAAAATTATTTATAACACTTCCGTAATACAAAGAAAATACTATCATTCCAATAACAGCGTGTCACTTTGGTTGATCGACTGTAGTAAAATTTCACAAAATGATTACCGTATTACTTATCCAATGGATGGTTGATTTCAATAAAATCAATACTACTTTGCATATGAAACAAAGAACCCAGCAATACTACTGACCATACTGACCAATGGTATTGAATGATTGTTCATGAGTATGCAGTAAACAACAATTACATGTGGACAGGCGAAGCAAATTTTACTTCCTATAATGTTGATATAGCTATAATATAGCATCAGAAGAGTAGCCTTACTATTTCCATGCTTTAAATTTTTTTATATGTATAACTCCATCCCATCAAATCACACCAAATTTGACACATGCTTTTTCGAGGACAGAAAATGGGCTTTGACTGACTACATGTGTTGCTGAATATAAATGTTGTACTGGTAACAATCATTCAATGTGATTGGCCAGTATTATCAGGGTATTGTTGGATTCTGTGTTTCATATGCGAAGTTGTATTAATTTCATTGAAATCAAACATCAATCGATGAGTAATATGATAATCAATTTCTGAAATTTTACCACAGTCGATCAAGCAAAGTGACACGCTGTTAGAATGATAGTACTTAAATACAAAAAACAACAGCTAGTACAAAAAATATTCTTTTCTTTAAGGAGGCTGGGGGGTCAACAAATTAACCAAAAATTAACCACCAGATTTAACTTATTTTTTTAGATATGATATCTTAAGCTGTCAACTATCATTTGGCAAAGAAAAATTTCAAAAATTTTAGTTTTAAAATTTGATCATTTTCTATATCTTCATATAGAGCTCTTCTTCTAAAGGAGATCAATATAGTCTAAAAATGGCCACAACCCCCCAGCCTCTTTAAAATACATTTCATTGTGTTTAGGTTAAATCATTCAAGGGAAGCAATCATATGCAATTCAGAATTAGCTGACAAGAGTTATCTCTCTTTGATAACTTACCACCTCCTCCTCGTTTACTGTAGCAGGATGGCTGTGTGTAGCTACTGATTTCCAAGTGATGTGATTCAAAATCCTCACCTAAAAACACAATCAAGGTATAAGTACATTAATTAAATAAGAACATTTAGGATGGACCTATCAAATATTATCAAAGTTCCAAAACATGTGTTCATGCATTGACTCATATATGCCAATAATAACAGGGTAAATGAACCTTAAAAAATCACAATGATGACAGATATTTAATATTATTCTTTAACAGGTACATTTTTACACAATCAGTTTCAACAGTATGCTAAATCATGCATACATTGACTTAGTTTTGATCTTTCCAAGAGGACACCACATGAGCAATATAAGTGATCTAGTCACCTATACCTGTACATACATAATGTTCCAGTTCCAGTATGAATGATGTTGGTTTGTCTTGTAATCCTGAGTCTTGGATGCACATTTTATTTCATATACATCTAATCAGTAGATTCTCAAGAAGATAAAAATTAGCCATTGTTTGAAATCTTTCAAATGCCGTTGGTCAAACTGAAATTGTTTTCTTGCGTAAAATCTAAACTTTAAAGGTAGGGTCAATCAAATCTTTTGAAGTAAATTTATGATAATAAATCAATCACAATTTACTTTGCAGTATCTGACCAGTATCAAATATTCCCTTTGTTTATGTCGCTAAATTACAATGAAATCTCAGAAATATTTCGTCTCTATCTGTTTTTTTTTAAACCACAAAAACTTCAATACAGATGTCCAGATCAGGAGATTATGAGAAGCACTTGAACTTAATTGTTACGGGTGAATAGAGATGTAAATAACATGTTCAAAGCAAAAAAAATACAATACACATAATTCCTGTCTTGACTCGAATCCCCCTCTTTGTTTGTTTGGTATTTGTCATGGTAACTGATTATATAGTTCAGTGATCTCATTTTAACCGTTATAATATCCCCAATCTGCCTTTAAAATCTTGAATTTCAATAGCAGTAAATAAATGCATAGACTGTTCCCCTAGAAACTCATCAAAACATTGGCACGTCACTTTGAAATAACTGCTTTAGTAGTTTTCTATCATGGGTTTAAATCATATGATATGGTTTCTGACACAAGTGGGTCTTGAAAGCATTTGAATAGTGAAAGCTGATATTCCCTGGTCTAGTAGCCATTAGGCATAAAAATTTAACAATCAAAAATTAGATATTTCGTATTCCCTTTAAATATAAAGAAACTGAGATTCTAGCTCGACATTATGTGTACATGTGATATTTAACACAATAAGACAAAATGATATAAAGTGCTATAGGTACAAACAAAATCAATCAAATCTGATAAAAATCTTTATTCCAACACATCAGTATATTCCATATCATTTTTAAAATACAGAAATATTGATAAAATGTTCTCTAAAACATTATCTTTAAGGAATATTGTGACTTTAATTCTTAATTTTTTGGCACAGTTAACACTGCATGATTATCCCCCTCTACCAGATTAAGATAACGGGGACTTTTACTCAGGGAGAACAACCTAATCTAGTGACAATGCTATCTTACTGTGACTTATCAATCATAATCTGTCAATTTCTTCTACGGTCCCTCAGAGGCACCTACTTCACTTAAAGAACATTTATAGCAGCATTAAAAATCAATTATCATCCAGGATCTTAAAAGTTAATCCTAACAAAAAAACTGGGAATTCTGACAGATAAGAGGGGATTGCGTATCCTGAAAAATACGCAAATAAGGTCATACGTAATACATAAGGTCACTTCATTCATTGCCGTTGTGATGACAAGTCATACACAATTACTCTCCCAATAAAAAATACACTGCTAGTACATAGGATGGATATTATTTTCCACTGTAAACAAGTCAATAATTTTTTTGGGCCAATCACCAACCTGAGTACTGAATCCTTGTTTTTTAAAGTACATTTAAGCATTGAATCATTATTTTTTGAAAGATATAGTCTCATAACTGCAATGTTGTGTCCAAAACAAATTGAGTAACGATCGTTATGAAAATTTGTTTGCACACCGTTGCAGTTATGAGACTATATCTTTCAAAAAATAATGATTCAATGCTTATATTTACATTTTTTAATTCCTTGCCTTGACTGTAAAGGTGTTTTTTATTTTAAAATCCCTGTATTATCCTTCTGGTAAGTTAAATTTAAGGACATACGCAACGTAGTTTGAACTTTACTGTCTTTTTCCCTTGAGTTGAAGAGTTCCAATACTTAAAGGAATTGTGTGCTACATTTGTATGTCTATATATGCTGTTGTACACTTCTTCTAAAACAAGTTTGGATAAACAAATCATCTAGAATATGTGTTTAGTAATTTTTGTGTATTTTTCTTTGAATTATACAAGAATTTTCATCAATTGATATCTTTTCAAAACCCCTAGTAATGCATGCTGATTTTTTGTTGAAGAACATCTGATGGCACTATAATCTTAAATTAGGAATATCTTGAAAAATTATCAGTAGGTAAGATACGTTGCGTATGTCCTTAATGGAAGAGCCATTGCAACAGCTTCTGTTCAATGTGAGCTTGAAATTTGATTTTCGCTTATGACGTTGCACTTCCACGGCGTTAAATGTTTGTGACATCAAAATGAACGCATACTTTAACATATTGACCCCCTGTCCGTGTTATGGTGTTTTGAATGCCGTAGCTTTCCTCATACTTTATAAGCAAAATACATGTTGAATGTAAATATTTTTTAATGTACACTATAAGGATAAGTTAATAGAATAAATTCCAGTACTTATTTTTTCTTCTACAATCACCAAAATCACCAAATAGAGGGGAATGGTCATGCTAATCAGAAACTTCCTGTTTCATTCATCAGATGTAGACATTTGCTCAATATGGCAAAACTCATATCAACTGTAAACATGCAAAAAAAAAAAAAGAGTTAAGATTTCACATCTTGCAACTCTTTATAAAACCTGAAACTCTCTGATGAGACTGTCCCTCTACTGGCTTGCATATTCTTGAGCTACACTGCTGCTGGTATGTTAGTTTACGACATTTAGTATTTTTTATTTGTCAGTGAAAAGTAACAACACTCTTTTATATGAAAGTAAAAAAAAAAAAATAAATAAATAAAAAATAAATTATTCAACTTAATATTTCTTAAATTGAAAGAGGAGTACCACTTTGATACCATTTAAGCTATTTTAAAATTACAAAAACTGTAGTGTGGATTTTTTAAAAATTGTTTACAGACAAAACTGCTAGAAAGACAGACAGCCAAAGAAATTAATGTAGGGCTGGGTATCAGCTAGGAATTTTGTACTGCGATGTACTGCAATATTTTTACAGTAGGGCTGGCTATCAGCTAGGAATTTTGTATTGCGATGTACTGCAATATTTTTACAGTAGGGCTGGATATCGGCTAGGAATTTTGTATTGCGATGTACTGCAATATTTTTACCAGTAACTGTATTGAGATTTTCAATACTCAATACCAGTTAAAATGATCTTTTTCTTATTTTATTAACCTCCATTTATAAGCAGAATGTATATTACTATTATAAACACATTGGAACAAAAAAGTTCTTGTTGATTTCACTACAGTTTTGCAACGAAATGCAAACATATAAGAGGAACCTTACTGCTTGGTACGACAGAAAACGTTTCTGACATCTTTAATTTCATTTTTACTTTAGAAATCCTATAAAAGCCCAAGCATTTTGCCAGTATATCGGTACTGAAAAAACATATCGCAATGCAATATTATTTGTTAACGAATCGCAATATACTGGAATATCGATATTATTGCGCAGCCCTAAATTACAGACACTTATTACAAATGTATGGTAATAAAAAAAGCTAAAAACTAGCATTTCCTGTGTCATTGCAACACAACCACTTGATCTAACAATGATATAATGTGAAAATGCAGTGATAATCAAACAAAATAGATTAGAAATATGAAAAAACATATGTATAACTCCTGTACCAGGCACCTATTGCTGATAATAACACTTAAATATTATCAATGTTTTGTCACCTACATAGTTTACTTAAGATGTATTAACCCACAAAAGAAAAACGTGAAGCACACCACTGATAAATATGAAGGACTCTTTCCAAGAATCTGAATGAAAAACAATCAGGGTTAAAATGTGACTATTTACAACATCACCCAGATTTTTGGAGTATGCGATAGCGTAAATAGAGGTCTGGCTTTAGTCAGATTGCGTTTTCCTGAAATTTAACTGCTAATTAAGCTCTGACACAATCTGACTAAAGCCAGACCTCTATTTACACTATCGCATATGCGATAGCGTAAATAGAGGTCTGGCTTTAGTCAGATTGAGGAAAACGTGTTTCAATTTTAAAATGAAATACTGTATAGGGAAAAAAAATCACTTGCAGTATAAATATTCGCTATATTCACGGTGTTAATAATTCTTTGAAATCAAGAAACGGTGAATAAATTTTAAATAAAATCAAGACATTTTTTTTTTTTGGAAGGGGGGGGGGTAATCGGGGTAAGCAGTAGATATATATTACATACTCATTCAGTAATTAAAAGCTGAACTTGTAATTTAATGATTTTAATTACCATGTTTTTCCTACAATTCGAATCTGCAGATAATGATATGTAAGTATTTATAGTTAAATAGCTGTTTAAAAACCTGACACTTAAGTTGTTTGATCAAAACATTAGGGGTCGTAACTAACATTACCTTGTCACCTGATTTTATAGACATTTTGAGTAACTCTGGTTTTTTCCCCAAATTTATTTATTCAAATACATGGAACTCTTGAACTTCTTTTAGATACAGTGTAATATTATTTCGTCCATGTGATTCATTTTCCCGGTACTTTTCCCTGTGATGTTTTATTCCTTCAGAAAGGAGAATTTTGGGTGACGTGTCAGTTTTGCCTTGGTATAACAACTGTGAGGGTAGAACGATGCTACTCATCGTAGAAGCAAGCAGGGAAGTCATTTGACGTTTATCATCAAAACTGTTTTCAACCTCTCATTATTTGAATTTTGCTGTGGAAAAGATCCAATGAAGTTGATTTTAATTTTTTTTTTTAATTTTACACCAATTCCACAAATTCATCAAATCCTGATTGTCAGAGGAGAGAAAAACATGAAAAGTACTACCCCTGTCATTATTCCACTAGATACAGTTACCAAAAAAGGTCTCCATATAAAAAGTGTTCAAATTTCTTGTATATTAGCAGTTTACTTGTTCAGTGATGGAATTCAAAATGAGAGTGAAGTTGCTTATTGCATGCAACACACTTTTTGATGGAATTCAAAATGAGAGTGAAGTTGCTTATTGCATGCAACACACTTTTATGTTAAAGACTTATTAATGAAATTGAGTTATTATAAAATCATTAAATTTTAATAGCATGTGCTTGCAGCTCTACTTCTTTTGAAGAATTGCAATATTCAAGATGGTGCATGCTGACCTTCAAAATCTTTCACTGAAATAGGAGCCAAGGCGGGAGATAAGAATCTAGCTGTGATAATGCTTATGTAGCTGTGATGTATCAGATTTACCAAATAAATAGATATATATTTTCCTTATTAATGTTTTTGTTTACTTCACACATGTTGTTTACTATTTGCACAAATTCAGTCCAATCACTGCACCATATGATTCCTTTATTCTTGTGGTATTGTCAATACTGTCATTAAACCTTTGCAGGTGTGATGGAGAAAATATTCCGAATACTTCCTCTCACAGCCAATCAAATCAACTTCTCAAGCATTTAGGGGGAAAAATTACCTAAACCATAAACATTATCATAACTCGTAAAATTGCTTTATTCAAATCATATAGAAATTTGGTCCAAATTCTAACCATAACTATTTCAGAATTATTACATATCTGGAATCTAATATTTTGACATTTTAATATTTTAATATTGACAAAGAGAAAATATCTGATTTGTATAGAATCGCTCATAAGGTGAGATATTATGCTAATATATCAATTCAGATATTTACGATTATGATGAGATTTATCCCCTACAGGTACTTTTGTATTCAATATTACCATCTTGATCCAGAGATAAGTCTTAACATCATTAGCTTGAAGAAATCGGTGATGTTAGTTAAAATAACCCTCAACATGCATCAGCTGTCAACAGAATCGTCCACAAACTACTTTTTCATCTGAATTCATTAACCAAATTCAAACTTGGTTTAATTCAAAATTATGTATAAAACTTTAATGTGTTCTTTTCTATGAATTTTAAAAATCTGAGTTATCAAACACTAAAAATATTTAACAGGTCCAAAATATTAGGTGTATGCAAATATACAGAGCACCAAAAAAAAAAAAAAAAAAAAGACAGCGAAAGATATTTACAAAGAACATCATCCAGAGGTAATGAATACCCCTATAAAGTCCCTTACTTTGTTTTAATATTTTCATGGTACAAATGATTGTCTTGATAAAATAAATTGATAATACAGGTTGTAGTACATAGGGTAGAAAAAGCAGAAAAAAGGAACATGCACACCCCTAAATGAGATAAGGAAACTTTACCATTCACCTCACATAGACTGTCAAATTACAAAGTCCTACAGTTTTCGTTTGAACAACATCTTTTGACAACATTGAAGTTTAGAAAAAAATTTTTGAATGACGAACACATTTTTAGTTCATTTCAGTTAAACCTCCAGGAAGTGAAAAGGACACTTTGACTAAATTGGATCCCCTTTGCCCTTTCATATATTTTGTTTCATGTTTGACTAAAACTTGTCAAGTGGTTTTGGTAGAGATAAAAAAAAATCAAACTTTTAATGGACAGAAAGACAAAAAATGCAAACATGCTTTAATGGATCCTTTGGTCTTCAAAATTGTATCTGCAGAGCCTGATACAAAAAAAAATAGAATTAAGTAAATTTAGCAATTAAAAATTGAAGTTGTAGATCATGAATTAGACTTCAGCTCACATTAAGTAAGACACGTACAGTTTAATATATTTTGTAGCTGTTTGCACATACTGATCTAGACTTGAAGTCTTAGAAGATGGACTATATATCTTCTGTTTGATGAACTAGTACATTTCCACCTTAATATGACAGACATCTTACTAGGTATAAAGTGACATCCCCCATTGTAAGTCCCCAGTCTTACACTCAGATAAAGGACAGCTTCCCGCTAAGTTATGGGGTTATCAGTAAAGTTTGGGTCCAGGGGTTAAAACTCAGATGTTTATACCTCACAAAGATCATAGTTATGTTGTGTGAACCAAGATGGATGAAAAAGTAGGCTTCAGTGAAAATATCATTAAGGTAGGTTTTTCTCATGAAACTGCATAATGGTTCAAATTTAGAGGGAAAAAAATTGCATAATTGGATGCTTTATGTGCATATACTGGGTAATCTTCTCTTAAACATTTTTTTTCTGTCTTTCAAAAATTTCTTCAAACATATCTAGAATATTTTTTTATTACTAGACAGCATTTGGCAATCATATGATATATTTTTCATTGAATGCAATCACAAACCATGAAAATATATGCGATAATCATTCTTTCCAAATCTCTATATACATGGAAACATAATAGTTTGATCCAATCATTCTATCACATTAAGTGAAATGGTCTGAACATTTTACAAATGATTTAATATCATCAATTTTTGTACATTGCCAAATTGTTACGGCCTTTGTATATGTTGGAATTTCCACCCACACCTTCATGTTATACATACAGCACTATCTTCAAGGGGGTAGATAACGAAATACAAATGTACAGAGAAATATTGTATAAAGGTCATTTTAACATGGTACCCTTGGTACATTGTGGTCATCTCTATAAAAGAACAAGTGTACTCGTCTGGAAACACACATTAAATTAAAACAAAATCAGCAAATATATACCGGTATATCACACTGTTACTTCTTTATGGGAATTATACCATACTTGTGGTGAATATATAGATAGTATCATTCACTACTTTAAAATTCATGATTGATGTATGTATGTCTTGTTATATTTACCTACATACTTCTATCTGTGTGCATGCAAACACTATACAGTACCTTATAAGTTTACAGAGCATCTCTGTCCTTAAAAATGCTATTTAAATCAGAAGTCTCTGATGAGACTGTATCTCTACTGGTTTCTGCTTGTAATTGTGAAAGAGAAAGTTGCACTAATGTCTTTAACATTTTTATTTAATTTCTACTGGCATAGATTTTTTCTAAAATTTTACCAAGTTTTATTGAAATTAAAAAAAGTATGTATTGTTTAACTACATATTAAATAAAAAAAAAATTTCAGAAAAATTAAAAAAAAAATTAAGTAGTTTTCTGATGGATTCCCATGATCAAGAGCTTCCAAAGATATTCTTGCTCCAAAAAAAGACCATGCTGTGATTATCTCATTTATCAAATCATTTATCATTCAATATTTGACAAATGCACAGACAGGTTTCTTGATAAGCATGAAGATTATTATTTTGGCTTAAAAAATATGTGTAGAAATAAATGCAACTGAGAGACAAGTCACTAGAAACAGAGCAGTATGCATCACAAATGATAATAAATGACAATCTACAAATGTTTTCTAGTCTAAAGAAAATTGGAAACTCCTGCAGATTTTACTCTGTACTGTCATTTTTTGTTATCTAACTGGTTTACCATTTTCCTACTTTTTACACATCAGAAAGTAAATGCAGAGATGTACAAATCTTCATATGATTCTCAACAAATATCAATTTCTGATCATTTTGTTGGTAATGGGGGAAAAAAAGCTTCAATTTATATTGTTTTTCACATGCAAAAAATTCTGAGAAGTAACAGTAACTTCAAATTAGTCAAATGGTTGTTTGTGACTTTTACTAACTTTAAGTCACTAACATATTTGGTATACCAATGGATATTAATTTCCAGTAGTAACATTGCCAAAAACTAAGAAAAACATTACTTTCTAGGGGAAGATTTATGTAACAGCTGTAAAAAAGAAAATAAACTTTATTCTAAGAATTCAGACACATTTGTTTACTTCCTTGTTTTTTGTCAGATCCGGGTTCAGAAACAAAATTAACAAAATTAAAATTCTATCAGTGTAGTACAGGTGTAGGGTATCCATGCACATGTTCATTGATTTATGCATCCAAAAATAATACATGTACCGTTTTGTAGCAGTAACTTAAGACTTTTAATTCCATGCAATGATTTTAGTTCTATCAATTAATGTTTAATGTAGCTGGTAATATTTAACATTAAATTTAGAATTCAGATAAAATCAACCTTCCCTTTTTAAATCAATGATTTAAAGGAAAAGTATTTCTGTACTCATACCTTTTCGTCGAAGCTGCCTAGTGCCAGGAACTGGCTCGTGGGGGACCACGCCAGGGACTTGATACCCAGAGCATTCTCATAAGCACTAAATTTGGATGCACATCTTCCATCAATTGTGTAGAGAAGAATCTTGTACTAAAAAAAAGGAATAATTATCATTTCATGGTCATTATTTTCAAGACTTTACAAAAAAACTTTAATAAAATATTTGTAATTTGCCAGAGTCAAAAAAATTCAACTACCAAGATGTAGACTAGTAATATGAGAATGTTTCCATGAATGTATATTTCAATGTCTCTGAGGAACTTGACATTATTTTCATTATCAAGGATTCCACTCCTTCATCCAATTATTTTTTTTTAATTTTTACTTAAATCTTTTTCAAATATCAAAACCGAAAACGACATACTATGGCTTTATCAAAATAAAAGGATATACAGTTGAACTTTGATATCTTGAACACCAATATCTCAAATACCATGGATATGTGGAAGTGAGTTGAAGTTCCAACCATATTTTCCATATCTATTTTAACTTCATATCTTGAATCCTTTGATATCTTGTTTTTTTTTTTTTACTGGTCACGCCGAGTTCTGGATAATGATCTTTGACTGTATTGCTATCTTTCTTCACTATGGAGTTTCATTTTATATGAAATGGTATTTATACACTTACGATGCCATTCTCTTCAATTTACATTTCAATAAACTTAGGAGAATCAGAAAGTGACAGATTCTAAGAATGAGTCTTAGAAAGTAACTTAATTCCAGAAACTATTTAACTCCGCACTTATAACAAAAACCTTTCAACAGGTTAACTCATTGACTTATACATCTGCCAATAATATAGTGCATCTGACACAAGATTTCTTTGCTATTTTTATTGTGAATGATTCATTGCACCCACTTTGATATTAAACTCTTGTCACTGAACTTATACATTTATAATATTCTAATTATGTGAATTAGCAGGTATTTTGCAGATATTAAGAATAAATTAACATAACTGCACTGTATGTCCATTGAAAAAATATATATTGCTGAATTATTAACAGAAAATTACACTCTTAGCAAATAGTAATTTTGCCATGAAAATGATGCAGAAATATTGCAATGCAATCCATGATCCATAACATGCAATGAAGCATTGAAATTTTGCCCATTGTTAAAATGAAAATGCTAAAGATGATTTTCAAGATAAATATTAAATTTTTTTTATCAAATGGGGAATCTTGAGCACATTGCGTCTGCTTTTTTTGTCTTGACAAATCATTTACCTTTCACCATTTCTTGACCTCATAGATGGATTGATTTATCAAGCATAATAAAAGGAATACTACCAGTAAATACAATTCAAGAGAGAGAGAGACCTGTGGGCAACAATGCTCACCTGAGTCACTTTGCCCCTTCTGATCATGAGAAAAATTTTAAAGATATTTCTCATTTTTGATTTTATATTTTGGTTCCACTCTTGCCCCAGGGACATGACTTGACCAATGACTCGAATCCAAACCATCCAAAGACTTTTAATTCTAAAATTATGGAATCAGGCCCTGAGTAGGTCTGGGGTAGAAGTCAAAAATAAGAAAAACTGACCCAAAAAAAGAAAATGAAAAATTATAGAACAAAAATGGAGTGAAATATCAAGAATTTAGAAAAACATTACTCTTTATCTTGGAATATTTAAGTGCCCTCTAGAATAATTACTACTATTTCAGCATGTTCAGGGAAATGACAATGTAAAACAAAATATTTTAGAATAAATGTAACTGCATATCTTTATCAAGTTTCCCATTTAGGAAAAAAATGTTGATTTTAGCATGCACACTTGTCTGTCTACTTGTAGAAAAGATCTGAAGTAAGTCTGAAATATCATGGGTAATTTCATATATCCTATTAACATGTATTATGTTATATCAACTTAAAATTGTAATTATCAACTGTCAAATCTGCTGTTTTCTATACAATGTAGAATAGGTATATATGAAAATGAATGCATTATGTTACTTCTGAAGAAAAGGTCTCAAAAACATACTGTAACCCCCCCCCCCCTCCTCAATCTAGTCCTCCACCTCTTCCCCTTTCCTACAGGATACAGATATTTTCATTTCTGTAGTCAATCACCTCCAAAGGAGTCTTTCTAGTTCATTTTAATTAAATTAGCATATTTGCAGCTGATAAAGTCACGTGATCTTTTTCACAAATGAAAATTCATACTTTAATTTAAAATTTTTGCAGATTATAGGCCTTATGATTTATGAGGCTTTTAAAAAATCTGATACACAAATAACGGTAAAAATTCTTTTCTGTCTAGGGATACAGAAGTCTGCCATTTGCATATTTGAAAATGACACTGTGTTACTTATACCCTTATGACTCGTGGAGGGTAAATTACACGAGAGATTTTACATCAGTCCACCAAATTATGTTCTTTGTATCTATGTAAATTAATTATCAAGTAACCAATGGTTGATGCTTCAGAAAATGTCTTATTTGTCCTCTAAATTTTCGTGGTCCTTAGAACCTGTTACAAAGAAAAGCGGCATCATCCACTGAATAATTCATTAAGAAACGAAACCTGAATCTTCATCCATAAAACACTTAAAGATGCTTGTCAACAACAAAAAGATACAGTTAGGTCTACATTGTAGATCCCTGCTATGATAATCCACTAAGTTGGTCAAATTACGGGTGACGCGTGCTGAGGGTGATGCCAGCTGGGTGACAATTATTAGTCCTTGAGCAAACACCACAAAGAAATGTACGTGCCTAGGTTCACGACAATTACATACAAATTACTGCACTGTAGTTAAACAAAGGTGGCCAACTGCGTCAAAAATGTATCAAGTGCTTAGATTTAATGTGCATTTAATGCCTATTCACATCATATTGATTCCTATAAACACATTTATTACATTGATTTTCAACTGATCCCAAAAGTCATTTTAAAACTTCTCATTAGCATCCCTGAGAGTAGTCAGTCTTTCTGACAATCTGTGAAGAGGGCTCTTAATAATAACAACTTAAATTCAATTAAAAAGACAACAGTTTCATAAAAGTTGCAATTGTATCATTTCAAGTGTGCAAAAATAAAAGTTTCAAAAATTATGGACTTGAAATTTTCAAACTTAGAACTTAATTCCTAACAAACTCTGCAGTCTTTACTGGCCATGATAATTAGCCAAAAGTTAAGCTTTTTTTAACACAAAAAAAAAAACAAACAAAAAAAACAAAAAGGTTATTGGCAGTTATACCTTTAATGTCTAAAGATGTTTATTATTTTGACAAAATTCCTTTTCACATAATTTTGAAGCTACTCAAATAATATTAAAGAAAAGATTCATCAAGTTTCCACTGCCTATTTACCATAGTTATTTGAAGATACTGCAAATGAGTTATGAAGATATCAAATCAAATGCCAAACAAACTATTTCTATTACAATGACCATGACCAATGAGAAATGACCTTTGATAAACACAAGTTTTACATTGGTGATGAGATATGACTTTGACTCAAAGTTATAATCCAAATATGTCTCCCACATCAAATAAGAACAGCTTTTCTAAAAAGTGTCAAAGAAAAATTATTTTGTGGATTAAAAAATCTGAGCTATCTAAAATTTTAGTTCAACTTCTATGTGATATATATATTCCAGTGACAAATATTAATGAAAGTGTGTTAATGATAGATTTTCCATATACATGTACTGGTATAGATGTAAGGAATACTGATAGATATGGTAAATAAATTTTATATTTATCAAGACATCAAACAGGAGATGTAGGCATCTCATGCAGTTCAGCATTATTATCTTGCTTAGCATCAATATTTAAATGTCCTTTTTTCTCTGTTCAATTCATTTGTTAGATTATATAAAAACAAACAAACATCAGTGAGATTTTAGACTTGATGTCTACACACATGGACTTCTAGGTAAGTACAATCAAAATGCAAACCACACCTAAAGAAAATGCACAGAGACTAAGCTATCACAGATGCCATCTTGTGTTTACTTCTGCAAAACCTTCAGAATGCACACAGAATGAATGGAAGGAGAGTGTGTATTAAAAAAATTTAATTCTTTTCCTGGGGTGATCCTATTGTTGTAGCTGTTAAATGTCCTTCTTTTCAACAGGTTTTCGGACAATAGCCATTCAATGTCTTACATGCCTTCCACTTTTTTTGTTTCTAGCAATTTTCTTGTGAACGCTACTGAAGCGGCACCATCGAATTACCTGTCAGTCCTTGGAACTTTAGAGTAACTGAGAGAAGTTTAAACCACGTTCTATCTAACACCTCTAGATGCGACAACTATTTCTAGTCACTCATCTGTATCCAAAAATTCTATTTCTAAATGACAAGCACATTTCTTTGACAGTTGTAACTGGGATTTAAAGGAAGTGGGATACAGATTGAGGTAGATACCCAGTCATCACAACAGGTGTTCTGATCATCCGTCCAGCTGTATGTCTCGCTGACATTTAGGAGAGAGCCAGCACTTATTCCGTCCTTTTTACTCATGATGCCGTCCCATGTTCCAGAAATACCCAACATCCCACAAGTACCCATATGGAGTGCCCGCCAGCCCAACCTGCCCCCACCCCAGAGGATGTTCCCGTCCATGCCTAGAAACCACATGGAGGCTGCTGCAATGACCTATAACCCTGGATGCAGGTAACAATTATTTATGTCTCACTTTGAATCAGAATAACTGTTAGGCTACTGGCAACATCTGCAACTCTGACAAAAAGAGTGATGCTATCTGTAGCACTTTTTGCGGGATGCCCTTTTTAAAGTTGTAACACATTTAATGATTGATGAAATTTTTTAAATGTTCATAATAGATTTCAATGGGCATGCTTCTGCAAATTTTTATTGCCACTATCTTCTAACCTATGAAAAACACTGAATATCAAATTTTAACCATGAATATGTATTAAGTTTCACTTTTCCTCAAAATTCAATCAGAAGACACTTCATGGATTTTTTTATGCTTTTAAATATGTTAATGAAGATGTCAAATCACTGCTAATGCAATCAAACACTTGTTTCTTCAACGGATATGCATGCAGTCTTGGTTTGAGTCAGTCTGTATGAAATAATTCTGTCATATGAACTGTGAATGTGTATATCAATTACAAATTGAACTGCCCATGAGAAATGAATGAATGAATAAAATGATTGAAGCAGGACAGTAAACTGTACTGCAGGTAAACAAACAACCCGACTGTAATTAACCCCTGTAGCACTGTAACACCTTTGTGGAAGATTAAACATTGTGACCATAGGGAAGCATTATTGTTCTCCACAAATTGCTGGCTGTATTAAATTCCTTCCATTATCTTTTTGATTTTAAGACCCCTTATTGTTTTCCCCCAAACATGCCAATCACCAGCATGTCAATCATACAGAAAGGTGAAAAGAAAGCCAGGGGTTGGTTAAGGTCACTTATTGTGTGATTACGGTGTATGCATGAAAATCTGAAACCCGAAGAGCGTACCATAATAATGAAGTTTGCTGCAGGAAGGATTGATATGTGAATATTTTTGTATCCAGTCTATAGAAGATCTTTGAACTACCTAAAATTGGGTTTCGATGTAATCTTACAATCTTATTGTAGATATCAAAAGTAAATACAGAATCCTTAAAATTGACCCTTAAATTCATACTGCCAGTGTAATTAAAATTATAATTACTAAATTAAGCATGCACATTCTTATCAAAACATATTTATAAATATAAATATATTTTTGGATGTTATTCCCACAATTAAAATGTATATTGAGTTCCTGGTATATATGCAGGTACACATGTACCAGTTTGATTATGTAATTAATCTTTGATTTCTCTGATAGCAAAGTTTGCATTAGTGCAAAGTTCAATGGTTTTTGTAAATACAGAAATTATTCATTGCTAACTTTTGTCTGCTCAACCAATCAAATTCATTCTCTTGGTGATTATGGAATTATTAACACAATCTGTGAACATATCATACTATGAAAAAGGAAAATGATGATTAAAAGAAAACAAACTTCAGAAAGTTTGTTTTTCAAATGCTGTAGCTATAGTCTTCAGTTTCAAGAGAATGTAAGGCTAGGTTATCAGTTACATCTAAGAAAAACTAAAACATAAGTCATAATTTATCATATCAGTCCATGATAAAGGAAATCTACGAGGATACAGCTGACTGATTTTTCTTTAGGTCCTGGTTATGATAACAGTGAAATAATCTTGTTATATGAACGGAGTTCTAGAATTTGAGAACTTATAACCCATGTGTGAGATTTGATCAACCCAATAATAATATCCTATCGAGAGAACTATGATTGAGGAATTACGCATAAATATGTAAAATTTATTCATGTTTGAGATGTATTTAATTATGGTGTTAAATTTGGGGATTACTAAGTAATTTATATTCCCAAATATATCATTGCATAGGGATACATATAAAAACGCATAAAAATAAATTTGCAATGATTATACATATGAAACTAAGTTTTTTTTTCAAAAAAAGGGAAAAATTTGCCATAACAAAGCAAGAACCATTATCAGCATGCCTATTCAATCTTTAAAAGTTGATGCAATCTCCAATTAGCTATGAACACGAGATGTCAGTAGTGCAGGAGGCCAACTATAAAATGTCATATAAAATTTAAAATCTCCAACAAAAAAATATCCACCCATGGACAACTCTCCTAAAAACAAAATAAAACTGGAGACATTCTGACATTAAACTGTTCTTGAAGACAATTTCAGTAGGCCATCGATTGCCTAGGAATCTGTATTAGTGCCCTACTAAAACAAATGACTTGGATCAAACAAGTCTTTTTATGTTAATTTGTTTTGTGGTTTATTCTTCAGTCAATTAATTTAATTTTTATGAACCTCAGTAAATACTTTAGAAATGGGACAATGAACTCTGATGCAAAAAATGTGTTACACACTCTTCATATGTGAAATACTCAGAGGTGATTTAACTATTAAGATATAGAATTTCTTGCATCTGCCCACCCCACCCTTCTTTTTTTTTTTTTTAAAGAAAAAAAAACAAAATGGGTACTTTAAGTGTAAAATGCATCAAAACAAAATGTGCATGTCAGATATGTTTACGTAGGGTGGAAATGCATGCATTTAAATGTAATAAAAGTAAGGTACAAACAATGAAATGGTACAGTTCTGAGTGGAAAAATCTGAGTGTACATTAAGTGCTCAAAAACATAAAAAAAAAAAATTATATATCCATGCTAGGATAAACTAATTGCTAAATAACAGAAAATGTGCTGCTCCAAAACACACTTGTTACCCCCAGGAAGTTAAAAGGATAATCTTCATCCATAAATTATTCTCTGCACAATGAATAAACTTGTGACCTACCCTTGAATTAACATTTTACGACCACAAAGACATGCATTATAATATTGATCAGAAATGGTTAGTGTGCACTTTTGGTTTGAATATTGGTTTTCTAAGCCTTCAAGATGATTTCTTCATGTTATAAAAAGGTCAAAAAGTCAAAAATTTCTGATAAATATGATTTATTACCTAATAATGTTCAATTAAAAATCAAATTTATTTGGTTGCAAAATATAAGATTTCTAGCAAAGCACAATTGTCCACAGAAAATAAAGTTTAAAAACACAGCAAACAAAAAACAAAAAATAAATTCTTATTCCAACAGTGATATATTATGTCTAAGAGAGTGAATCAAAAATCAGTAGTCACATTTTAAATGTATAAACTCTTTCTTTAATACTTTCATTAAATTTTTTTGCTGAATACCACATTTCTGAATAAATCTAAGTCATAGACAAGGTATTTAAAGATAAAAGAAGAATTGTGTAATGTGCTAATCATGGCCCAATATGAATCTTATGGTTCAGAGGGATTTTTTTCCTTTTGATCCAAATCCATAATGCATTTGTCCTGAATGACGGCTTTCCAGTCAGTTAGTCATATTGTCCACTAACAAATCACTGGCCACTTTTGACAGCTTTTTAAATTCCTTATCAGCTACACATCAAGGAGGACTGTACAGCTTAACTGGTGCTATGTCCAGCAGTAATACCCATTATCACCTAAATCTCACTTACTCTACCCAATCACTGAAACAGAAACTCTAAACACCATTGAACAGATTTCAAAGGGACAAAAATGTCTCATCATTTAAGAGTCTTTGAATGAAATCATGACTGGAAAAAAAAAAAGAATTCAAATCAAAACTCTTGAAAAAATTTCTTCAAAACATTAAATTTGGGAAAAAATGGTGGTCAAATTCCCAATTATTTTTTCAATACATATTTTTCTGAGTAACACATGTTGTCACAAACCATTAAAGTATATTTAAACAATTGTATTGAATTATCATGACCTTGTTTAAATGCCAGCTCTGTGCATACATCTAAACATAAACATTTTCTTTGTTCTCTAATTGTCCCTTCAACTATAAAGGTACGGCACCATTTTTACCCACTGTTGAAGGTAAGGAAGCAGATTTGTTAGGTTTGAGGGTCAAAAAGTAAAATACTGAATTGAATCAAGGGTCATTTATGAAAATGATTTAATCTGTTTCTAAACACCAGTATCTTGTGGTATGATCCTGACCTGGACAATGGGTTCCTTTCATCATTTCAGGCTATAATCAAAGATAAATAGCTATTAATTTTCACCTGGACAGGTATGTTAGCTACCTGTGGACCAAGTTACTCTGTGACTTGAACCTCCTTGATAAAGCACACGCAATGTTTAAACTCAATCATTCATATCCCCACTCATAAGTTTTGTACTTTAAAACCCTCCACTTCAAGGTCAGTTCTGTCTCCATTGCAATAATTCTACAGTGTCATCTCATTACAATAAGTTTTTGGCCAAAGCTGCATTTCTGAACTGCCAAGAATGATTCTGTAACTTTTGGGACAATTTATTAAGAAGTAATAGATGGAAACTACCTAACAAGCATAAATAACATCTGTTTTAAAACCTATCATGTATCTTACCAAGTTAGAATAAACTTTACCAATTTCACGCTTAAAAATTTGGGTATCAATTCATCAGGAAAATGGGGCCTTGGAATTGATCTGATAAATTGTCAGTTTCTACCTGGCTAACTGCATCATGGTGTTTACTCTAGATGGCACCATTACATGTAAGATTAACTCAAGGATGTAACATCAGCTTATCTTTAATCTTAAAAGATGTCTTTGTCAGTGAAATGGCTGGACTTTGAAGTCATAACTTCTATTATATCAATATTGTGCCCTAGAGAAGCATCACCAACTCTTGGATAAGGATCTTCATTGAGAATATGAAAGAATATTGACTCTTGTCTTTTTATCTGATTTTCTTTTCAAAACCAATTTTCACACATGATGCCCAACAATCCAAAACATTCCTAAGGTAAACAGAAACTTTTTTGGGCCACTAAAGGGTAATTAGTCTGATCTTTATTTACCGCTTTTGTTTACCTATCACTTTAGCTTTTCTTAGGAAAAGTAGTTAGTTTACCACCTTCTAAGATAACACACAGAATACTGTGAAAAAACCTGGTTTATTTATCTAAGAGATAGTACTTGATTGGATTACTACCAGTCTTTGGGAAGACAGAAGACAATACTGTTTTTCTGAAAAGAATTAAAGCAGAACATTTATCTTTTTTGTGTGTGTGTTTTATGGGACTGTTTTTAAACCAATTTTTTTTTGAAAGTTGATTCTTTGGTTACACAAAGTAATTGGTTAATAAACTTTGAGTGTACCATGAATTTGACCTGGTATTTGCCTTCAGGGCCAGACTTTTAAGACTGCATGGTAATAAAAAAAAATTAGTCTACATTTTTTGGGGGGAAAAAAATTTCAAATCTTTCTTGCAGCTTTTTCTAAAATATTTTCTCAGTTTGTAGTAACCTGTAGTACATAAATTTTATAAATGCAATAAACAGAAAGTATCAATTAAAGAATTAAATCATATCCGATAACACTCTGCATATCTGCATAGCATTACATTAAATTCAAATTTGTCATATTTTATAGCCTAGCCAAAATATCATTTAATTCTATTTTCAAAAGATTGAAATTTATTATTTGTTATGATTTTTCTTTTTTTTATGTCAAGAAAAAAGGTCACCTACATCATCAAAACTAATAAAATTAATAGACTGATATTTGGGTGGTAGAAGAATTTTAAATTTATTAAATAATTTTGTTTTTATGTACTTTTTCACAACCTTTCTAATAAACTCTAAAAACGTAATGATAAATCTGTCTTAGGAGATTGGTTTATGAACAATATGCTTTATGACAAATAAATCAACTGAAATGCATGTGGTCACCTAAAATGCCTCATCCAAAAAACATTGACGTCAATTTTACCCTTCCTCTTTTGACAACGTTTTGTAAACACACACCTGACAGTTTTCAATGAATTAAATGAATCTGATTGAATCTATCAATTGAATTTTATTTTCAGATGTCTCTCAATGAGTATTAAATTTCACTCCAGCTGCTTTCTGGCATGGTAAATACACCATTATCTAAATGGGACAACATTTATGAATGATGTCAATGTAATGTTATCTTTTTTTTTTCTGACATTGCTATGTTGTGTAAGGCTTTACTTCCGTATGAATGAATTTTTATTTAATAAGTTTAAGATGAACTTGCTTATGAATTTGAGTTAGCAAAAAAATATACATGTACATGCACAAAGCATATACTATTACATTAAAAAAAAAACATGACAATTGCTCCTAGAATAGATTTTCCTTATCTAGATTTTATAGTTTTTGATTCAAAGATTTTACTACTTTTCTTTAGAAAAACAAAAAAGAAGACCCATGGTTCAGATAAATATATCAAAAGTTGAATGAAACTTCAATCTGATTGTGAAATTTCAATTAGCTTTCTCAATTAATGGCTCACTCGAGAATCCAACGTTATGGTGTAATTAAATATCTTCTTTACTGAGCAAGTGTGGTAAATATATATCAATGTAATTTAAAACTCTATAAGATAAAACAGCTGTTATATAGGTGTTTGGTATTTGGTGACATTATTGCACTAGGCACGCTTACTGTGATTGGTGATTCCCACACCGCCAGAACTCGTCCGTCTGGGGACCACTCGATACCCGCTAAGTCATCTGTCTCAGTCTCAAAATGCTGAAATAAAAGAATTCAATTTATATTTGATTATTTTGAAATATCAGAAAAATTTCTGGTGACAATGCTATAATTTAGAATGAAAAAGAATGATTTAAAATATCTTCAGTTCATGCAGTTTGAAATGCTGGGAACTTCACGTGATATGCACATGTATTATAATTTGTGTAAAATTATTTTTTTAAAAAGCAACTGCATTCTTGCTCAGTATCTGTGCTGTGGTTGCTCATATTTACTGCAATCAATGATATCATCTAGCAACATGTTAAAAGAAGGACCAGTAACTGCATTACTTTTACAAGCTCCCAAGAGTCACAAGCAAAGATACTTATGAAGTCTTTGCAATCTCTTCTCTCCGCCAGGGCCATGTATCTCCCTCCATTGCTGTAGTCTAATGCTGAACAGTAAATGATACATAATCTTTATACTACTTCATGATAAACATTAAACAACATACAAATGCTCATGAAAGTAGAATATTTAGCAGTGGTCATGCTTTGTGCTGCTTTACCAAATGGAATATTAATGTACTATTTACAATGTACTCACGTTTTTGACACTGTTTTGGGTACCGAATGTATGAGACAGACTTTGTTACTAAGGACCAAACAGTTATCCTCAACTGCAAAAAGATAAAATCATCGGTACTTTTTACAAGTTCTTATATTGTGTATTTAATTTTGATTAGTTAATGAATCTCTTTCTCTCTCTCTCTCTCTCTCTCTCATTTGACTTTTAAATTCATTGCAGAGAGTTGTAAACACTTCAGAGTTAATAAATATTTTAATGTATTTATGATTTTACACTTGGGTGTGTACTCTCTCATTACCCTATATGTATTTGAAGTCAAAATGCCTCTAAAAAACTTTTAAAATACACTGTATACACTAAAAGTCTGCTATCATCATTTCTGCATTTACTTATAATGGAAAAAAAAGAGAAAAGATAAGAAAATTGTCAAATTTTTTTTTTAAAAATATGCATTTAAATTTTTACAAAAATCAGATCACATAATTTAGTCACAATATGCAATCTGATCTTGCTTTTAAACATAAAATTTAGAAGCAATAAATGTCACCAGAATGTTATTTATGTAACATGATCAAAGAAAGATAGTCTATATTTTTCCTTAATTATGTCAAGATAAAAATCTTAAAAATCCCTCTCATTAGATGCTTAAATATCTCAAAATGTATGTAAGTTATGGAATAAATGATCCTTTTCCTCAATGATTAATGCACGAAAAAAAAAGAGAAATGTGTTGTTGTTAATAAAAGATCATTAGATAAATTCTCTTACAAATATGTTTCACGATTTTTTTTTTCTGAAATCTTAGGTACTGCCAGTCACAATTCAACTTATTTTACTTTCATATGTAAAAAATGTACAGGTACATTGCAAAAATATGGCTATAATCCAAGCATTTTAGCTATACAAGAAAATAAAATGAAACAATTATTGAAGGAGAAAAGAAGCATTGGTGTAAAGCTAAAAGTTTTTGTACAGAAGTACTCATTTCCCCTAGGAAAACTTTTTACAATCTTACACCAAATAACTATTTCAAAAAAAGCGACAACACCAATACAATAGAACCTATTGAGAATTAATCTAGCTGAAAATTGTCCACTGTCAAGAACTGACACTTACAATTAAATAATCGCCCCAATTCCAAAAAAATTAAAGATGTTAGGCTGGGAACCTTATCTTCAATGATTCAACACAAACAAGTTGAAAGACAAATAAGAGAAAATGTAAAAAGGCCATAAAATTTGTCAATAGACCTTGAGGTTAGGAGTCGAAAGTTATACATTAACAAATATCGAGAGGACGAGAAGCCCAAGAAGCTATGGGAACTGACATTATTCGGTGAGTTAATCCATTATTTAATTTTGTTTTTTCAACCTGAAAAGTCTTTATTCTCAAATAAAAAAAAATAGATTGATAACTTAATATCCCATTTCTCTCATGTATGAAATTCTATTTGAAATTTCTACAGTGAAAAAATACTGTACTTCAAAAATTCACTCTACCCCATATTTTTTAAAATGTGAATTTGGGGTCTTAATAAGTATACACAAGAGGATTGGTTTTAATTTTAATGGATGTTAAAACCTTATGCATGTATTTAGCGTTGAATTAGATTTGCAATTTATATAAACATGATTCTCAGAAATAAATTAAAGTTATCTTAATTGCCAGTCAAGCAAAAATTAGTCCTGACATTTTCCTTGAAAACTCCTGTAACCTACGTAAAAATCAGCTGTTGTTAGGATGTGTCGACCATCTGGGCTCCATCTAGCTGCACATAGTCCAGCCGACCCTTCATCTATCTTACATGTCCATTCTGGTTGTTCTATGGACCAGACCTATAAACCGTAGGGAAAAAAAAATTCTTATACAGTGTCTATGTTTTGTAACTAAAATATTTGTATATGTTACCAGAATAGATGCACGCTTTCATCTGTTGATCAGAGGATGTCAAATCCTCTCGTTTTTCTTAAATATGCATCTTTAAAGTGTATTAACTTTATTCTGTCACGTGGTAAGAAATTTACAATTACAGTGGAATAACTTTAAATTTCAGCTTTAATTCAACATTTCTTAAATGTTGATAGCATGTAATGTCCTTGTAGAATTATTTATTATGTAGATGATAGTATATTGAGTGAGAGGAACATTAGATGTTTTGGATTTACAACCTGTATTGATAAAATCTTCTCAGTCTATTAATTTAATCTTATGAAAGATGAAATTTACACATGCCCATAAATAATTTTTAAATAAGAGTCTGAGAGAATATGAAAAAGAGAGACAACTCTTCCTGGAAACCAGCAGGGAGACAGGTTTAGACCATTAGAAAGCAATAATGACTTATAAATATTAAATGAAATTCATGTGGCTGTCTTACAATGGGTGCGAATTAATGTAAACTTCAAAGACATAACCATGTATTTATCACAGAGGGTGACTAGATGTAGATATGTGATTAATAGGTTATCACTGAGAAAGATCATTCTGTTTTTTAAGGATTAGAGAATAAGATTAATATTCTAATCTTGTTGATCATCATTTCCAAACCTTTTGAAAGAGATGCTTATATTTTCCGTATTTTACATGGTATCTGGCTTAGTTAATCATTTTAAAAGTAAAAAAAAAAAACTTTACATATTTACATGTGTTTCAATTATTGCTTCATCACTAACAATAAATTACCTGACATTTTCAAAGTTCTTAGGTTAGCTGAAGTATCTTTTGCTCTTTAAAGTAAGATTCTTTCATGTGTTTTGCTACATGTATGTCTTATCTTGGACATTAAATGGGGAAATACTCTTAGCAAAAAATTTACATTTAAACTTCTGCTAAAATACCTGAGTGTAAATAAAATTGTTGTCTCACCTGTACTATGCCTCTTTTGAACAGTCCACACAAAACAAACTGTGAATCTGATGACCACTACAATAATTTTTTTTTTTTTAAATTGTAAAAATGTACAAATTAAAGCAATTCAACTTTTAGAAATATGTTATAGGCATTATAATGCACTGTAACATTTTTTTTTCCTGTCATGAAACATCATCTGCCATGACTTACCAGAAAGTCATTAAAATTGCATAACAAATTAGGTTTACTATTACTGTGGTTATAATTAATTGAATTCTGAATGAAGGTACCAAAGCAGTGACTTTAATTGAATACTGGATCATTAACCTCTATGTGTTGAATGGTGTCTAGGCATGTAAACAGATTCTGTATCTGTAGTGTATCCACATCTCTGATCACTAGACGAAATTCAACCACTGAAGCCTGTAAATAAATACACATTATTTATGTAAAGTTTGATATTAAAAAGAAATTGGTTTCTTTAATTAAATCTAAACTGACCGTGTTTCAATTTTCATATTTTCTTTGCTTTAAAGTGGACTGATATACGATTTTCAATTAATACATTGTAATTTTTTTTTATACATATCACATCCACTGAAAGTATGTATAAATTTTTGCTTTCATAAAATTTGACACTTGATGCCAACTAGAGAATTTGTATAAGCAAACACTGAACTGAGATTACTTGCAATTCTTATAGATGTGTATACATAATATATTAAACATGACATTTTTTGTGTTACATTTTCAAGTATCTTAAACAAAATTTGATGTCATAAAACTCTGTTTTGAGTGTGAAAAATTTTATTTGGTGGATTATAGGTTTTTTGTAATATAATCTGCTTATAGACTTTTACTAATATAAAAAGGGAGAACAGTTTTATTGAAGCAGGTAAACTCTTTCCTATTCAAAATTTACACAAAGTAAATTGTAACACTTATACCATAATCCAAAATGCTGATTAGTCAATTGATGCTTAATGTTTCCTTCAGATTTTCTCTAATTCCTGACAGTTTTTAATTTGGCACCTTGCTGTCAGATTACTTATCAAAGAGGTAGAACTCAACATGTAACATTGCACAATAAACAGGCTTTGAATGATACTTCATATTACCATGATTGTAAATAACATTTATATAAAACTTATGGTTTTCCAATAAAACCAATATATATTTTATATTTTCTTATGCATCTGATTTGAACAAATTTTACTTCAATATTTTTTTTTAACTGTGGGATTAGGCACAAGTTCTAAAAACTTAATTCGCCCTCTCACACATGTAAATCTAATTACACATGATATAATTATGTTGATATGTTAATTAAAAAAGGTGTTTGAGAATTGTTTCAATATCCAGCAAGAATTAAAAAAGCCAAGAAAACATAATTTTTCAAATTATTATTAATGTCTTCATGAACAGTTTATGTGCTTTCGTTACTGTTCTGTAGAAAATAATGTGTCTCCTGCATCATTTTATTGTGCCAGAAAGAATATGAAGCAAGGGAGTGTAAGCTTTATGACTGAACAACCATTCAAGTTTATGAAAAAGGTTTGTGTGAATGATTAAATCAGGTGAACTAGAAAGGACATCACGTAGTACAATAATACATGAATCTTGTCAGTGTGTCTACTTCCTTACCAAATACTTTCCGTTGGGGGAAAACTTGCAAATTTGACTACTTTGACGGAACAACTCGGAAAAATTCATGTCAATTTCTTTAATATTTCAAACAGTTTGACGAATGCTCATCTGGAATACACAAAAAGAAAATACACTATACAGTCCTATCAGCATGTGTCAACATGCGACAGTCGCCATCTTCTCGTTAGCTCCAAATACCGTGCACCTTTTTGCATCGTGTTGTTAGCGGCAGAACTCACAATCACTTTGATCAATCACCATTAAAATGTACCGTACTGTTTTGTAATTAGCCTGTTAATTGCATCACAGGTAGCGTTAAAATCACAGGTGTGTGTTTTCATAAGCAACAACTTTTCAAGTGTAATCTTCGGACTCCCGACTGTGCTGCGCGCTGATTGGTCGATCTGTACAGTTAATCCCTGGGGTCACGGGTATATAGCAGGTAAAGAAATGTTTGATTAGATTAAAAATATTTCCAATGGCTAAATTAAATTATAAACATAGGTAAGTGCATAAGATATTTACTTGTTTTAAAACTGGGTTCATCATTTTGTCCCGATTTCTGTCATAACGCGTTTCCCGCGAATATGCACCCGCCATAATAAATAGAAAACCACGTGGTATAGATCGAATTATTGACAGTGCAGTGTCAGAGAGTGGAAGAGTGAGGATCACCATTTGTGTTCAATTTCATTGTTTTTATGTCGTTACCTCATATATAGCCGTTAAAACGGCAATATTTTTTTTACTACCGTAAGTATTAAGAAATGACGTTTTTGTGGAAACACATCGAAGTTCAGAACTGTAGTAGTAAAAATGTCGATTTTGGGAGAATTTAGGAATGCCGAATGGCGGTAAAGTACATGTTCCGGTGCAAGCGTTTTGATGTTTTGGCAATTATTTTTGTTTCAACTTTGCCGGTAAATGTTTTATAGCTTGAAAATTGTAGTTGGTCACTTTGACCTCATTTCTGCTGTGTAAACAAACTCGATTTCTGTAGATTGATAAGATAAGGGGTCAAACATTCAAAAGTTCCGATTAAACTCTCAAAAGTTCTGTAAATAGTTTATATACAGTGAATTTTTCATTATTGAATATATCAAGATATGAAATCTGGCACTTGTATTTAAATATATTAGTAAATATAGGTGTATAGTGGATGCAAGTTTCAAAGAGCATTATTCATTTGATTAATGAAGATTATTTAAGTGTTTAAAAACATGTTAGACTGCAGTTGCAACTTAGCAATGGATACTACAATGTGATATCAAATGTGCAAATTTTCACGTAAATGGAATTCCCGACGATTTTGCATTCATGTCCCTTTTTTCCTTCTCTATTTTCCTTATTCTAGGAATCAATTTTGGTAAAATTCAAATGCAAACAAAGTTCTTATGTATGTCAGAGAAGAAAATAGATCAGTTAAGTTTGTTTGAACAATGGCTTAAAATGGGTGAACCCCATGGCTGTGTACTTTTCATTGAAGATCACATTAAAAGTTATTCATTTTTGTTGACAATTGTACCCTTTCTTTTCTCTCTGACCCATAAGTCTTTATTTTCAAAAGAAATTTTGTCAAGAAAATTGTTAAATAGAAGGAACTCGCTGTCATGGTTTGTTTGAAAAACGTTTTCAATAGAAAAAAACTTGAGATCAATTTCTATAGAATTGGTTTCCAAGCTTACTTGCACATTGTATGTATTTGCTTAACAGAGCATGGAAGGTACATTAATTTAGGTATCAACAGGCAATAGGAATCTTGGAGAATTTTTAGGTTAAATCTTTCTCTCATCTGATAACCAATATTACAGAGCAATTACTCAATACGGAACTTTCGAGATACGCCGGAATCGTGGTTTACGGCTGACTTTTACACACAGCAGTCACGTGATAATAAGGAAATGTAGGGCATTGTAATGGCGAATGTTTACATCGCAACGAAATATTGAGCAGACTAAATTATTCGACGTCTGAAAAAAAGGAAGAACACAGATACTCCCAGCCACTACTGGTGTTCTTTGTCAGGGTGTGCAGCAGACGGGAGGCCAGTTGAGCCACTTATCCTTGGATGCAAGGCGTCCAATTTTAAGAGGAAACTCAAATTACGAAGGCAGCGGCCTCAGCAGGTCTTTCGAGATGAGGAGTTTTCCCCTAGACGATACCACTCCGTTTGTTCCCTACATTTTGTAGATGGCTGTCCCACTGAAAACAATCCTATCCCTACCCTATTTAGTCGCTACAATTTCAAGATTCCAAAATAGAAACCACCTCCATTGAAAAACCTCAGCATGCATATGCGAGTACAACCACTATGAATATACATGTATACCTCTACATCAACAGAGAAGAAGTGTGAAAAGGGTCAATGTAAAAAAAAACAGGGCCATCCAGGAAGCTGACTAGATTCGAAGAATTCTTGATCACACTCCTTAGAATTTGACTTGGTGTCAACACCTCTTTACTTGCTAACTTGTTTGGGGTAGCCGAGAGTCAGGTATACCAAATATTTAGCACATGGATTAATCTCATATATAGGGTGTGTTACTAAGAAATATTAGATTCAAACTGCAAGTTCACTAATTTGTCTAAGTTTCAAATAAAAATTTAAATATTGTTAATATTTTATGAATATATCTTAATTTTTTATTATATTACAAATGGTTTATTTCCTTAAATAAATTAATTACTGGTAATTGGTAAATATATTATATATATATATTTATTTATTTAGATTCACAAATAATATAATTCACACAGAATATTAGTATTTTGACTTTGAAAAGTATTACTAAGTAACTGTATTTTATATAGGTATTTGGACCTCAAATTAAATGGCCTTCAAGAGCACAAGTATAAGGAAATTCATACCACACTCATTCAAGAATGCTTTTCCTTGGACAAGAGTTCAGAGTAGTCGACTGAACAGAGATGTTTGTTCAGCGGCCACGTACCCCTAGAGCACAGCATCAAACATACAATAACTATAAGAGCCATAACACATTAAAGTGCCTTGTTGGAATCACTCCCTCTTGTATCACCACTTGACAAACGAATAATGATCTATATATGATGCATGTAATTGTACTATCCAAAGATGTGTTCATGAATGCTCTATGATCATGAATAGTAGCTATGCACATAATATGACATCTGAAACAAGTGCTTACATGTAAATTAAATCAAAAGAATAAGATCTTTTTCATGTATCTGAATGTTCATTCCATAAAGGCATCTAAAACATACCAGACCTGGGGTCAATTACTTTAAATGTAATGCATTAAATTACAATTACTTCAAAATTTTTACCATTACAATTACCATTACCCTCATTTAGAAAAGTAATTAATTAAATTACAATTACTTTGTTTAAGTAATGAATTACATTACACATTACATTTTATAAGAGAAAAACACAAATTTTATGACCACACAATTTATATCTATACTTTTCACACTTTGTGCTTGGTTGATATGCTTTCCCTCATGTCTGTAAGTCAGAGTGGTATTTGGATTTTGTATTCATTTATCATGTTCATGTAGTTTACCAATCTACCATGATCTACAGTTGACAAAGAAAGTGGATCGGAACACTTTTAATGTTGCAGTTTTGTTCAGTCTCTGATGTTAGTTCCTCCGTTTTTTTTTTAAATAAATGTATTAATGTCACTTGTTTTGTGGCTTCTTTGAAACCCAATGATTTCTTCTTTTTTTTTCAAAACAATTCTGGCTTTCTTCAATTGATTTTATAACTGTCTTGTCAAGAAGTTTTCCATTAAAACAATTATTTACATGTAGTATGTCTGTCAATCACCACTGAATAAACATTTTTTTTTTTTTTTAAAGTAAGATATAGGATTTTAATTTTAAGACTCTAACATTATAAATAAAAAAAAAATAACCTCTCAGTGACCTTTATTTGTTTCAGATTCAATAATGAAGAGAGATTTAAAACCAAAATGTAATTGAAAGGCAATGGTCATTACTGACATTTTTTTTTAAATTAATGCATAAACATTACAATTGTAATTGAAAGATGAGTCCATTACACATTACATCCAATTACTTTGAAAAAATGTAATGATTACAATGCATTACCATTACCCCAGGTCTGATACAAACTGTAATGTAAATATTGTATTTATTTATGAAAGAATTTAATCATATGATCATGATGATCGAAATATTTTATTGTTTGTTCCTAATTTATATTTATCAGTTCAGGTATTCTGCCATCAATAAATTATGAATATTAATGAATCCTGTACCTTAGACCAAAAGTGTTTTAAGTTTTTCCTCACTGTTATAATCAAGAATGCCATAAATTATTATGCATTACATGCTTATCTCATTTACAAATTTGTTGCTCTGCTATACTTAGAGAGACATAATTGCAACTTTCAAATGTTTGTCGAAGAGATATTCACATTTTTGTACTATTTCCTCAAATTTCAAAGGATCATAATGTATTTGCTCACAGAAAAATCCACATTTTGTGTAAAAACACAGGAGTTGAAACAATTTTTTTCTTCAATTTCTTTAATAGAGTTGTTGTTCAAGGACTTGCATGGGTTGTTTATTGAATGGTGAGCGCTAACTTCAGGTTCTTCTCCTGTATAGTCCTGTAGTTTTATGTAATTGGCCAATACAAGATGAGATGACACGAGGCTTAAAAAATTGTCCCAAACACATGGAATATCTGTTCCGACTTGAGTGTGACAGTCTTTGTGCCTCTCACAGAATGAAGCCACAGCAAATATCGAAGCTGTACAGTGCTTACACGACCCATCATCTCTAAAATCAAGAGAACTTTTGTTCAAAGTGATGAAGTATTGAATATGAAATTCCATGACATGAATAGTGTATTGAGCAATTTACATAATCATAAATGCTTGTAGGCTGAGACAGGGCTCCCTCTGTGTATGTGTTTTTATGAACAAAAAGCATTAGTATATCTTTATGAAATAACATTTTTGATAATTATTGCTTTAAATTCTACTGGAGAATCTGTAGTCATAATGTGAAAACCAGAATATTTACACTACATCCACCTGAGTGAATCTGTTCATTGCCCTCAACAAATATCCAGGTCTTGTATGGATCTGCATCTGGCTAGTCTCAGGAACTGTGTCACACTTGATGTACTGAAAATCATCAGACAGGGGGGACACTTTCACTTTATCAACGTGGTTGTTTTAGTCTGTATCCATTGTCTTGTCTCTGTCTATGTTTTCAACCGAGAATAACGTACTCCAGCCATCGTTCAAAAGTTTTATGAAAACATCGGAAATCTCAATGTTCGGCAGTTTTATGAGATCTTCAGACCACCTATCAACACTTGTTATATTTCGGAAAACTTTATCTCCAACAGTTTGACATCACCACCCTGTAGGCCTAATCATCTGCCACTTCTGAATTTCAACTCCCAGTTCACAAAGTCTTATCAAATGATGATTTTAATATATTGAAAAAGCTATTCCTTTAAAGGATAAAAGGTCTTTCAGCATAGGCACTTGCCAAGAATTGAAATTATAGTCGTAATCACAGTCTGTATCTAATGACGCCATCGTTTACATGCCCTACATTTCACTTTTGCGTGATGTAAAAATCGGGTCGGAAACGTATCTCGGAAGTCGCGTATTTGAGACATCTGTAGGCATTTCTTGGAAAGAAAATTTTCGTAGATTCATAGAAAGAGATGTATAGGTCTTAAGAATTAAGGGGTTTGGGGGTTGTTTGTTTGTTTGTTTTTTTTTTTTGTTTTTTTTTTTGAACTTGCATTATTAAAAAAAAAAAAAAAAAAAAAGGTCATGCTAAAATTTTGTGCAGATGTTAAATGATTAATCGATCTGTCAACAACCAAACTTTGACACAATTTTTGATGTAAAATATTTTTCTTCAACTTGTATAATTTGTATTATATAGATATTTGTGCATCATCTTGTACATTCCTATACTTCTCAATGGATTCTAAGGATCAATTCTATTACAGATTTGGAAAATATTCATCGAAAATACCAATGTCGCAGACAACCATATCTCCTAATAGTTCAGTCACTGGGCCCCCCTTGTCCCAGGAAGCTTTTGATTACTTGTGGCATAGCTTAGAAGAGTGTACTGACCAAGGGTAAACAGTTTTATTTATTTTATTGATTTATTTGTAAGGGGGGGGGGGGGGGGGGGGCATTGATATAAAATGGATAAAGTACTTGAAAAAGAAATATGGGGAAAGAAATCAGTAATGTACTGAAATGAAGATTTTAGAATGTACAAATTAAGATTTGTTTTCCTTAATTGCTCTGAGTAAGATAGATAGATAGATAGATATATATATATATATATATATATATATATATATATATATATATATATATATATATATTATATTATGTTATTTCTGATTTTATCATTTTTCTTTGGACAATGTACTGATAAATGTGCAGGGTTGTCCCTAAGAATTAAAATAGCAGGGGACATTAAAAAAGTACAAGGGGATCTGGGGTTCCTCTCTTAACAGAAGGATGAAGGGGAATACCAGAGTAACTTGGGGATTAAGTCATTATAGGCAGGGAAATTCCCAGGCCCCCAGGACTTGGGGACAACCTTGATGTGAAATATTCTTGGTACAAATTGATGCAAGGGTAAAATAAGTGGGTTTTTTTTTTTTTTTTATCTTACTATAGCCAGTACACTCATATACAACAGAGGGACTTGGATTATTCATACGAGGATATAAATGAGGATGAAGATACCACTAGCCTTCAGATAGAAAGATTTCAAATAAAATCGAATCATCAAGATTCGATTACAGATCTGGTAAGTTTGAGTTTTTTGTTTTTTCTCTTTGAGTTTGAACAACCATAAGAGTGTTTGTCTTGGGTAAAAACTCGGACACATAAAAATTTAACTTGTGAGTAAAAACAAAACATTACTTTAAGGAGCTGAATGATTTTGTATTTATAATAAGATTGTAATAGGGGAAAACCATTGACCACCATCAGTTAAGTGTTCCATTATATTAACAGTGTTTTGAGGGATTAATAATTTTTACTTTTACTCCGTTCTTGTTGCTTTAATTGAGTTCCATTTTCCACAAATATTTACCCAATGTGTTTTTGAATATTTACACATCAATTGAAGCATCTAATAGAAAATCAATGAAAATTCTCTACTGTTTTTACATAATATGCTTATATTAGTGTCATGAATTCATGTTTCATATTTTTAAAGTGCATAATTAGACAAAATTGGAAACTGATCAAATTGTCAGTGTGATAACATAATAGTATAAGATATAGAAGAATGTGCAAGATCATTTTATTTCAGTGGAAATCATTCCATGTGAAAATTTCTTTAATAGTTATAGTCAGTTATCCTTTTAAAAAATTTGATCCCTCTCCCAAAAAATTGGATCCTTCTCTGAGCCTAAGGCTAGTGGTCTAATGCTCATATCAGGTGTCTGTGGTGCTAAGCGGATGAGAGTTATTGAACCCCCCCCCCCCCCCACCACCACCACCACCTGGATGGGACACTAGTCCATGGGAGGTTGACCCCCACCCACAACATAACCAAGGACTCATTGCATCTGGATGTACTAAGACAATGCAGATAAAGTGCCTTGTCTAAGGACACAACATCAAGTGACCACAGCAGGGCTTGAATCAGAGACCTTTGTTACTGGCCAAACACTCATGACCACTGAGCTATGTACTCCATATTTAAAAATTGGATGCAAACCAAATTTTAGCCCATTATTGATCAAGTGTAAAACAGGCTAAACAACACTCATTAAATTATAAATGAAGGCCCTAATCTGATTACGCTGTTGTCCTGTTTAATATTAGACCACAAAGGCTTTAGGCCTCTATTCCTTATACCTGCTGACAGTCTTTGTTACCTTTAATTAGGTGTAAGAACATTACCTGGATATGCTAAAAGGCCATTGTTAAACTGGGTTGTATTACATAAACTAATAATGCATTTGCTGGTGTACTATGGCAAAACTAGGTTAAATGTTTACAAGTCTTTAAGATATTACATAGAGTTAAAGCTTGGAGTATGAAATCTTTGTTTGCACAGCCCTGTTGACTGATCTAAACAAAGCCATGCTGGTCTGCTATATATAGGTTTAACCCCAGTAACCAAGACAACAGAATGCCAATTTTAATTATGCACTGTTTCTCTAAAATTTACTGCAGTACCTAAAATCATTAAAAATTTAAAACAAGGTATTTATAAAGAGATCATGCATGACGAATATCCCTTTAAATCAATCTTTTGTTCCCCCTTTGCGTCACCCTGAACTAGAGGCATTATCATATTATAAATACTTATTGATCACCTGGTATTGAACTCTGCCAATATCTACGTGTTTGGGCAGGTAGATTGTCGCACGGACTTTATACAAGTTTATACCTGTGTACAGGCAAATGTTTTATTCCATATAAACTAGTTTACAATTTGAAATGCTTTAGTGAGGAGTATTTTTATTTTAACTTTCTGTGATATTTATTTATTTATTTTAAAAAAAAAAGGTACAGTTTTTGTACTGTGAAAATTAACTAAAGATATTTTTATCATTATCCGTCCACAATGATTAAGTTTGAAAGAACTGGATTTACTACATACAGGGTAAGTTGAGTACTAGTTGTTTACATCTCATTAATGAAAAGGTAACATCTTTTAATTTCGTTGACTAGTAATACAACACTAAATAAAGATCAATTTTTTTTTCTAAATTTCTTTTTGTTTTACTATATAAACACTAAAAAATATTAACCATAATTTTAAGTTATAAATAAAATCAATTTAATTAAAATTAAATTTTATAAGTCAGGAATGTGGCATGTCCCAAGTCTTTCTATAAATAGCTGTCCCACAAATGAGTTGTCAACCTATGTATGTATACTTGTAGATATAACTATAGGTACACTTGTGGCTTAGAGAATTGAATAGAATATTTAAATTTCTCTAGGCCAAACTGATAAGGCATAGGGCAGTTCATGCATTTCTGGTAAATATATATATGTGAAAGAGATGAAGAAAAGCTTCACCTATTTTCATAAATTTCCCTACTAAATGTTTTATGTTAATTCATTTGCTTTCTCATTGGAGGATAGATTAATTGTCGCCCTGATAGATATTGATCTGTGGGGAACTGGTCACCAAAAATAATTAGGCTTATCTATAATAGCATTCTCCCATCATTGATCCTGTAGTAGATTGAGCAATCAAGCCCTTGTTGAGATAATTAAGTGTAAAATGCATTTTCATTAAACTACACAGGTCACAGATTTTTTTCCCCTGTCTCCCATGTGCTATTGATTTCTAGAATGGTTGATGCAGAAGCTATGCCAGAAATTTTTTACCATGCCAAAAGGAAGAAATGACAATCAATATGAAATAAAGATTGTATCATGAAATTAAAAACCACAGAACATCCAGAAACAAAAGATGTTAAATACACAAATCTGTGAATGTGCAACATAACTTTTAATTTTGCAAAAAAGTAACCCAGATGAAATGATTGATTCTTGGTTTGGGTGAAAAGATTTTATTTTTGAATAACAATTGCCATTCTTGTTGCAGCTTAACCCCATTATTCCACAATCAACAGCCTCGTCAATGAGCCCAGACTCACAGACTGGCATCATAGGCAGCTCAACAGCATCATCCCCATACAATGATGTAAGTTTATTACCTGTCTGCTATTGCATACAGCATACACTGGATTCCATCGGAAGTTTACAGCTGTAAATTAGAGAGACTTTAAATTTTAATCTGACATGAAATTGAATTTTGAATAGTAAAGACCAAAAAAAAAATTGAAAGTCAGTGATACCAATTCTTGTTACCTAAACATACATTAAGCATGATTTAGACATTAAAAAATAGCTTTCCAAACTGATCTATAGAGTTGGCATGTTTCATTAAGAATTTTAAGTAGATTTCAAAAACAAAAATTAAGTGATAAAGATAAATCAAATCTCACATGCTGGGACACACAAATCATGTTTGGGAAAATGTCACCCTCAGAGGCTGACAGATAATATTACTGTTTTTTTATTAAGCCAGTATTAGAAATGTAAACTGTTCACTCAACATGCCAAGCTAATTCATCAGGCCTTAGTTTGTTTAACTGACAATGAGAGAGTGTGTGTTTGATGCTATTCAATCAGTGTTATCTAAACATATTAAGTTAATTACTGTGTTTGACACCCTGCATTGATATATATAAAATTAGCAGATGTAATAGAATTCAAAATATTTATCTTGGCTATTCTGTACTACACAGTTAATACTTCAGTCTAAGTACTTTTTGAAAATGAGAATGAAAATGTTGGATTTGAGTTTCCATGCAGAAGAATTAGATGAATATTATGCCATTTATGATGAAAACAAGGTAAAAATGTAGTCAGAGAGCAAGTTTATTGATCTCTCTAAGATAAAATTGATTTTGTATTTCATTCTTCAAGATAATTTATTGATACTTTTATTTTTTCCAGACCATCACATCTCCCCCACCGTATTCACCACACACAAGTATGACCTCACCCATTCCAACAGTTCCATCCAAGTAAGTCAAGTCCAAGTAGATCCTGTTTTCCTTTGTGTGAATTATTAGTAAATAAAATGATTTACAGCAAATTAAGCTTCAGGCAAAAATATGGGGCTTTGTTTCGATGGGAATATAGGCAGAAGAAATTGAAGAATTGTAATAGGAATCTGGATATCACAGTTTCTTATAGGGTCATAGTGTTATTTTTGTGATTTTATATAGAGAAGATTAAAGAAACTTTGAAAAGAATCACTGGAATGGAATTTTAACTAACTGGATATTTGGCTTGGTCTCTGTTGAATTGTAACGGTATAGTTATTCATAAAAGCCCTTCTTTAAATCCCTTAGCGACATGAACAAACTTGAAACCACTTCAAAATATCTAATGTCAACATTGTGCTTGGTCAACAAAGTGTGTCGCATTAAAACTCCCACTTAAGAAACTCAGAGGAATGGGTTGTTAAAAAATAGAATTGCTTTGTAGAAAACAATTTTCTCTAGTGTTAAAATTTAATGACAAAAAGGTCAAATGATTGAAAAAATCAATTCTTCTCTTCAAGTTTAATAATTTACATACTGAACGCGATAAAACTAACCCACAATGTCATTTTTACCTTAAAGTCTAGTATATTGTCAACAGATAATAATCAATAATAATCAATAAATTCTTTTCACATTGTACAGAACGTTTTTAAAACAGCCTTTACAGTATATGGTTATTGGTAAAAAGGTCAATACATTTATTCTGGGTACACTTAGAATCCATTTTTCCCATCCTCATTAGAGTGATATTGATTTTATTTGCTTTTTACCTCCATTTTGTCTCTTCCATAGTTATTCAAAACATTTTAAAATTACATGTTAAATACTTATGAATGAATTCAGTATATTAAATAAAGTCCTTTGTTAGACTGTTAAAGTGAATGCAGAGTACAATTTTTAAATCTTACTTATCTTTTACAGCACTGATTATGCTGGGGATTCTGGATTTCAAATATCATTTTCGCAACCATCGAAAGAAACGAAATCAACAACTTGGACAGTATGTAGAAAATAAATCTTGATCACTTGTACCTATAAATCATGCTTTTTTTTCCCCCAGTTCATGAGTGTAAAATAATCTCTTTATTGAGTATGTAATTTATCCATATTATTTTGTGATAATGAGACATTTTGTCCTTTGCAGTACTCCGAATCATTAAAGAAACTATATGTCAGAATGGCTACAACATGCCCAGTACGTTTTAAAACACAGCGCCAACCACCTGCAGGTTGTATTATCAGGGCAATGCCAATTTTTATGAAACCAGAACATGTGCAAGAACCTGTCAAGCGTTGCCCAAACCATGCAACATCTAAAGAAAATAATGAGAGTAAGCAATATTTTCAAATATTTCAAAAGACATCATAATTAGATACTTTACATTCATGGTACTTTTGAGCATGTTAAGTTATAATTTATTTGAGGAAAGGATAGAAAGTGATCAGATGGATTACAGGGATTATGTAACATTTGTTATCAGGGCACTGTATGGATAAAGTTTGTATCAGCTGTAATCCTCTATGTTGACAAAATCACCAGTAATTGTGACTTTGAAAGATCTCGTTCTGTTCACATACACAGTAGAAATGTGCATTTTACTATCAGCGGAAGAAAGATTTTTTTTTGATAAATGTATTTGAAAGCTTGTAAACAAACCTTTTAAAAGAAGTCTCAATTAGCACAATAATTCCTTGCATATTAGCTTTATTATAGTTAAATTCTATGATCTACATGTATTTCTATTTATAGATCATCCCGCTCCAACACATTTAGTGAGATGTGAACACAAACTGGCAAAATATACGGAAGATTCTTATACATCCAGACAAAGTGTTATAATTCCCCATGAGCAGCCCCAGGCTGGGTCAGAGTGGGTGACAAACCTGTTCCAGTTTATGTGTCTGGGTTCCTGTGTGGGAGGGCCTAACAGAAGACCCATCCAAATTGTCTTCACCCTTGAAAAAGAGTAAGTGTCATAGAATTGTCAAATCAGTTAATGCATTAATACTCTAAAATGAAAAATAAGGAATTTAACTGCATAACAATGGTCTAAATGACAACTTGTCAAATATTTGCAGATTTCTGATTTTATCACAATTTTTTATTCTAGCAACCAAGTGCTTGGTAGACGGGCAGTGGAAGTAAGGATATGTGCTTGTCCGGGGAGGGATCGCAAGGCAGATGAAAAAGCAGCTCTCCCACCTGCCAAGCAGTCACCCAAAAAGAGTAAGTGTAATTGTATTTGGCACTTTATTATTGTCCTAAGTATGACAAGAATTTGAGGATATTTTCCATGTGATTATATTTACAGATGTATGATAATCTTATTTTCAGTTGGGAGTAAGATCTCTTATGGAACAGAAATTACGACCATAATGCCTGGAAAGAAGAGGAAGTTGGATGACGGAGGAGAGGAATCTTTCACCCTGACAGTGAGTGTTAACAGCCCTATCAGAATTTGACTATCCACTTTTTTTGCATTTATTCAGGTTTTAAAAATTGATCCTCTGTTTATAGGTGCGTGGTAAAGAAAATTATGACATTCTTTGTAAACTGAGGGATTCCCTAGAACTTGCATCCATGGTTCCACAGAATCAGATTGATCGCTACAAGCAACAGCAGGTGGAAGTGAACAGACAGTAAGTGTTACCTTGCTATTACAACAGGTCATCACTCCAGCAGCTGTTGGCATGGTTTGATGACTTGATGAGCTTTTCTTGTATCAGTCTTGGCAAAATGCTTTCATCAACTAACACTCTTCTGAAATATATAATCTTTTTTTTTTAATTTTTTTAAAGAAATTCTTAAATACATGAAAAGTTGATAACATTATCATATAATTTCTTTTTGGAAATGAAATGTTGAAAGGAGAGTGTTGGTTAATGACTGCATTTGTAAAACATATTTAGATTGGTTTGCAAGTCCCCTTCATTTTTTTAAAAGATTTTTTTTTTAATTCTTAATTCTTAAAACAATTAGCTGGAAATTGAAATTATTAAAGAAAAATGTGGCTTGAAAACCAATTTTACCAATCCATACTCAATGATTAGCTAATACTTAATAGTTAAGTTGTTAGGTTTTATGACAGATGTAATTGAGTATGGATTGGTACTGGTATACGCTTGCAGATCGAGTGAAAGAGGTGTGGTTGGCCGCTAAAAGAACAAGAGGGATAGAGATGAGAAAAGGTACACAAAGGATATGAAAAATCTTTGTGAACCTTTATTGTAGAAAATTTTGTCCACTCTCTCCTTTCTTTTGAATTTTCTGATATCCAGAATATTAAATTGAAAGGGGGTATTCCTAGTTCACGTTCCCACTAACCGAGGTTACTGCATGAGCACTTCTTTCCTACTGACCTCAAAGACCTGTTCAACACTGTGTTTTGACCAGGACTTTGTTTGACTGTTGCCCGTTATGGTAAGCTGTGAATTGATATTTTTTCAGGCCTTCAATACAGAAAGATAATCATGCACCGGCTATAGAATATGAGAATAGTGACTTTATCGCGAATTGTTTGGAACCTGAAATAGACTTTCCCTCAGTTTTCAATGGCAGCCACCTCAACCTAAAGCAGGAGTTCAGTTTCACAAGCCAGTTTATGTTCTCTGAAGTTGAAACGTAGAAGATAGAGAATTAGTTGACGGTGTAGACTTTTGCCCTGATCTTGCCTGACTTGTTGTAGGTGGCTGTCTGTAGTTCTGGCCCGTGAGAGCAAAAATAAATTGATGAAAAGAAAATCCAAGCCAGGGAAAGTTCTCAAACGACCCTGTTAGTGAGACAGAGGCCAGAGATTGAGCCAAAACCTTGTAATTCTGGAAGCAGGTCTTCGTAATGACAGGATACAAGCATATTCTACAGATGCTACCAGTTGTCCTTGTGTCAGGGAATTTCCAAAGTGCTGGGATAACTTCATCATGCCCCAACTCTCTGAAGCACAACATTGTTTTCTTGATCCTCCACAGACTTTTCTTGCATGTCATTTTCATTATGATTAAATAAAAACTGATTTTGCTGGAGGCTCTACCTCCATATATTATGTGTTCATATTTATGCAATTAAGAAATTGCGAAGATTTACTTATAAATGTTTATTATACTGTATGTGACATGTTATGTTAGCTGAATCTTTTTAGCTTTTATAACTTGGCCTGTAAATTGGATCTGGGAATTAATTATTTGTATTCAAGATATTTTAATTTATTTGTTGTTGAAGATGAATTTGTTAGTTGTAGTAACTACATCCGTCCTTTTCAATAGTGCTGAATATTATTATCTTTGATATTAATTTTGTAAATAATTTATATTGAATGTTTCCTATTTAAAACCATTTTATTTCCTTTCTGAAGATAAAGCAGGGATTTATCATGCTAGAATCATGCATTTTGAAATTACAACTGCCAGTAAAATTAGAAATAGATGGTGAATGTATGGAATATTGTATATTTTGTATATGAAATAAACTAGAACAAAAGTGACATTTGTTTTCATTGGAATCTTGCGCGATAATTATCTTGCACGAGTTCTATCCCTTTGACTTCATTGTTTTTTTTTTTTAAAGACAAAACCTCATATGGCCAAACACAGTTATTATAGACAGCATAAATGTTTACATGGTTATGAAGCAGTTATTTTAGACAAGATATACTTGGGTATAGCCAAACAAAGTTAACAAGTGATTATTTGTATAATAAGCATCTGGAAGGAAGTGCTCAAGGAAAAATGTGGGAAAATAACAGGAATGTTTTTTCATGTTGCAGTGAAAAGTTTATCTCCTCCAATTCAAAAGAGCAAGGTTCACTTGAGACCTTGTTTTGTCGAGTGAATTTCTGAAAAATTAAAACTGCTCAAATTTAGTTGGCAATACATTAAATATCACTTGGCCCTCTGGTGACTGCATATCTATTGAAAATGATGGAATTTTCTTGTGTGGACAGGCATTGGAGAGAATCGTAAACCCTTGGCTAGCAAAGATGCAATTTTCAAAGTTCATGGGAAAGTTTTATTTTTCAAAAATTGTATTTTATTGAATAACTTACTGATTGATAATTTCTTTTTAAAGATAACTGTTAAGCATATTTAGTGGAAATGGGTTATAGCCATATAAGATAATTTTTGATTATGAGTGGTTTAAGTCTTCATTCTACGTAAACATTTAAATGATGAAAATATGAATGTGAAGTTTTTATTTTATTTTTCAAAAAAAATTTTTAATTGAGTATGATTGTATGAACCCATTCCATATGATATTGAAATTTTTTAAAAAATTATATGTTTCAACAAACTCATTTATTTAAATCACACTGACACAACATACAAGAAGCCTAGGGGTCAAGGCATTTAACATAACACCCTATCGCTAGCTTTGGAGTGATTTTGAATCATGCATGAGGCTCTTTTTTTTTTCACATATCTTAAAAACATAACTGAAAAATTATTTATTTATCAGTAAATAATTCAAAGTAATAAGGAAATCAAATATGTAAAAGATGAACATGACAACACAATATTTGAAAAAAAATATATCAATTTCCTGTGAAATTTTAGAATTGAGAAAAACATTGTTTCAGAGCAGAGGATTGTCCTTGCCTTATACACCTCCATTCTTTTATGATTTCACTTCTCTGCTCTTCTTGGAAAATATGTTAAATCTTTATGCACCAATGTAAAGAGTGAGATAAAAAGAAAACAAAAAAACGACCAAGCAAACAAAAAAATTGAATTTATGTGGTTTTTGTCAACACCTCCCTCCCATCAAAACTAATTGTGATGCATGTTGAAGATTTGATTATCAAGTACTGTTAAATAACATATTTATTTTGCTTATACTTAAAAATAGACATTTCATATAACAGAAACATGAAGAATCATGTTTGCACTTTTTGGTGCAATTGTGGACAGAATTTTTAATTTCACTTGTAAGGGAATATTGCATGTCATGTCCACCAGAAACTTGAATGTCAGCAACTACGTTAGTCGTGATGGTATGAACAAAATAACTACATTGAAAACTTCAAATTTGAAAAAAAGCTTAATAAGAAGAATTACCAGTCCAATTTCAACTAATAAAATTGTGATGATAAGGCCATCTTTAAAAAAAATTGTTTGCTTGCCCTCTGCCATCCGACTAAAATCAGCCCGACTCAAAACTTTTTTAACCTACAGGAAACAATTTCTTTTTATTCATTCCGAAGTTTTCTCATCCCATTCATAACTATTTTAACTTCATTTTCGCAAGTGCTTTTTAATAAAAAAAAAAAAAAAAAAAAAACCCTTCCTACCTTCCCAATTTTTTTTATCCTTAGTAGGGAGAGGGCAAGCAAACTTTTTTTTTTAAAAGATGGCTTAAGTAGTCTCTTGCGGGGAATATTAAATCTGTCTTGCAAGTATTTTTTATGGAAATGTCACGCAGTGTATTTCGCATGTAAAGGAAAATTATGAAGCAAATTCTGTTAAAAAGAAAAAGTCCTGCAGGATGTATGTTGTATGTGCAGAGCTTAATTTATGAATATAAATAAGTTGGGTATTGATATAAACATTTACAATTTTGCATATAAAGAAGTCTTGTGGTCACTTTTACCCAGGGTTTAAAAAATCTGTTTTGCAAGTAATATCTTCTGCTTGGCATTAAATGTGAAAATGTGCACTGATACAAGCTGGACTAGTAAAACTACCAAAAGTATATTTCAAAATACATACTAATAAGGATTTCAAACAGTACTGGTCCAGGTTCAAGTATGTCCTGTTGTTGTTGTCCTCTAATACCGGTATGGCCAACTTGAAAAAATGTTTCAACGAGGCAAATAGTATTTTCTGATGTGTTCCTGTTAAAAATCTTGCTGACGTGCAAATAAACACAGTGCAGCTTGGAAAGGATTCACTTTTTAAAACTTAAAAATCAGCAGTTTTTAAAAAAAATCAATAAAGGAATGGTGTCGCAGACTCTGATGCATAAGCTCCTTTCCAAGAAATTGGGGGGGGGGGGGGGGGTTCTGGTATCTTTACTGATAAAAATAAATGAAAGAAAAAAAATTCTTCGCTGTTTAAAGAAGCAAATTAAAAGGCAATTCATTTGCTTGGACATAAATATAAACGCCAGGAACACCATCTTGATTGTCATGGCAATGGCAGTAACAGATAATACAAAAAAATTAGACATAAAAATAGAAAGATTCTCAACATAGATTAAAATTTAAAATGTTATCAATTTTTAGGCCCACTTTGATAGCAGCAAGTCGAGAATCCGAGGTGGTTGTGCAGACAGAGTCAACTAGTAGACAGGCCACTCTCCCATTTACACCTGAGGTAGCCAATCAGATTCAAGTGTCTTCCTCGCAAAACGGTGCTGTCCAAGTGATCCCAATAGAGAATGGAGACGCTCAAATAAAGGAGGAGCTGTTGAATGGCACTGACAATAGCATTGCAAGGTAAGGCCTATCCTAAAATTGTGATATAAAATTTTAGCGTCTGCTTTATTCAAATTTCGGAATGAAAAGGAATAAGCTAGAAGACATGCGCATACAAAAGAAATCAGGAATTTAGAACGCCGAGTCAGATGAATTTCCAACCTAATAAGAATAAGAGTTATCGGTCTTTGAATAAGAAATAATCTGCACAAAATAACCGGGTTTATTCATGTTGGATAAACCCCATTAAGTAATAAAAGTGAAGAAAATAGTGATGATTTTGCAAGAAATTTAGATACCTATCCATGAATGTAAGATGCCCATTTTGTAACAGTAAAAATATAAGGGAAAAGGATTATTGTCTGGTGAAAGAATTGATTATAAAATAATTTTCGTTGATTTTTTTATAGTTGGTTGACCAGCTTGGGCCTCTCAGCATACATAGACAATTTCCACCAACAGAACCTGGTGACAATGAGCCAGTTAGAAGATCACACTTTAGAGGTACATAATTAAGGATATCTTTACAACAAGTTATTCTGCAGTATGAAATTCTACATTGGACTATGTACTTGAATTATGCATTTTTTGTTGTCAGATTTTGCCAGGATATCTTTTTTGATAAGATTTATAAGTAAGTACAGTCATTTGGTTTAATTTGCCTTATTTTATTTTAGGACCTCCAAAAAATGAAGATCGGAACAACACACCGCAACAAGATTTGGAAGGGTTTAGTGGAGTACAAGAACTCAGTAAACTGCCTGGACCCAGAATCCTTACAAAGAGATAATAGCACAGCTTCCTCCATTAATCTGAACTCCCAGGGTTCCATATCGCAGAGCTCCACCTATTGCCCGGGATATTATGAGGTCACCAGGTACACCTTTAAGCACACAATTTCTATGACACGAGAGACCAAGAGGCCGAGGACTGATGAGTAAATGCTGTAAGGACCAAAGATTCCACACAACGAGCAGTACTGTACAGACATTTTGAAAACTTTGTATATGTACGTTTTGGTCAAAATGTTGATGCTTATTTATGCAAACAAGGAAATGTTTTCAAGATTTTACAATCTTTGCTCTTTTTTGTGAGAGGAGCAGTTTTGTAGAAAATTGTTTCAGCTTTTTTTTTTCCCCTTGTCTATTTGTTAATGATTGTTATGTATATTTTTGAGTTTCGTAGAGTTAGCATTTGAACAAGAGTATAGACTTGTGTATGGTCTTATTTGCTTTTTTTGTTTTGCTAGGGTTAATTGGTTTTTGTTTTGTTTTTGATGTTAATTTAAAAAGAGATATACAATGACAAAACGTTAATGGTGTTCAAAGTTCATTGTGAACAAACTACTTCTGTGTTCAGTGATGCAATTACATTGATATCATGTTCATGTCGTCCTGCGTTTTTATATCACAAGTGAAATTATGATGGTGCAATTAAAGTATTCCATTTTCATTCCATTTCAGTTTGAGATGCATTAAACTGTATTTTTTATGGGTCATTTTATAACCATTGGCTTTCCATGGTTTTATACTTCTCAAAACATTTTAAACATTGTTGATTTTGATTTTTTTTTAATTCATAAAAAAATTTATGGTACTTATGGTTTTAATAAAAGTATCTCCATAACTTTCTTAAGTGGCAGAAATGTTTTCTACTCATCATTTATCATCTCATTTTATGCATCACATAAAGCAAGTCAAGAAACTCTCCGTCCTGTTCCATTTTCTGTTACTAGTTTTTTTTTTTTTTTTTCAAAGAAAAAGAAAAACATGTTGTTGAGCAATATTCTATATTTAACTGATATGTATTGTGTGTTACACGTGTCATTTGCTGTGAAGTATATTTAATGAGTGTGACAGTGTATAGGGTTCATTTTGAGTACAACAGTGTATCCATTACAAGATTTTATTTATTTATGAAATTGAACCATATTTTGTTTTGCCTAAATAATGTTGTAATACCCAAATTAACTTGTACATTTATATACTATGTAGTGAGTAGAGTTGATTTATATATTTAACATCTGTTTAAATAACTTTACAAACAATATTGGAATCCCTCTGATGAAATATCTCAGCATATTTGGACAACACTGCCTTTCAAAGATGTAAACTTACTGCATTTGTCATCATCTTGTTTAAATCTGTTAGGATAATTCATTATCTAATGGAAGTAATCACTGTTCAAAAAGCATTTGCTTTGAAGTAGGTATGAAAACGAATTAATGTTAGGAAGTGTTCGGACTTGGAGTGTGCAATTGTTGACATTGTGCCTTAGGATGTGTTATCAAATTAAATACAGCCACCTTAGCAGGCAATTTCTCCTCACTAGCTGTCACAGGTTCAGACAGTAACAAACTAGATACACGCCATTAGAGCTCTCCTTCTTGTCAAAATTACAGTGAGAAAGATGTCTGTAAATGGTAGCATGAACGTAACTATGTCCTATTGCACTTGAAACAACAAAAAATCAGTGCTTGTGTTCTTAGCCAATATTCTGATGTGTATAGTGTATGTGTTTACCAATATTTCCTGTGTTATATGTGATCTTTGTTTTACTGTATTTGAAAAAAACCATGAATGAAACAAAAAGTTGTCTACTTAAAGCTGCATATGATCGCCATATATGTAGAGAGAGTATTTTGAGACTTTTTTATGTTAAATCCAAATTTATGTGATAATTGAATGGTTCAAATGTTTCTTTGGCTTTATCGAGAATTTAAGAGAGAGAAGTTTTCTATGAATTGTTGATTGTACATACCTTGCAAAGTCTATGAAGCTTACTTTTGATAACCATTATATGATACAAATAATGAGTGGAAAATGTTTTATAATTTTGTTTTACAATACAATTATATAAAATAAAACAAGAAATATATCTGAATACTTGATTGTATAGTTTTTCTTTCTCATGTCTAAGATGTGTCTTCTTAATATTTCCAGATACCAATGGTTTAAGTATTAAGTGGTGTAATTAATTTCTTTTTTGTTCAGATCTTTGGTGCATAAGATGAACTGACTTGATTTGTCACAAACGGACATAAAGAGGAAAAATGATAGTCGTTGAGGTCAAGTTATGAAAAGGGACATGTGAAAGATGCATAAATAGGCTGTCAAAATAATGCGAGGTGTCCTGTTTTCAGTATAAGTGAAGCAGTGTGTAATAGATTTTGATACATAACCTCTGTCTTTTTGGTACACTGAAGATATATCACACAAATTTCATGACTTTTTGCTCATCTTGATTTTGAAATTCATAAAACGACAGAGATTATAAAGAAGTTCCAATTAGCATGTGTCAAATTTATTTTCTTATGATGATGTATCTTGTATTTATTTAGCTTTGTATTAAAATTCGCTCTTGGTAAGATTACCATAGAAAAGAAAGGTACATCTGGACAGATTTTTTAATTTAGGATTTTATAAATATCAAAAAAGAAATATTTAAACAAAAATTTCCCCAGAAATATACAGTATACTTTGTCTGCGCGCGCTGATGGGTCAACTGACACGTTGAGTGATTTACCGTGGCAGACGACACCGGTAATATTGACGCCCTCCGTTAAAGAACCTTATATTTCTGGGGATTTAGAGCACTTGAAAAGGGGTAAGGTATTTTGAACTCAACATGCAGTGAGGAGTCTTAGTATCCATTATAATTGTTTTAATTGACAGTGTAACTTGATAAATGACTATAATTTTGCGTATTTCCGGGATAACTGACGGACAACTTGGAATTTGTATTTTGGGTTGTGTTTTTTTTTGGGGGGGGGGGGGGGGGGATTCTGTTATTGAATATGGGTAAAGGACCCTCATACATTGATTGTCAGTTTTGATATTCTTCACTTATGAAATAATTTATTTTTGAATATTTTATTAAATGTTTTCTGGAGACGCTTAATTTGTATTAATTAGGAAAACATGTGTAACCCTAAAGCAAGTTGTACTATACAAGGAAATAAGCGAGATTGGAAAACTTCCATCTCATTGGTAAAATTTGATCATAGACTCAATTCACTGATTATTTTTAACCGAAAAAAAATCATCTTTGTTTCCGAAAGTTGTTTCGTTCTTCATACAGGTAACTAATTAATACAGTCAGAAAAAGTGAGAGAAGAAATGGTAATCTTTATATGGAATGATGGCACACCCTCCTATTCAAAATATAGACAGGAAACTTTGCTTGTGTTCCTATTATCGATGCTTTTCAGTGGGTGAAGGTTACGTGATCATGTAAGAGTGATGAATAAATTATGTAGACACGAACTACTACTGTTTTAGAATTTAACCGCATGGATTGAGTAATTTTTCGCCTCTGCATTTGAAATTAAAATGAAAATTAAGAATGTTGATAAATGGTGAATGAAATAACGATAATTTTTTTGTGAACAAATTTCTGCGTTTTCAGATATCCACATTTTAATCAAACGTTACATGAAGAATGAATTCAAAATAGCTGTCGTATTGTTAATTTTGATTTAGTGAAAACAAATTTTTACAGAAATTTTATATTGAAAACTTTGTTTTAATGCCAGCCCAAACATTCTAGATTTCTAATACGACAGCTATACCAATATTTTATTTTTAATTTTTACTCAGAGTTTTTGGAAACGAAAATAGTGAACATTCATGACAAACTGCAAAATTCCAGTTTCCCGTGGAAAACATCTACAATGTATTAATATTAACATATGATTTCACTTTGGGATTCCTTTGAAAGAAAGTCTATGTTCACGTCCTCTAGAACTACAACTGATGAGGAGAAATTTTAAGGTCAGATGGCGCTATACTGTTTATGTGTGCTTGAAAACTGAATAAAGATTTTAAGTAGTGGATATCAGTTTTGAAAGTCCATGAGTATGACCTTACAGTTAGTTTTCACACAAGCGTATTTTTGAGGAAGCGTTAATACGTCTCTTGAAATATTCTGGGTGAAAAGTATCAGGTCGTATTTTCAAAACTTAAATGCATTTCCAGAAATAACTTTCAGCAAATTAATATATAATAGCATGCAGTCTTACATTCCGAAAACAACTTATAATGTGCAAAGTAATATTGCAAGAATCTCTCAAATGTAAATATCAATGAAAAAATGTCATATATGTGAGCTATTTTGAATACAATGACAATTGAAAAAAAAAATGGGAAGGGGGGGGGGGTACTTTAAAAGACGTGAAATACAGAAGCCCTATAAAATCACTCGTTTTTAGTTTGTTTGGTTCTTTTTTCGTATGTTTGGTGAATTTGGTTCATTCTGAAAAAAACCTTTTTCGGTATCACGTATTTGTATATAGATCTATCAAACGCATTTTGTGCTGTGCTAACCGGTACATATAGGTGAATAAAATCTTAGTGATGAAATTCTATGACGTTTTAACAAAAGTAGGAAATCTGCAAATTGACTGAAAATATGTACATGCATTTCTTAGACTTACAACAAAACGGGTTGATGGTTTTTGAGAGTACATTTAAAGGCAATATGATTTGATTGTATATATTATGTCATACGCTAGATTTTCTACTGATGTCCTCGTTTGTTAATTACCTCGTTCTTGTTCTCGAGAAAGGTGGAAAAACTGTGGTAGTAAAAGAATTTCAGAAACACTCTTTAATTAAAAAAAAAAAAACAAAAAAAAAAAAACAGAATATCATTTCAAAGATGGCAATGTATAGAATCCAAGGCAGATCTGAAGGGGTTGCAGCAGATATGCTTTTAAGAATTTTACAAACATCAGATATCGTATTTCAAGAGAATTCGGTCTCTCATAGGAAAAGGTTTTGTATCTGAAAGCCAGAGCATTTAATCTCTAGGATTCTATCCGTAAGTCCAGAAAGGTATAATATAGGTCAGATGGATTTTTACTTTTCATTTTTTCTAATTGCTGGTTTTAATTGTTTATTTGTTTTCTTATTTTTTGTTCAAAGACTGTTATGCAGAATAAGATATTCCTATTCGATCAATGTGTAGGTAGTTGACTATTTAATAAAGTTCGATCTGTATTCCTGGTGTCCTATCTGACATATTTTATTTTATCAAATAAATTCTGCAATATGACTACTTTAGTAGTCATTTGATAAAATAAAATATGTCAGAAAGGACACTGGTATAATTAACTATTGGAATACTATGAATTCCTTGCAGATAAACCGCATATACTGTTGACATATGTGATCCACAAAGTATGAAAATCAAATTCAATATCACTCTAGTTAATGATTAATGAACGCAGTAAGATCAAAGTTCACATGCTTTACTACAGAGCTACATCCGGTTTATACATATTGTTTAATATTAAAGATCTGTCCGAGTTTCCATATTTGTTCTCTTGTTCCAGGAGGTAAAAATGTGAGGAAAAGAATGAACCAATCGTAGAAGAGGATATTCCTGTCAACAGATGGCGTGTAAAGATGGCGGAGAAAGAAGAAGAGAGATCCAAGAAATTTGACTACGAGGAAACTTTGGTAAGATAGATGCATAGAAATTGTTAAGATTAGCACAGCAACTTAATGAGAATGATTGGTGTTTCGACTTTCAATCAAAAAGCGCTGCGAATTGAAACATTCTTTGTGGAGGTGTATGCAATGGTATCGTTTTGACTGATAAGTTCACCGCGCTCAGCAGTCAGGGAGAAGAAGTCACAAAAATTCTGTATATCAGAGACCTATATACTAACGTATAGGTCTCTGTAAACATCCTTAAATAAACATACCTATCAAATACTCGTAAAGACAATGAACTGCATATCATTGTTTCTGAAATCACAAATAATGCGAAAGATATGAATAGTTAAGTTTCTATCAATTTACAGGGCATGGCCGTAGGAACCGGGGGGGGGGGGCACGGGGGGGCCGTGCCCCCCCCCCCAATAATTTTGCCGATATATAGAATACTATAGAAAACATAGTAGCTACTACATGCTTGTGCCCCCTCACTAATAACGTCTGATGCCCTTTTTTTTCTTTTTCTTTTTTTTGCTTGTCAAGAATTTTGGCAGTTGAAAGTGCCCCCTCAACTGAAAATGTATGGTTGTGCCCCCTCAAAGTGAAATTGCTTCCTACGGGCCTGCAGGGGCCTGTTAATGTATAAGATGGCACTTTTCCCAAATTCTAAATGAATGCACTGTCTAATTTCTACTCCATAATTAATCCCAGATGAATATGGTATATCTATTTTTTTATTAATATTTTGTCTTCTTTGTGTTGTTATAGCATATATGGCAAGAAAAGGCTTTGGGGAAATAAATGCATCCAAAACTGAAATATAATTATTATTAGTTTAGTGGTTTCATTGTTGAAATGTTGCTGTTTAAATTCTTTTCTGCAGGAGGTTTCATAATGCAAAATTAAAATGATGTCAAATATGCAAACTGGAAGCTTTTAAGGAAGTTGGATGAAGGAAATTTCCCCTTCTTACACATTGTATACCAAAAAAAAAGGAATATGATCGTTGTGCAAATGATTGACCTCCAGCTTATTTTAGTATTAGATAAATATTAACGAAGCTTAAAAGGGTTAAGTCTTCAGTTAAAGAAAGAAAAGGAGCCATTTCATCCCCCCCCCCTTCTTTAAAGCAAATTGGCAAACATTAAGAACATCAGTTAAATACATATTGTAAACTTTTCAGCCTTATTTATCCTGTTCATTACAATACATACATGTATTTGTTTACATGTCTATTTTCATATCCAAAATTAAATGTTTCAGGAAAAGTGCTGTTTCCTGTTTTAAATATAATTGTAAAACTATATTAATTACTACCCGGTACAATATACCGGTAATGTTAATTATACCTCTGTCAGAAATATGCAGTACATGGCACATGTTGGAACTAAAGGTCATGTTTATTTCAAACAACAAAGGAAACTTCCTCTTTATAAAAGGAACATATTATAGCTTTTTTTACAACTGAATGAGTCTCTACATGATGTAAAAAAACAAGGTTTTACATAACTTTTTGTCATTTATATCAGATTTTTGAATATAAGTAGCGTATTAACATTGAAATTAACTTGGTATGGTTGGGGGTTTTTAATACTATTGATAGATTTCAAATAGTCAGGTAATACAGTAGACAGTTACATAAGGATATAAAACCATCTTTGTAAAACAAATGTATACATACTTATATACTGGTGGTATGTTTTGTCTAGTATGTGTATATTTATATGCATAATGAAATAATGGTCATTTGCCGAATTATGCGTAACCACGTTAAGATTTTTTTCTAAAATCAAAGCTTTTATTGCTAAAAAATGCAGGAAATTAATTCAGACGACAGACATAATAAAATCATATTTAGCCTGTCAGATAAATTGAAATCTTCAGTTTTTGATCTGATCTGAAGATTAGTGTAAAAGAAATACATGTATATTTAAGCTCTGCATTGGTACTCACTAGTCAGTTTATGTAGAGCAGACATATTGTATTTTTTTGGCTAGTTTCATTTATGTCATATATAACTTATAACTTCCTAAAGAATAATTTCTCGTACATTTCTGTACATTTTTTCACAGAATTTAAGTTATGTTGTATTTAAATAAAGATCTCCCAATAGCATTGATTTATCATTAAATCATATCAGAAAGAAAGGAGTCTCTGACTCAACAATACAAGAATACATGAACTGGAAGACAAAAACCATCCAAAAATAATTAATGTCTTTTGCATTGTCTGGAGATCAATTTAACGTGTGTGATATTTGTCATTAAATAAGTTGTTTTGTCAGTTCCTAGTGGTCATTCTGGGTCAAGTATGACCAATTTATGATTCTGTTACTGTGAAATATCATTCATAAAGCTTTTCTCACAGATTAAATGTAACAGTCATTGTCTGTCTATTGAGGGATGAAAAGTTGTTTAAATCTATAGGTGTTTTTATAGTATAGATCTAGACGTATCAACAAAAGCACAATGTACATGTATACAGAATATTTATAAAAATATTCCTATGTTTTGCTAGTTTATTGAAAATATATACTGTAAATGTATACTTTTTCCCCACAGGGTCAAAATTCTGCGGAATCAAAATTTCTTTTCAATCCGCAGGTAGAAAATTACGCAGATTTCTTAGATTGCCACTATATGCCTTATATGTACTTTACGTACACTAGGACAAATTTCCTTGTAAAATTTGCGAATCTGTACATAGCATAAATCATACCACATGGAAAAAAGTAGTTCTATAGTATATAGTCTTGAGATTGGATGAATCTTATTGAAGGTGATATTTATTGCTATCTACAATGTAATTTCAAATTTTAATTCATTGTCTTACAGATCTATGGAAAATACAAACGAGATCTTGGAAAATGGGCCAAGTTCCAGGCGAGAACGATCAAGAAAGAGAAGCGGGACATTGGAAACACAGAGGTTAAACCACACACAGGATTCAGGGTCTACTTAGGTATGTGGCCCCTCCTCTTAGCATTATGCTATACATGCACTGGTTAGGGTTCTGTCAAGTGAATGTCCTGCAGTATATACAATGTATTAAATGTACCATACCTGATAACTCCCTGGAGAAGAAAATCCACTTTTTTTTCTGCTATCTCAGGGTTAATGAGATGTAAATGGACTGAACAATTGTGATAGAATCTTAAGTAGAGTTCATTGTAAAACAGTAATATTAAGATAACTTCTAATTTAAGAAGCATGATGTATTAATATAGAGAATATTTATTACACGTGTGTGTCATTTGAATAATTTTTAATGCAGAAAGACTACGGCAAAGAGGTAACTTGTGTGAATATTGCCTTATCTTTCCAGCTTATTCTCTGCTATTGATAATATCAATAATATTTAAATATCCTATAATAATTAATTTAAGCAAGTCAGAGTTGTAAAGAAAGTCATTTTTATGCCCCCAAAGATTTGGGAATATAGTTTTTGGTCTGTCCATCCATCTGTCTGTTTGTCTGTAAATCTGTTTGTCTATTTGTCCACAAAAACTTTAACCTTGCCCATAACTTTACAATGGTTGGTCCAAGGGCTTTCATATTTCACATGAATATTCTTTGTGACAAGATCTTTCATATTTGACCTCTTGACCTTGAACTTGGAGTTTGACTACTTTTTCAAAAAATTACCAAACTTTAACCTTGGCCATAACAGCTATTGCCTAAGGCCTTTATTTATATCACATGTGTATTCCATGTGTTCAAACCAACATTTTTGACCTTTGAACCTTGACCTTTGAGTTTGACCTACTTTTGAAAAACTTTAACTTGGCCATAACTTTTGAATGGTGGGTTTTAGGACTTACATGTATCACCTGTGTATTCCTTGTGACAAGACCTTTTTGATACCTACATTTTTTACCTCATAACCTTGACCCTGGAGTTTGACTTACATTTGAAAATACTTTAACCTTGCCTATTACTTTTGAATGGTTGCTGCTAGGGCTTTCAAATTTCACTTATGCATTCCTTGTGACATGACCTTTCCTTTTGGTACCATTTTAACCTCATGACATTGACCATGGCGTAAGGCTTATTTTTTGAAAAACCTTGGCCATATTTTCTGAATGGTTGGTACTAGGGTTATTATATTTTACATGTGTATTCCTTGTAACCAGACCTTTCTCTGGGTATCAATATTTTTGAACTTATGACCTTTGCCTTGGAATTTGACTTGCATTTGAAAAACTTTAACCTTGGTCTTGAGCTGCCATACAAGGGCATCAGTGTTTCATAAACAAATCTAGTTCCTTAAGTTTTTCATCATGTAACATGAACATTTTTAAATTTACATATTAGAGCAGTAAGCAATGAAATTAATTTTAGAGAAGCTTTAAAATATTTAATATGTTTAAGCAACCACTATATTTAAATTTGGAATCTTTAGATATCATATATAGTCATATACTAGAATAGACATCTTTTTACAGGATTCAAATATAAAGTTCTAAAAGAATCACCTAAGTTCAGTAAGAGTTCATTCAGCTCATTAATAATTATTTTGATTAATTCTAAAATGTCTGATTCTATCTCTTTGCTAGAGTTGCTTTTATTTTTTCAATATCTTTGCTGCAGAAAACATCTGTTTTATTCTTGCTTGTAGAGCACATACTTTCCATTTTGCAAGTTTTTTATTTTAATTCAGTGACATATTGAATGTGCATGCTTGATGTTTTGTTGTGTTTTCACAAAAGTTACCTGTAAGATATACAGTTATAATATTATTTTGTTCTAATTTTAAGAAAGTTTGTGCAGAAGGGGGGAGGGGGGGATTGGATATCAACAAGCCAGATTTGGAAAAAAAAGTTTATTGAAAGAATTGCTCTAAGTAAATAATGTTATAAAATACTAACAAACCACTGGCACCAATGAATCATATACATGACATCAAGTAGCCGTAAAATTGTGAAGGCTTAATGTCTAACATTTTATAGATTCACTAGATGTTTTCTTACTGTTCACTTTATGCTGTACTTGAATGCATTTTATTTTTAATTTGTCACTTTCATAACTGCTGCAATTTTTCTATAGTTTTTTTTCTCATCATGCTCATAAATTGTTTGTTGTATTTTGTTGTTGTTGTTGTTTTTATTTATTTATTTATTTTTGTTTTGTTTTGTTTTGGTTTATTTACTACTTTTTTTTTTGGGGGGGGGGGGGGGCATTTTAGTCAATGCGTATATTTTAATTCATTTCACTATCACACAAACTTAATAAAATTGTAATATCAATTTGAAAAATAATTAAATGCAAGAAAATTAAGATTGGAATTCTTAAGCTTAATTTAAAATTCCTTAACTTAATTTTGAATAAAAAAATTTTGTGCACATCAAAATCCCAAAAGCAGTTAGTCATTGGTTATTTTGAAACATACAAATTGAATATTTTCTTTCATTTTAATTAGAGAGATTAATCCATTTTCGAGATGTTGTCTTCCAAAAAATTGGAGAAGATTGGATCTTCTTGGCTCTGCTGGGAATTCTTATGGCCCTGCTCAGTTTTACTATGGATTATATCATTGAAAAGTGCCAAGCAGGTCAGGAAAAACAATTATAATTAAGATAGAAAATTAATTTTCTATTTTGTATGCTTTGATGTATGAGTTTTCCATACCATAACAGTGTAAAATTTTACAATAATTTTACTTTGGAAGGAATTCAAAGACAAAAATTGAGAATTATCATATTTATAATGATTTGAATAGATTGAAGGTTAACATTTCATTTCATTCCATTCTGGGTGATGTCATTATTGAAATTTTGTAAATTTATAGTCAAATATTATAGAATTTCTTTATTTTCAGCTAAGTTCTGGCTATATCAGGAGCTGGCTTTCTCCCCACCACTTCAGTATTTTGCCTGGGTGTCTTACACACTGCTGTTTATATTATTTGCCACAGGATTTTCTCATCTTGTCTCACCCCAGGCTTGTGGTAAGTACTGCATAATAAAGCTTTTAGGTTTATCATTGTCACAAATGCCTAGTGATTTAGTGCATTTTTTCATTTCAGTTTTTCTATCAAAGTTACTTATTGTTCCCATTTGTTGTCAATTTCATCTAAAAATTGAGCAAATATTTTTTTTTAATGGGGAGGGTGGGGTTCTTAATTAAAATCAGTAGGAGAAAATTGAAGGTTGTGTTTTTTGCTGTCAAAAAGTATGAATTGAGGTCTTATAATAAATAGAATATAACTAAGATTTTAAAATATGTAATTGTAGGGTCTGGTATCCCAGAGATGAAGACTATTTTAAGAGGTGTGGTGTTAAAAGAATTTCTAACATTTAGGACACTGGTGTCCAAAGTAGTAGGACTTTGTTCCTCATTAGGAAGTACACTTCCTATTGGGAAAGAGGTAAGGATTTTAAAATATATTTAAAAATGTTTTTGTTTCATAAGAGAAAAATTGTTTTTATTTGTACTTTATAAGTTTCCCATTAACATGAAGTAACATGAAGGAGGAATATTCCCAGTTAACATGGTGATAAACATTAATATATTTTTAAATTATTTTTATGTGTACCTCCAGTGGAAGTACTCTTATAACTTATAACTTTCAGTACCTTGATTATTACCAATCATTTGTATAGGTATTTATTTCATTACAAGGTAAATATGATTAATTAAAATGCAAAAAGTCATTGCAAGATACCTTTGACTGAAGTTAAATTTAAGATATACTTTGTCTTATTAAATGCAGGGAAACTAATACATTATGCATGTGTTGGTCTCTCTCTCTGTCATCGGACATGATTTTGTGCATGTTCTGAAAACCACAGGTGCCATTGCTCCCCACACTTTTGTGCATATTTAAATGATCATTGAAGTTTGTACATGATAGTGATTGTGTTTTCTTGTTTCTTTCGAAATTTATGGTGAGGTTGAATGACTTTCAATATTTTTTTTTTATTCAAGTGAAAAGTTTATGTTAGTTAGAATTTTGTATGTTACTTTGCCTATATGAAACACTGAAGTATTATGATCTGGGTGGCATGAATGTTTATGTATAATTCATGAGTGTAGTAAAAAAAAATATTTGAAAAAAATTAACCTTTTTGTACATAAACAGGGGTGAATTACCAGGTACAGAAGTATACGGTACAAAAATCCATTAAAACTTTAATGGAAATGATTCTCTTGACACAGCGTATATGAAATTACTATGCTTAATTTTACCTTGATTCTATTTTCATATTATTTTAGCAATTTAATACTATAATTTATTCTGCTAAAGAATTAATTAATTTAAGGTGGAGTTAGTTTTTGATTGTAAAAAAAGAGAACAAGGATATGCACACATTAAAAATTAAGACAATAAACCAGGATTTTCAGATTTTTAAACACTTGATATAGATTCACATGACTCAATACAACCCACCTTACACAGCAAGATGGATGGTACAAGGGGTTATTTCTGTCAATCATGCCAACATCGTGTTTGATATGGATCATGAATTCCCCTTTTCTGGTCACCACATCTGACATTTGTGGTCTCTTTTTTTAGGGGAAATGATTGTTGTGTTCATGCATGCTTTTCCTTCCATTTTCCTAGTGAAATTTCTGATATTAAGTAATTCAATTTTTGAAATCTAGTATAGGTTAAAATACTAGAGATTGTCTTTTGAATATGGACTTCTTAACTATTTTTATTATCACCCTGTCGTGTGTAAAGCCAGGGAATATAGTGTTTGTCATGCCAGTCCTTCATTCCTCTGTACCTCCGCCTGACTCTAATTCAGTTTAGAAAAAGAACAAAGACTTTTTTTATCAACTTCAGACTCACACACATATTGGTGAGAACAAGTTAACTGTGTTATCAATTTCATCTGTATGACCTTGACTTTACTTTTTCTCATTGTGCATGAAATATCTTGGTTCAAAGAAACTTCAAGATTGTGAGGCAAAAACTTGAAGATATTTAGGTCACCTTAGTCACACAGGTTTTCTATATATTTTTGTCTGTCATTGATTGTAGCTAGGTCATAAATTTAAAATTTTCAGCTTTTTCTCAGAGATTGCTGAACCAGTATGAACCAATTTTGGCATATTGCAACTATGGGTAAAGGAAAACATAAATTTTGATTTTCGTGGTTTCTGCCTCCCTGGTGCTTGAGGGGTACGGTGCAAAAACCATCAAAATTAATGGAATTTTCAAAAATCTTCTTTACTCCAGGACACCAAACAGTAGAATTAAATGGCATTATTATAATAAACATGAGCTGTCAACAAAAAATGTAAAATTCAGGGCCCCTGGGTCAGGGGTTCTGGTGTTCTAAGGGCAGGGCTCTTTTGGTCTTATAGTGAAAATTCTGTGAACATCTTTGATTTTGGGCATCTAACAGATAAACTAAGTACAGATTATGATGAGCAAAGGAGCCTCTTCCAAAATTGAGAAATTCAGGGCCCGTGGCTGGGTGAGGGGGTCTGGTGTTGGAGTGGGGTTCATATTGCCAAAAAGTGAAAATGCATATATTCTTTTTTAAAAATCTTCTTTGATCCTGGGCACTAAGCAGACAAACTAAGCACATACTTATGATAAGCAGGGGTGCCTCTTCTAAAATTGTGAAGTTCATAGCCCCTGGGTCAGGGGTTCTAGTGTTTGGATGAAGGCATTGTCACCTATAAACTTCAGAACCTATGATGGAAGATAGAAAAAAATGAAGAAAATTAATTCAAACAAATGAGTAATATGTTTATGGGGACACTGTTGGGGCAAGCGCAGTTGAAACCTTTACATAGCTTACACTTGAAACTCTGATCCTCCTCTTAATTGAAACTGTACAAGACAGTCTAGATTGTGACGTCACATGACATCATATGTAAATTGTTCATTTCCGATCGGTAACTGAGTCTAAATTGACCCTTTGCAATTGTAATGAAAGGCATTGTAGAGTAGATACAATTAATTTTTTGTTTCATTTAGCTCTCCACAAGAACTAAATCTTAATAATGATAACTGTGCCATTATTGCATGGAATCCTGGTGGCAAAGGAATTCTGGGAAAATTTGCTTGACAAATATATAGATTTTAAGTCAAATTTTCTCTGTTCTTACACATTAATTTATTGAGCTCACTGCTCTTACTATAAACTCATGTACATGAATTAAAATACTGTCAATATTTGAACATCATGTAGGTTTATTTTTTAATGATCATTTTCAGTAAGTCTGTCAGTTTAAGGTAGTATGGGATACCTCCACGTTATGACGTATTTCCGTTTGAAGTATTGTTTTGATTTGCATGAGTGCTTATTATCGGGTCAAAATTTGTAGATACACCGTTGAAAAGAACACTCTGAAGCCTATTTCAATGCAATTTCTCACAAGTCGGCATTTTAAGTAAAAACAGACAAAAAAATCGCAAGTATATAAATTTACTTATAATTGTACAACGGACATTTAAAAAAGCAAACCCCTGTAAAAGGTAGTTTCAACATTGCTGCTTTTGAACACTTTTAAGCAAAAGCTGTATTTCAATTGTTTGAGTAACTGTACAGCACCTTGTTTGCGGTGAGGCATGGATAAGTGCAATTACTTCACATTGTGCTGAATTATCACCAATCAATTATCACGTTAACTAGGGCTGGACTTTTTTGTTATTTAATTCAAGAAGTAACTGTTTGGTCACAAATCAGCTAGCTGTTGTATATAGTCCCAAAACGTTCAGATGAATGCAATTGCTCTGAACAAGATAGGTCCTGGAAAGCGATTGTCCATGCGTTGTTTTCAAAACCGCTCAAAGTTGAAAACTACAAAGTGCAATTTTTTTATGGTTGGGAAAAAATGATCATCATTTCTAAAATAGCACCCAGGTTTTTTTCAACCCTTGGAAAATAAAGAAGGATAACTCTTCCGCTCGGATCTTTTAATTCAAAAAATTTTAAATGCATTTTATATTTTCCATTTATATATATATTTTCAATTTGTTTATTTCACTTTGCTAACATATTAAGATGCATTCTAATTGTAGACTTTCATGAAATGTTATCCGTCTATTTTCAAGAAATAAAGTTTTCCCAGTTTTTTACGCTTATTTTTTGTTGAAAATTAAAAAAATACTAAGACATATTTCTTGTCATTTTTGTTTTTATAAACACTTTATATTAGCAAACGCCTGCCTATAATATTAAGCTTATGAAAAAAGAATTATGCAAGAAAAAAATCGTTTTTGTATTTCTCATTAAAATAATAAAAAAATTATTAAAATTACACTTTAATATACTGAAAGGTGGGGGTATTTCAAATCCTTCTAATTTGGGTACATAAATATGTAGGAGAAGTTTCGTTTGGTATCCCATACCACCTTAAATGATAGACTCAGCTCAAGTATACCTCACAGAGGGCCCACATGTTGTCTCTATGGAGTGCAGCTTTTAGGTGCTAAAAGTAAAAGCAAACTGGAATAGATACTTTTAAAAAATGCAGATTTGTTTGGGTTTTTTTTTCAAATTGCCAAGTTCTCCAAAATGGGGGTGATGTTAAACATAGAATTAACTTTGGAGAGACTAATTTTAAAATCACTGTAAATAGTGCAACTAATAGGTCAATTGAGTAAAAGAATTATACAAGAACTTGTTATGCATAGTACAAAACATACTTTTTAATAGATAATAAATTAGTTGGTCAAAAGTTTAGATCAGAGGTCAGGATTGTTTAAAATGACCATTGTGATGCAATTTAACTGATTTTTTAAATATATATATATTATTTATTTACTTGATAGACTGGTTTGAAGAAGACATCTCTTGAATAAAGGTCAAGGCCAAAGGGTTAAGACTATTGATATGGCTATTACTTATTGTAGTAATGCAGTACATGTAATGTTCATTTTTTTTAACCCCCCCCCCCCAAAAAAAACCCCACTCTTTTTACATATATCAACATTGTTAAGAGGAACACACCAGTCGATTTTGAGATTATTCATAGGTCAATATGATCATGTTAAACTTTTTATTTGTTCAGATTGTAAAATCGGAGTATAATTTTAACATGCACAATTATTTTTTCTCTTACTCAAAGGTCAAGGTTAAAAAAAGAGAAATTAAGATAACATGGTTCAAGGGCCCAGTATGAATTTGTACATTTTCTAGGTTATTATTCCAAATATTGCAGAAAATTTATGTTGACTTCATATCCTGCTTATTAATCTTATCTGTACACTGTATTATATGCAGGTAAAGTAAATGTTAAAAAAAATGTATCGCATGCCATTCATCACTTTATTACACAGTTTCCCATCAGAACAAGATTCATTTGCATAATTACCAAAAAAAATTGTAAGATTCAAAAATGTAATAATAAAGTTGTTGTCTTGAAATTTTCAGTGTCTCTGCGTGATTAGGCGATGTGTAAATTTTGTATCAAGATATATCACATTTTTTCCAAAAATATCACAATAATATCCTGATACCTTTTTACACACAATTTTTAATATGATTTTAAATGAATTTCCATAATTTTTTGAAAAATATATTGTGAAAACATAACTTCACATTTTTTTTCAGTTTAGTGCTAGGATTTCATTGTTTTACATTTCTTTTTACAAATTTGGTCATTATAATTGAAACAAATTGAACAGGAAAATCAGTTATTTCTGGAATTTATAATAGTTAATACTGTGGAATCATTTGATTTCGTGGTGGCTCAATATTTGTGGAATTTGTGGGTACCCTACATCAACGATAATAATTGGGGTTTTAAGAGTCATCTTTCCTTTTGTAGATATGAGTGAATACATGAAATTACGTTCCCTTTGAACCAGCAAAAATTTGAACAATCCATGAAAATCTGTACCCGCGAATTTTAATGATTCCACAGTAGTAAATAGCAGTATTTTAGTCTCCATATCACAATATTTTTCACACAATTCAAAAAATCATGATATACCAGTATATAATGTAAAATTGTGCATCCCTAGCTCTGATCAAGTTTGATTACAAATTCTCACATCTGTGACACATAATATTGGGTCCTAAATTCAATGCAGATTGTTAAATTTCTAGAGATATATAAAGAAACATTCCAAGTGCTATTGTGTATAGGTTTAATTTATTTAAATTTGAAGCTTAAAATTAGCTAAGATTCAAATGCCATTTCAGATTTTATACAGAACTGAGGGATCATTATAATAAATTATGAGATTTTGTGCTATAAGCATTTTTGATGCATTGCTTTTGTAATTATTGTGATAGGCTCTCAAAAATTAATGACTGCCAGAGTACAGACTTAACAATTATTTCATTATATAAATATGGCAGATCATTGCTATCTGGTAATAATTCAAGGATCCAATAAGTAGGATAAAATAAATGTAGCTATAATTAATGATTCCGTTAAGCTCACCTGAGTTGATATATGATTTAGGTAATGCTTGGTGTCTGTTTCTGTCATTCTTTCTTTTGTACTTTTTGAAGCAAAGCATGAAACATCACTGGAGTAAAATACATTCCAAGGGGTAATGTTTTAAGTGAACTGATAAACTTTATTTAGTTTTTAGGTCACCTGAGTCACTCAGGTGACCTATTGCTATCTGTTTTCGTCCGTCGTCGTCCGTCGGTCATAAACTTTTGAACATTTTCAGCTTCTTCTCTGGAACCACTGAACCAATTTCAACCAATTTTAGCATATAGCATCAATGGATGAAGGGGTACAAAAATTGTGAATTTCATGGTCCCTGCCCCCCTGGGGCCTGAGGGGTGGGGCTAAAACCATCAAAATTAGTGCTATCTTTAAAAATCTTCTACTTTACTCCTGGACATCAAGCAGTCAAACTGTTGGCATGATTGTAATAAGCATTTAGCCCTCTACCAAAATTGTGAAATTCATGGCCCCAGGGTCAGGGGTTCTGGTGCTAGGGCAGGGCTATATAGATCATATAGTGAAAGTGCATTATTTCTTTGAAAATCTTCTTCTCTGCTCCTGGGTATTATTGAAACAAATTGAATACATAGTTATGATAAGCAAGGATGACTCTACCAAAATTGTGAAATTCATGGCCCCAGGGTCAGGGGTTCTGGTGCTAGGGCGGGGCTATATAGATCATATAGTGAAAGTGCATTATTTCTTTGAAAATCTTCTTCTCTACTCTTGGGTATTATTGAAACAAATTAAATACATTGTTATGATAAGCAAGAGTGACTCTACCAAAATTGTGAAATTCATAGCCCAAGGGTCAGGGGTTCTGCTGCTAGGGCAGGATTATATAGATCATATAGTGAAAGTGCATTATTTCTTTGAAAACCTTCTTCTCTACTCCTGGGTTTTATAATTAAAATCCTGTCTGCTCTTAGTGTTAAGCAGATAAACAAAGTGATTACTTATGATGGGCAAACTTCTGGTCCCAGGGTGAGAGGCTCTAGTGTTTCTTGCAGGGGAGGGGGGAGGGGGGACTCTATTAATAATATAGTGAATCTGTAATAAAAATGCATTATTTCTTTAAAAATCTTCTCTGCACCTGGGCATATCAGGGGCAAAAAGAGTAAAAGTTTTAATAAGGAAGAGTATTTTTACCAGATTTTTGAACATCTGGACCATTTGGTCAAGTGTTCTGGTCCTGGCATATCATCTTCGCTAGCCAAGGGTTTCTGATACGCTACTCTACTCATAAACCCTTGGCATACGGTGCTGACAAAAGACGGGATTGTTTTTGTCACGTGATCATGATTCTTACCTGAGGCCTGTTCAACAGAGCGAACGTTCGCGAGCGCTCGCGAACATTTCTGTTGGAAAGATAAGGAATTTTGGCGAGCGCTCGCGAACGTTCGCTCTGTTGAACAGGCCTCAGGTACGCACAGATTGCGTCATCGACAGAAATAAAAAGCGTATTTTAAAAAATTTTGTTTTTAAAGAATAATTGAGTTATGTTAATTTGTTATTTTAACATGTAAAAATGCAAATCTACATCTTCAGTATAGATTCTTAATCAAATATTTTGCACGTTGCTTTAGAAATAGGATGGCACCACATTTCTATTCATAGAATGGCATGTTATCCTACGGATCATTGTTTACTTGCGTTTTACATTACCGATATTAAAGAGTCAAGATATATCCCGAACGCAAATATCGTCATTTACAAAAAACATGCTGATTGGTCGAACGATGTCGATTAACTCCAATCACAACTTGAGAAAAAAATCCCAACTTTTTTTAACACCGTATGCCAAGGGCTTATGAGGAGAGTAGCGTATCAGAAGCCCTTGGCTAGCGAAGATGCTGGCATATATTAATTTGTATTCTACTGAGAGGAGTTATTTCCCTTTACCATTTAGTTTTGATAATTAATCACTGTAAATAATGTACTTAAAAGGTTAATAGAATAAGAAAATTATGCAAGAATTTTAATGTATAAGACAAAAAGTACTTTCATAGTTTTAATGATCAGGTAGACTTGTAAGTAATAGATAAATAAAAATGAGACAAAAATAACTTGTCTTTTTAAATGTTCATCAAAGACCAAGAGAGGCCAATGTAAGAGATCTCAACTAGGAATTAAAATAGTACAGAAGCACTGATAGTTTGTTAATATACTGTATTGTGATAGTGATAAATGGGGAACAGATTAGAACCTAATTTATGAACTGTTAATGAATACTAGATTAATTAATTTGTTGATCCTGATCACCCCATTTTTCTTGCTTTTGGGCAACAAAGCTTCACCTTTCAGTTCATTTTACTCTCTATGGATCCTCTAAATTGTTGCATTATACTCAGGTGACCATTAAGGCCCTTGGGCCTCTTGTTTTGAGAAAACTGAGGGTTAAAATTGAACATTTTTTGTGTGTGCACGGTCTCCGTGAAAGTCATTTTAAAATTTTCAATGATTGAAAACCAACAGTAATAATGTAATGCACAATCAAAAATGGAACAGAAAGCACATGCATGTACCAGCTGGTTATATTTGAAGGTGAATTTAAGACTTCATTTTGGTTCTATTTGCCCTATAAGCACCCATTGGATCCCATTAATTTGCCTTTCAGTTCAAATCAAAGATATATTTCTCTAAATTTGTCTTCTTTATCATTCATAAATCAATTAATTTTCTGAGACATGGTTAAAAATACATTTTGTGTTATATAGATTAACTGGGTGAGCATGTATGTATGAGGGTCATAGAAGTACTTACTGGGATGAATATTTTGTATGTTTTACTAAGAGTATGTTTGCATGGCTGTATATATTATTGCTGAATTTAATGATTTCTTTTAAAAATGTTTTTCAGGGCCCTTTTGTACACATTGCTAGTATTGTTGCAACATTACTGGGGAAATTAACAACATTTAAAGGAATATATGAAGTAAGTGAAAATTTAATTTTATTTGAATTTCAAGAATAAGTGCATGCAGATTTTTTAAAAATTCATCTTTCTAGGATTGATCATACTAGTTGGCTTAAAGTATAAGAATTGTATAATTGGTTGGATGTGAGAATGTTTATAGAGATAGCACTAAGTAAGCGTTTCCTTTTTCTTCACAGAATGAATCCCGTAGAACAGAGATGCTGGCTGCAGCTTGTGCTGTTGGAGTGGCAGCAACTTTTGCAGCTCCTATTGGAGGTAAATATTTATAATTACAGTTGAACTTCGGTCTCTCGAACACAGATATCTTGAATACCATGGATATGTTGAAGTGATTTTGAAGTCCCAACTGCTTATTCCTTAAATATTTTACCCTGGATATCTTGAATCCTCGGTTATCTCGAAGTATTTTCTCGGTCCTTTCGAGTTTGAGATAACGAGGTTTGACTGTATTATGAAGTGATACTTTCCTGCACTGTCATACAGGAGTTTGATAGAAAGTTTGATATTAGAAACAATAACATGATTAACATCCATATACTTAAATTGATTTAGAACTGAAAGTATTGGAAATGTCTTCTGGAATTTTTCATTCATTTCTCGGCAGCTTTGTTGGTTCAGATCTTTATTACATATATTTAAAAAATGCAATAATTGTGTCAGATTTACCAGGGTACAACACAAAATGGAGAGGAGGATGTAAGAGAAGCAGTGATGTCATGTTCCTTTGTGAAATTTGAATTTGTAGAAGGAGCTCTACTGAGTAGATTATGCTATTATATATACTTGTCATCAACAGTTCATTTATTTTTAATTACATGAAATGAAACTAAATATTAGCAGTAGCACAATTTTTAAGGAAGTGGTTTGATAATAAACAATGCCTTACAAAAAAAAAATTATTAATGTGAACTTCAATTTCATGGTCTGTCAGTTGACAAAATAAAGTAGGGTCAATGTCTTGACAAGTGTTTTATCATTGTAGTTCAAAGTTCTACATAAGTACACTTAAAGTGCACTTAGAGCAAAAGCGGTATTGAAATTTCTACCAGTAGGATACATGACAGATTACATATATTAAATGTAACACATTTTTTTCTCAATCAGGATCCATGCAGTTTGGCCAACTGTACCCTTAAGTATACCCATAAAAGTATAAAAACTATCATACAGTACAACTTAATTTATGGAAGGGGTAATGAAGGGGAGAGTTTTGATTCCTACATTTTGCCCAGTAAATCAATTTCAAAGCTATTTAACATTTTTTTTCTGCCTCTAAGTGGGGAGTGAATCATGCAGTTAATATGCCGACATGGAAGGTATCTGTAGTATTGTTGCCTGTTGGCTTTCTGACTCCACCGATTTTGATGTATTTGTTTTCGTGGAAGTTGCTAGTATTCCCCATACAGTATTAAGAGTTACCTGGTGCATGGCCTTACATCAGAGTTTCAATAACTGTCACATCTTAGAAATCTGTCATTCTGAACATGACACAGGGAGATAAATTATCTGGAGATTTATTGCTTATCTTGGAGAGGCATTACAAGCAGTTCAGTATGCTGATTGCAACTACATGTACAATGTTTTTGATGCACTTTTTCGAAATTGCTTGCAAAACAAAGTATGAATGATGACATGTCTAGTATCTGAGTATTGTAAACTTCAAGTTAGATATTGGTTCAATATTAGGAGAGCAGACAGGTAGTACCAGCTCTTCTGTCAGACAATCAGTATGAAGATTGATGCCTGAACCAGAGGCTGAGGCATGTCATAATTTATAGTTCTATACAGAATATAATCCTTAGCTTAGATGTCATTTTGCTATGCACTGTCAGCTACCTTGTCAACATGCACAACTTTGGATGACAATATTTATAATATCAAGATTTCTTTTAATATTCAGATTGGAGATTTTTTATTTTATTTACTATAACTTTATTCTTATTTAATGATAGAAAACATGACTGAATCTTCATTCATGAATCGATATAATTTTTTGTTGTAGGTGTGTTATTTAGTATTGAGGTCACAGCGACCTACTTTGCTGTCAGAAACTACTGGAGAGGTTTCTTCTCTGCTGTGTGTGGGGCTGTCACATTAAGAATGCTTGCCATCTGGTTTAAAAATGAAGGTATATATTCAGCAAGTTTTGAAAAGTGAAAATACTAGTGATATATTTCAAATCTGATCAAATTTTCAGGATGAAATAGTATATGCATTTGGATTCTTTGAAGACCCAGCAAATTGAATTGTTTTACCTATATCAGTAAGCATGTATTTTATAGCTGTTTGCACAGCAAGAATATCGGAGACTGGAAAGTCTTTTACAGAGAGGCTTTTCTTGTTGGAATTACTGTAAACATTTGCAAGTTTTGCAACCTTCTTTAACTCACAAATATTTTTGCTGTCTATTTAATTATGTATATATGTATAAATTCTTTTTTTTAATATATACATGTATATAGAAATTGTATCCTCCGTCAGGAAAATTAATAGTTATGGATGGATTTCATACTAAAAGTTGTGTGGAATTTTAGTTGATTTACAGTATCCCTCTTTTTTTCACACAGTAAAGTACACAATCATACGGTATTTCAGTTAAAATATTGTTATAGAAATTAATTACAGTAATTTCTTTTTTTTAATAGCTACTCTCACAGCTATTTTCAAAACAACTCTAAGAACAGATTTCCCCTTTGACGTTCTTGAACTGCTTGTTTTTGCTATTATGGGGTAGGTTATAGTTTCTTTTTTTTTAACAGAAAAACATAAATTAAATGACTCATATACTTTTCCACATTGCAATGGTCCTTATGCTTCATAATTAAGTGTCAATTTCGTTATAAGAAACATATGATAATGATTTCCATATTTCGTGTTGATCTGTAATTGAAATGAATAAAGTAAAGATCAAAACACACACAAACTCACACACACTAATTATGCCCTTCGTGCATTTGTGATCCAATTTATGAAATGATGACATTTTGACACTTTAAAAATGTTAGATGATTGTATATATTTATGCATTAATTTTTTTTTTAATGTTTACATTAAGAATACCTTATTTCAATTTTTCAGGGTGCTCTGTGGTTTAGCAGGAGCACTTTTTATTTTGTTTCATCGAAAAATTGTTTTGCTCACTAGAAGACATCGCAAAATAACAGATTTCTTACAAAAAAAGTGAGTTTGCAGTTTAAAATAGAACACATTTAGAAAAAAGAAAATCAAATTTCTTAAAAGTAAATATTATTATAGAGGAAAATGGCCTTTATAATGTACTGATAATTGTCATTGTATATTTCAGTCGTTTTATCTACCCTGGTCTGGTAACTCTGGTGATTTCATCTTTAACATTCCCTCTTGGTTTGGGTCAGTTTTTCGCAGGCGAGGTAAGGAAACATAACATCAGGGCATGTAGGAGCAATTACATTTTTTTTATTTAGAAAAATGAAGAAATTTGTTCATTTTTTTCTTTTTTTACAAATGATAGATAAGAGAAGATTTCTTACGCATTAAGAAAAATATTTTTAGTAAAAAAAAAAAAAGCTTTTTTTGGAAGGAAAAAAATGGAATGGAAGTTTGATATAAAAAAAAGTACAATGGGTTGATTGGACTCTTATTATAAGTTTTTGTAGTGTGATACAAATTCTTTTATTGTAGTTGACATCCAAGCAAGCAATCAATGAACTGTTCAGTAACATCACATGGACAACAGGACAGGCAGAGGGACTGAGAGATGAAGAAATCATCAGCCATTGGAAACATGGCAGCACAAATATCTATGTCAACCTAGTCATCTTTGTAGTGTTAAATGTATGTTACAAAAACTGAGAGAATTAGAACATGGTAAACCACAAATCAGTATTTTCAAGTAAAGATGAGAAAATAACTATGATTTTCATTTGTATATTATAGTTTGGGTTTGGAGCTTTCTGTAATACTATGCCAGTTCCAGCTGGTGTGTTTGTGCCAGTTTTCTTAGTGGGTAAGTCATTTTTATTATACACAAATGAATGACATGATGAAAATTTATTTTGAAAGACCCAGGTTCAAATAAATTTATGTATTAAAGAATGTGCTGGAGTGATACAATCAATGGAGGAATATTTGGGTTTTTTTTAGGAGCTGCTTTTGGTCGTCTGACAGGGGAGTGTATGGCAGCTTGGTTCCCAGAAGGGATTCCCTCTGGTGACATCATCAATAAAATTGTACCGGGAGGTTACGCTGTTGTAGGTCAGTGACCAGAGTGATGTTTACACTTCTACAATATACTGAAGATAAATTATTGTAATGCTGCTTGTAAAGAACAAAGGGATAATGAATATCAGTGTATAATGTGTTCTTTTTCTCTACCTTTAGGAGCAGCCTCATTTTCAGGGGCAGTCACTCGGACTATCTCAACATCAGTGATTGTATTTGAAGTCACAGGTCAAATAAGTCATGTACTTCCAGCAGTTGTAAGTAGTAGTTTTACTACACTGGGGGATGTTTAATGACATTTTAATATTTTTGGAGGTTTTATAGGAGAAATTTTTGTATTTTTTAGGTTGCAGTGTTAATCTCCAATGCTGTGGCTGGGAAATTCCAGCCCTCCTTCTATGACAGTATCATCAAACTCAAACAGCTACCATATCTCCCAGACATTGTATCTGCAAAAGCAAAGTATGTAACCAAGAAAAAAATTCATCTCTTGATGTGAAGAGAAAGAATGGACAATTGAATTGTTTTTGACACGGTGTATTTTTTAAAATCATCATGCTAGAACCGGGAATACATATATTAAAATTATTTTAAGGTTGGTTCCCATTGATTTACAGTATGCCTGTATTTTTTGACATGGACCCAATTACTGTAAACTTACTTATTTTAGCAGTAATGATATTGTCGCACCTTTTACATTGCATACTGTCCGCTAATTTATATACATGCTTAAATATGATTAAAACTAATAAATGTCCTTGTAAAGACTCTTGTGCTAATTGATATTGCACTAATCAATTGAAGAGGACAATTGCGCTAAATCTTGAGAGTATGACTTTAAGTAATTTTACAGTATATTTCTTGATTCTGATATTTAACATCATATATCAAATACTTGATTCTGGGGCCTTCATGTCCTCTGGACATTTCTTTTTCCATTTAAAAAGATTAATGTAAGCATGCTTAGGTTTTTGGACATGTTTAGATTATAATTCACATTGTATTAAATTCTTTTTACAGTGCCTGGAAAGTATTTATAGAAGACATCATGGTTAAGGAAGTGGCCAGTATTTCATTCAGGGCAAATTATGGAGAGCTAAGAGAACTTTTAACCTCTACCAACTACAAAAGCTATCCTCTAGTTGATGCTCCAGGTAAATTAACAAATACATGTATCTATATTTACTAGTTTTGAGGATAATAGCAAGTTTAACACCCCTTTATACAACAGCTGTTTTCTAAGCACAGTTGATGAGAACAGTTGCTGTCAAGGGTATTATTTTAATTGCTGTTACTTGAATAGACACTCATCTCTTATTAAAATGTTGCTGATTGTGATTGTAAAAATATGGCATCACAGAGACTCTGGAGTTGGATCAATTTTTCTTAACAAACATTATTATTATGAAAATTATCTTTTGTATGTTGAGGATACAAAGCAAGGAAAAAATATACATGAATTTTTCATATAATATTAATAGTACAGTAAATAACTTTTTGTTTGCAAGAACTTTATTTTCATGTAATTACGCAACATTGTCTGCTTGCGAAATTTTTGTTCTGGCATACATGTACATTTTTACAGGGATTACAGACAACAATAACTAGAATTCATGAAAATTTTCTCTTGCTTATAAATACCAAACAGCTTTCTCATGAAAATAAGGTGACACGTAAATCTGCAATACATTCCCTATATAATACAGGTGACTTGATATAACTCATAGTCTGTAGGACTGTAGTAAAGCTTCAAGAGATCAAAACAGTTTTCAGAGGTTTAGATATCTATATTCATAAATAATAATAATAATAATAATAATAATACTTTATTTAAAGAGGGTAACTCAATTAGTGCGAGCACTATTCTTCCTTGAGGCCCTCTATAAAATTACAATAATACACAATGATAAATAATACATTCGACAGTGATATAACACAATATACTTTAACAATACATGCAATATTAAATTAATGATACAGTCCGCAGATATACATTTTTTTAAATTTAAGTTGATCATTGGTCTATTATAAATTTTCTTGTCTTGATTCTAAAATTTTGAAGTGTTGGGCACATTTTTACATTTAAAGGTAAATTGTTCCACAATACTGCACCCGAATATTGAAAAGAATTTTGAAATATTTGAAATATTTTAGTTTTGTGTTTTGGAACACACAAATGATTGCTTGAAGATGTCAATGTATATTTGTATTATACTCTACTGTATTCCAGACTCCATGATTCTGCTTGGTTCTATACAAAGACTTGAACTGGAGCGAGTTTTATTTGTTCATCTCAGCAAAGACCAAAAAATATTTATACAAAGTGATGACGAGGATAACGAATCAAGGAGAAGTAACTCTTCCTCTATGACTGATGTGTCCGTAATCAAACGGTCTATCACTCCACCTCCAACAATCAACATAATCCCCCAGAAAAAGTCCAGGTTCCTCGTGTCTAAGGTTGAGGAGAAAAAGAGGTCCAGGACACCCAGTCCAAGCAGATTCTCAATGCCAAGATCTGTAGGTTTATCTTTAGAATTTTAAGAATCTGAGAAACTAATTTCAGGATCAAGATTCAAGTATTTCACTTAACAAGTAAATGATGGTGAAATTACAGAAATTGAAGTGCATTTACAATGGTACAAATATAAATACAAGAATTTTTTTTTTGTTCTTCTTTATTTGCTATTTATTATGAAAATGTTATGGATCAGTAGGCTGACACAGACTGAAAATGATTAATATTTAATGAAGAGATGAGGGAAAAAATAGATTAACATTGACTTTTAATGTAACTATGTTTTACGTAATAGGGACAGGCAAGACATGAAATAGACAAATACCAGCAGTTATGTGACCCCTGTAATGTAGAGTGTCTATTTGTCATGTAGGGACTGCCAGAAACAAATCTTTTTAGAAGGGCAAGGAAGAGATTAATTATTTAAAGGGCAGTGTTAAGTTTAATTAATTTTACCTTAAACTTTTCTCCACTGGTACAAAAATAACTTAACTCTGCCCTATTTAGTACTAAATTTAGTGTCCCTTGGTGAGAATTAATTAGTATAGTACAATTCAAAATGTTTATCATCTCACTTAAGAAAAGAGGAAAAAACAGGCTACTAAAATTTATCAAGAACTTTTGGAGGAAATTCTGAAACTATATCACACAGTAAATCTTTTTCAGAGTTTGATAAATGAAAAAAAAACTTTTATTTTCTACTAAACATATTTATTGAATTCTCATTTGTGTCGACTTTTGGCAATTAGTGTAAAAACCTTTTTTTATGAATTTCAATAAATGAAATTACAAAAGCTTTAGCGACTTAATGACATTGCAAAATACTTGTGAGTATGGATGGTCATAAATACTTTTTTCACTGCATGAAAGTTACTTTGTAATTTGTTTACAGTATTGATAAAAAACAAAAGATATTAATACAAATTTATACTGTAGATAGTTGCAAAATTATACTTTGTATTATTTGATATTTGTTTCAGTCCAGTGCTTCCTCATTAGAGTCAGAGAAGGAGAGACAGACATATCATACATTACAGTTACCCCTCAGATCTATCCTCAAAAAATCATCTTCATCATCTGCTCTGTCAGACAGAGCCAACAGCGAAACTAATCTTCAGTGTAAGTTCTCCATAATCAACATCAATATTACTATCAACATTAACATCATCATCAATACTATCAACATTATTATTAACATCATCAACAATCCCATCAACATTATTATCAGCATCATCATTACTATCAACAGTACTATCAACATTACTATCATCAGCATCACCATCATGTACTCATTTCATTGATTTTTTTTTTAATTCATTACATACAATGTTGACAAATAATGCAATATTTGTCAGAAGTTTTGATTCAATATCCTTTTTGTTCTTCAGCTGAAATAACTGCTTACTACAGAAAATTGGCCAGTACCAAAAAAGAGAGTATTTGTGAAGATGCTCCGTATATTATTGATGTAAGTTTGAGGGTCAAAATACATAAATTAACTATGTAGATTGCCTTCTCAGTACAAAGTGGTTTTTACGTATTTAACAAATTTTAAAGGAAAACATAAATGTATTTTTTACATTTCTCTTTTTACAGAAAAGTAGCTTTACTAATCTGGCAAAGAAAGTAAGACTGGTAAGTAATTGTATATTCAGTTATCTTTAAAAAAAAAATAATGATTTTTTTTTTTTTTGGTTTTTTTTTCTGTGTTGTTTGATGGTATCATAAATAATATCTTTGTTCTTTTCACTAGCCTCCAGAACCAGTAAAGATCAAGAACCTTACTAAAGAACAAGTGAGGGCTAACTCTTTACACATTAAAAAAAGTACTTATCGTAAAAGAAAAAAAAAATTATCAGAGATTAAATACTGTTTATTTCTTTGATAACATTTGTCATTGAAAATAAATCCCATGTGAATTTTTTATATGGTATGTATTCAGTATGTCTTCTTTGAAATAACTTAATTAAGTTGCCTCAAGTTCATTTCAGATCTCAAAATCACAAAGAAATTTTATCCCAATAAAATTTCTTGTTTCTGCAGTATCAAAAAAGTAGTCATAGTGGCATAGGCTTTTATGTATTATTAGTTCCATCTCAACAAGAATTCTAAATTCCATCTTGACTCTTTGAAAAATACAAATGATTGAATTTTGTCTTTAGCAAGAAGAGTGGGAGGAGCAAAGACTTACAGATCCAATAGAATGGGAGGGAGTTCAGATAGACCCCGCCCCATTCCAGCTGGTGGAGAGAACATCACTACACAAGGTACCATGCTCAGTATTCTAAGACTAGTGACTAACAACTACAGAAAAATTGATAATGGTTTTACCTAAAATGGTTTTTTTTTTCAGGCACTTTGATGTGCTTCTTTAATTTTTTTAATTGTGTATTGTAGGTTCATTCATTATTTTCTCTCTTGGGAATAAATCATGCTTATGTAACCAACACTGGGAGACTTGTAGGTGTGGTGGGATTAAAAGAAGTAAGTTTTATACATCAAGTATTATATTTATCAGATAAATAGTGCGTAGCATCCATGATAATGATTTGTGTATGAAAATACCTGCGTAAATTTTGACTATTGAATTCTCTCAAGCTTCTTAACTTGAAAAGATTGTCAAAATCTTATTAGTTCATCCAAATCAAAACAAGCACAAATTTTGATATTTAGTTAAGAAGAGCAATTCAGGGAAGAATTGATGCCCAGGCCAAAGGTGAAGACGAGACTGAGGATGAGGAAGTGGAGGAGATTGATCCTCAGCATCTGGAGGTGGAGGTCTCCCCACCTCAAAACGAATACAGACTTGTTAACACCTCTAATGAGGAACTTCACGGTGTACTAGTGACTAAGGATGAGTGAGGACCACAGAAGAGAGTGGGATCTTGTTTAAGTGCAGATGTGATACTATTCTAATGTGAAATTTTGCCAAATTTTTAAGACTTAGCTTTACCATTGCGTCACTTCAGGTTTGGGAAATTTATATACTCTACCATACGAAATTAACACCTAAAAAGTGTGTTCATCATAGAATTTAATGATATTTTCCTTGAAATGTGTTCCACAGAAAAAAAATGTTTTTTAATATCTCAGGATTCGTTAGAGGTCATTGAACTGTTATGCCACCTCGTGACCAAATTATGCATTCCTTGTTAAGTATTACAACCTGTGTTAATATGGTTTTCAATGGTTGTCTCAGAAATGCATTCCAGCAACCATTATTTTTCCTTAATCAAGGGGATGCTCAAAGAGCTGTTGATAAAATCTTCACATATATTTTCATTTTATGCATTGTATGATATTTTTTTCTCATTTAAGAATCTCATTATTTGCTTACACATGTAAATGAATCATTGCAAGTTTATTTTATAAGCCATTTTATAATTCACTCAATTATGTGAAAATCAGTGCCAATGTGCCAAGTTACATATGCAACAAATGTTTACTCAGCGAGCAGGAACTGAAATATTTTTTTGTAATTGTTTTGTATATTGTATGACTGAATCATAATCGTTAAATGATTTGTCATATTTAAAATGTATCCTGGCAGAAGAGCTTATTTTTATTTTGTTAAGTATTACATGTAACTAGAACAAGATTTTTGACTCAAATATAGCATAACACAAAATAACATGCGAAACAGGGAGGAAAAATCCCCACAATTATTGGCCTTCGCTGTTGTGTATAGATGGCCAGTGAAAGAGAAGGGGCTCTATACTGAATGGAACACAGCTGCTGGGTGACACCTATAGTTACTCTGACCTACATGTGTAACATAGTGGGAGTCTGCAGGTGATCCTACTCTGATTGAAAGACTCTGTATCCTTGCGTTAATATCTTACAAAGAAAGGAACTAAATATTTTGCTCAGGTGTTTAGTGGCAAGTTTTCATTGCTTTATGAATAAAGTTATCATCATATATACCAACAAAAAAAAAGACAAAAACAAAATAAAACATGAGATGTCAGATGAGCAGAAAAGATTTTTTAAAGGATTCTCAAAAGCTCTGTTTGTTTTGCCTGTAGAGAACACATATCTGCAATAGTACCGTATATACTCACCTATAAGTCGGTCCGCCTATAAGTCGGTTGTATTTTTTAAGCTTACATTGAGGGATTGACCCGCTATAATATCAATATTTTTATAACTCGCCTATTAGTCGGTCAACGGTTTTTGGACCAAAGTTTAACTCCCAAAAAACCGACTTATAGGCGAGTATATACGGTAATGTTTACCTGTGTTAAGTATTAATGAATGATACATTTATTCAGAATTCTTCATTCATAAAATAAAAAAATGGGCATTTTCTTCATTAGATTTCTTGATTGTGAAGCAGTATGACATCTTAAGTAATGTTTGAATACTTGTAATGGAACACGCTCAAATAAGCTAGTCTATGTTCAGTACCATTAATTGATTACAAGCATGCTGAAGGAAGGTACTTAAATTAACAAATGAATAAATTGTTGTTTTTGTCATTAACCAACAAATGTAATATAATGATTAACATTTTGTTATAAGTTATGTATGTAGTTTTAACATGTTTGTTGATGTTTTTCACTTTACCTGTCTTTCATGAATTTTTACGTCACGAGCATTAATAATGGAAGTTGTACGTCTTCCGTGGCATTTTTGTATTGTGTATTTTTACTCAATGCCTTAATAATAATGTTCACTTGTCGAAATTGTGAATAATAACAAATGTCACAATTGTTATGAAATTATGTGATACAATTCATTCTTGACTCTAACATAGAGAATATAAAGCTTCATCCTTGATTTCTATGTCACATTAGTATCATTGCTGTCGCAATAATATATTTTGCTTCTGATTTAATTTTCTATATTTTATGGCCTTCTAATACATTTTTTATTATTAAATGTGTTCTCTTTCAAAGTAACTCAATGTAACCAGAAATTTAAGATACAAATGCTCTCCTTAGAATAAATGATGTTAAAAAGTTGTAATCTTATTTAGTATTTAAATCTTATTCAAGATAGACAGTGAATAGACTCGAAAGTCCATATTTCTACAATGACCCCCCCCCCCCCCCTTTTTTTTATTATTTTGTGTGGAAGATTGGTATGTGAGGCATTAAATAAACTGGTCAGAAGACATTTGGAGAAGACATTTAGAAAATACAATTTTATTACGTCAAACAGTTTACAGTATCAGAAATGATAAATTGTGTAATAGGTAATAGAGCCATCACTTTCTTAACAGGAAAATGAATGATTATAATTTGACATCTTTATAAATGTTCCATTTCAATTGTGTAATTTACAGCATTTTCATAATTTTATTTGCTAAATAAAATAAATGAATTTCCAACTTAACTGACACAAGTAATAGTGTGTAGATCTTTAACAAGAAAGGAAAGTTTCAAATTGCACCTGAAAGATTATCACTTGCTGGTGAAATTAAGTAACCCCTCTTCATTCCCTAAAGGGGAAATGACTGATTGCTACTGACTGAGGCACCTGTTAGATCCTTAGGCCTTTTAGATCCATTGAAAATGTATTGAATTTGTACAATTTTTTGACCTGATTTTACAGTTTTACCTTGTCTGTTTTGCCCATCAGCCTTCAAAGTAATTTTCTTGATTTGTAATTATAGTATAATTAAACTAGAGATACTGTGAGCACTTCACTCACAAAATGATACCCTCACTCTTATGAGAATCAGGCAAAAGACCATTTTTTGCTATGGGAAACCCAGAACATTTAATAGGAGGTCACAATGGTGCGATTCTGCGAAAATCTTGTTAAATTTTATTCAGTGATAGAGGAGGAGTTGTGGATAAAAGATGGGTACCCCTATATTATAGAAAGAATGGCAATGTCCATTTTTTCCTATTGTAAACCAACCCCAAATATCTGTCCCAATAGATCACAAAATAGGAGGTGCACAATGGCACTACTAGTATGTAATAAAGAGTCTGTGAAAGTGTCATTAAAGAATAATGCACTTAAGGAGGCATATTTCTTGTATTTAAAAATTAATGAAATTTTCATAGATTCAGAATACATTATCATTAAGTGATGGTATCAATTAGATTAAATTTGACCGTTTTATTTTAAAAGCAAGGTCAGGTCAAGGTCGTTATCTTTTTCCTTGACTATTAGAATAAAAATTGCTGTTGCCAATCATGCAATGCCTACTTCTATTTCAAAAGATTATATGTTTTTCTTTTTTGCATAAAAAGATATTCCCATATAGGGTCTATTAGATGATACTACCAAACTGACAAAAATATTTTAACTAAAATAGATATTGGCTAATCCGAATTTCCTCTACTATTCCTAGATTTTTAGGATATATTAGTTATTTTTAAATGCTTCGTATATTTAAATTTTTCTTATTTTCACATATGGTAAAGTAGTTATATAAAGATACAAATTGATACAAAAACAAAAAGTTTTGACCGTTTACTAAGAGAGAAAATACATTTTTTACAGATTTTTTGCTCAAATCTGTACTTAGATTGGAAGCCTTTAAAAGCTAACATAATTGTAGTTTGTGTGGAAAATCATATTTATTTGATATATTTTTAAACTTCAGTCCATTATTATTAATTTTACTTACATTTGAAATTTTCTTTAAGTCCGACTTTGATTGTTTAAAAATTCTAACTAAATTCATTGTTCTATAGTAATTTTGAGAAGCAGAAAAGGAGATATTTTCATAAGCAGCCGTTCCGCCAAAAATATAGTCCCTGCTAGATTTCAAACTCAGTTTTCCATTTCTATTTAAAGTTGTACAATTATGATGAGGAAAGAAAAATATGATCTTTTAAATCCCTTACATCTAAATATATAAGACGTATAAGCAAATATTCTTTGAATATTTCATCTAATCAGAAACCAGACAAGAATCTCCCTCTTAACGCCGGAGTTTTGGGTCCTTTTCCGTCGCTTCTGTTGCTTTTAAATCTTAACCTTATTTCACTTTGGTATATTTACTCAAGAATTCTGTCAATTTGGCACCAAAGGAGATGGGCGAACATAGCGTGCAGAAAGCCTATAGCTTCAGAAATATAAAAATCATGTTCAGTTTGTGAATTTGATATTTAGAGTAAAGGTCTCATTATTGAAATTTATGAGATTGTGTTAAGAAAACTTTTCAGAGGAAAATTTTCTCGACAAAATTTATTCTTTTATTAAAAACAAATAATGTGGTATTCGTGGGGTTCGAACCCTAGCAATAAAAATCCTGAGTATCATTTTCTTTCGAGACTAGCACGCTAACCACTAGACTACACAAGTCCTGACGAAAAGTGGCATTTAAATCATGTTTGTGATATGACCCTTGACTTAATGGACTTCAAGTATTTCTCGAAAAGATGCGAATTTTATGTCATAAAAATATATTTTTAAGGTATAGTGGGTCATTGCTCCATATTTTTGGTAACCAAAAAATGTGTATTTTTATGCAAACTTTGAGGATTAACTTTCAAAAAGGTGGAGCGAAGACCCACTCACATCGAAAAATAGTGTTATAGTATGAGAAAATGACTCTTTTTGCCCGCTTTAGTGTGTGTCTAATATTTCACAGGCAAATAATTTCAATCTTTGAGGGATTTTTGCAAATTGTAGAGATTTTACATAAAGTATATTTTAATGTTAGTCGAAATATCAAGGAAAATTTTGATATAATTGAAATTTAATTTTTCATCACCATGTTTGTCACACTATAGGCTTATCGCTCGTCATGTTCACCCATCTCCTTTAATGTTAAAATGATTTTAGACTGTGATACAATTAAATAATTATACATGTATGTTTTTTGTCCTTACTGCTTTCCAAATATATAAAATTTACACTTACTTGCCCTTGATTAAACATTAGGTATGCATGAGAGGTGGCGCTAACATTGTAAGAATGGCTCTAAAATTAGACTAGATAAATAACAATGACATGTATAAAAATACGAGATTACTCTTTCCATCTCCCCCTTTATTCTGTATGGCACAAGTACACTATTTACAAAGGTTTCAAAACGAAATTAACAATATGAGCCACAGGTACTTGTGGACAGGAACCCCCCCCCCCCCCCTCCAATATGCCCCACAGGTCAAAAAATATTTTTATGTATTTTTTTCATAAATTATTCTTCTAGTACACATTTACAATATATTCCATAAGAAAAATCCAAAAAATAACGCAGAATTAACGTTTTACTAAAAAAAACCTACCCGCGGTATTATAATACCGCGGGTATGAAAAAAAAACTACCCGCGGTATTATAATACCGCGGGTATGATTTTTTAGTAAAACGTTAATTCTGCGTTATTTTTTGGATTTTTCTTATGGAATACATTGTAAATGTGTACTAGAAGAATAATTTATGAAAAAAATACATAAAAATATTTTTTGACCTGTGGGGCATATTGGAGGGGGGGGGGGGGTTCCTGTCCACAAGTACCTGTGATATGAGCATGTACATGTAAGTAAAGAATATTTTGATTTGATGTCTGATAATTCAATGTGTTCGAGCACATTGTCCTAGTTAGCACAAAACATGCTACCTTACAAGTGACATGACGGAATTTAGTATTCACAGAGTTACCCGAGATAAGAAATCACGTGGTGAATTATAATATTCAACATGCCAAAACCCTTGGTTACAACAGAGAGAGCGAATGTAACAAAAAACAGTTTTTTCTCTTTTAAACCATCAGCGCAAGTTTGTCTATTAATCTCCTTTTGACACAACATTATTAATGCAAATATACAGCTACTGTTAAACGGAGAACAAAAGACAAACATGCGCTGACTATGTATAAAGTCAGTGAAAAAGTGGGCATCCTTAATATCGAACGGAGATTCAAGAAATTGTGATGACCCATGCCTTTGAAAACAACTTCGTACTTCGTAAATACATACTTTTATCTAATGTAATTACGTAAAGTTGTAGATTAGATGTTGACCATTTCTGCATTTAAAAGAAAAATGCTTTTGTTTTGAAAGTTTATTTTGTCGCAATTTTCGCATGTCCTTAAGTGCTGTCATCCTTTAATTTTGTTGTGTAGGAGGAGTTTGCAGGTAAGAGATGGATACCCCAAATTTATAGAAAGAATGGCAGTGTTCGTGTTTTGCTATGGGAAATCCCAAATATCGGTCCGATCAGAACATGAAATAGGAGGTGCACAATGGCACTATGTAATAAAGAGTCTGTGAAAGTATCATTAAATTTTATTCAGTGGTATAGGAGGAGTTGCGGATAAGAGATGGGTACTCCCAAGTGTTACAGACAGAAGGACGGACGCCCCTTATACACTCCGCTTTTCAAGCGGGGGTATTATGAAAGATATAATTATGATATATGGACAAAGAAAATGACTGATCATCAACAACAAAAGAAAGGGACTGATGAAAACCTACAAAAGACAGGAAATGATGATCAACAACATAAGAAAGTGTTTATGATAAACAGCCGAAGAAATTAAATGCTTATAAACAACAAAAGAAAGCAAGCAGCGTTAAAAAAAGGAACGAAAAATTGTGAACAGTGATGAGAAGCTCTTTATTTTTTGCCCAATTTTTGAAGAACTTTATATGTAGATAGACTACATGTATATACTAAGGTACATAATTCTGTGTATTCATTACTGGACGAACGATGTTGCCATCGTTTCTAAAAACAGAAATTTGAGAAATAGAGAATAAAAATCGCCACTCCTACAGTTTTGGTATAATTTCTATACAAAGCTGTATACAAGTAGAACACAACTAGGTAAACAATTTTTAATTATATGAATGTTTTTTTTTATTTCAATGAATGTTACATTGAAAATGGAACAAAACTATGGGATAGGATGAGTGGCAATAAAGTTTTGGTTCATTCTAATAACCAGGTATGTTATATCAAGGTGCATTAAATCTTAACATACAAATTATTTTTTGATTTCGATGAATGTTGTTGTCCTGGTTAGTACAAGAATCCTTCAAAATGCGACTGCTACAAACAGTTTTTGGTCCATTCTTAATGGAACTTTGTTTGCAAGTAGATTATAAGTTTTCAGGAGTTATAATTAAGAATTACTGAAAATTTAACGGCATCTTTTAAAAGAACCACTGGGGAAAAAATCATGTGAAGGCTTCATTTCATATTGTAGATTCGTTCAAATCATCTTCCCAAGAATCATATAGTAAAGCTATATGATTCATCATGTTTATATGGAAGCATCCTCAGGTTGTGTAGATTCAAGTTTGTTCTAACCATGACCCCCTGGGGGAAGGGTGAGGCCACAGTAGGGGATATAAGTTTTACATTGGAATATATATAGGTTTTTTTTTCTCTGATGAACAGCAAAGCCACGATAAGACATATTTATATGAAAGCATCCTCTTGTAGTTTAGATTCAAGTTTGTTCAAATCATGGCCCTCGAGAATAGGTTTACATTTAAAATAGCTCACCAAATTTTTACATAGGATGAAATCTTTAAAAAAAAAAAAGATTTGCCAAATCACATTAAATCTGATTAATAAACAAAATACTTTTTTTTCATTATGAGCCCTAGTGTTAGAGTTGAGCCAAAATCAGAAATACAAATTTTCCATAATGCATGTGTACAGGGAAAAAAAATCTTCAAAACAGCAGAACCATGTTGGTCGTATTGATGAAGCTTCCCACTGTTGTGTTGATTTAACTTTGAATAAATCATAATTCCTTTAGGTCTAGATTATGGTCCACAATATGGAATCAATATGAAATTAAAGAGGGAAATTAAAAAAAAATTCTGCTGGGCCAAAGTCAAAAGATAAGCGCTGTGGCCCTTGTTCAAAAAGGGTCCACATCCAAGGGGATATAATCCAGAAAAGGCAAAAATAGGATGGGGTCATTAAAAGATCTTCTCAAGAACCACTGGGACAGAAAAGGTGAAAAATGTGGAGGTTTCCTGAGGAAGTTAGGGTAAATTCTAAATAGTTCAAATCATGACCTCCGGGGGGTAATTAAGGTGCGACCACTAGAGGGAGTCAAAGTTTTATCTTGAAATATATTTTTTAAAAAGATTAAAATCTTTTTCTCGAGAACCACATGGCCATAAAAGATAAAACTTAGGACCAGAAAGGTGAAACTTATGGTCGAAGCTTTCAGATGGAGTATAGATTCCAAATTGTTCAAATCATGACCCCTGGGTCTAAGGTTGGGCTTCAATATGTGATCAAGTTTTTACAGTGAAATATATGAAAAAAGAATTTTTAAAATCTTCTTCTCAAGAACCACAGGTCCAGAAAAGGCAAAACTTATGTGGAAGGTTTGTAAGGAAGTGCAGATTGTATATTGTTCAAACCATGACCCAGTGGGGGTAAGGTGGGGCACAATACAGGCCCGTAGCAACAGTTTCAAAAGTGGGGGGAGGCAACTTCCCAAAATTATCTGACAAGCACCCCCCTAATTTACTGTCCAAATCCTGGAAATTGCCAGTACTCGACCTTACAACAACAAAAAGGGGGGGGGGGCAATCAGCATCTAAAGGAAAATTACTATACTCAAAAAAAAGGGGGGGTCTACGGGCTTGCAATAAGGGATCAAAGTTTCACATTAAAATATATAAAAAAAATTTAAAAATCTTCTCAAGAACCACTGGACCAGAAAACATATAGTTAATTGTTCAAATCATGGACCCTGGGGTAGGGTGGAGCCACAAAGGATCAAAGTTTTACATTGAGATATTTGAATATTTAATATTTTAAAATTCTTCTTTTCAAGAATTACTGGACCAGAAAATATGAAACAAGTGAACGCTTCTAGACATTATGTAGATTGTACATTGTACAAATCATGGATCCTGGGGGGGGGGGGCACTTTAAATTTTTGCATTGAAATATACAGGAAAAATCTTTTAAAATCTTCTTATCAACCACTTGACCAGAAAAGATGAAACTTAAGTGAAGGCTTCCTGAGGTAGTGTAGATTCTATACTGTTCAACACAGGCCCCCTGGGTAGGTGGGTACCACAAAAGGGGATAAGAGTTTCGCATAGAACTAAGATTTTTTTTTTTAAAGTCTTCTAAAGAAACACAAAAAAATCATTAATTTGCAAACAATCCCTTGTTCATATTGTGTGAATTAATTTTTTTTTTTTAATTTTTTTTTTTAAATTATGGCCCCTCATAATCAACTCTAACATAAAGCATGTATGCAGGAGCGTTGTGGCCCATGAGCCTCTTGTTTTGGATACAATTATTCTGTATGTATGTCTCTGTAGGCAAACCTCGGAAACGTCGCTTACCCAGTCTTATCATCATCACTAGCCAGGAAAGGTTTTAATCCTCTCCCGCTCCGTGGCTGGTGACGATGACTTGCACAATTTCGATTGGGGGGGGGGGTGCCCCATACTTTTTTCCCAACATAATATTTTTACTGTGAATTTATTTGATAATGTTCACTGATAGACCGTTTGCCCCCCCCCCAACAATACTACGTACGCGCCTGTATGTAGAATACAAGATTCAGACCCGCAAGTCGCCGAAGTTTCTACCGTTAGTGTTTAAATTCAACATAGTTAACGTTCGTCCATAAAATATCGCATTCAATCAATGTACTCGTGCTCTAAATGTTTTAATACTTTTGAAATAAATCCAATTCCTGTCCTTGAATTAAATCTACCCAAGTGTGTCGGGCATGTAAAAAGATAACACGTCTCCTCTTACAGTTGACAGTGTATATGCGGAACATAATGAGATAGATCACTTCAACTTCAACGGAAAATATGAAAGTTGTTTTTCATAGGAACAGCATTTTTGTAATTTAATTTTAGAAATGATTTTTGTATAAAATGCTAAAAATAGTCATCAATTGAACAGCATGACACGCGCGTAAATCTTATCCCAGTTATATTTTTCATTTGTATTGGATTTTAAAACTGCACAGTGTTATCCGGAAATGAATCACTGAGAATCCCCGTACAGGTAAAATTGTCCCACCTTTATTTGATAACGAGAGCCAGGAAGTATGAAAATTGTCCACATCCGTTAGAAAGTCTTTACAACAAGGTAAGTCGTGATATTACATATAATTTTACCATTGGTTAACTTGAATCAACAACAGAGCGTTGGAGGGAAACTCTCTCTCTCTCTCTCGTGTGTGTGTGTGTGAGGGTGGGTGTGTGTGTGTCCTGGGGGGGGGGGGGGGAGGGGGGCACGAATAACAATACTCAAAGTATAAATTTTATAACCACTAAAAATTACTTGAACCTTAATATAACAACCGATGTCTTGTCAAAAATGTATGCTTCATAGTATCTTTACATTTAATAGCTACATGTAGTAGTCAAATAACAACTAAATATTTATAAAACCCCAAAAGGTCAGTAGACCGAATAAATGATATATTCGAAGTACATGTGCATTTAGCCTATTTGTCGAGATGTATTACATGTATGTTATTATTCAAAACACTCAAAACATCCTATTCTCTTTAGAGAAGTGGACAGGCTTTCGCCTACATCCACTTCTCTTCGCAAACCTTCATGTTTTGATGTAGGCGAAATCCTGTCCACTTCTCTAAAGAGAATAAAAACACCCATTCATTGTCGAATGTATAGATGTACATGCATTAACTTTATTGCTTTTCGTCAGCCCTTTTCTCGTATTTATTACGCCCCAATAAAATGATACTCTCTAGTTTTATCAATATTAGGTGAACAAATTTCTCTGTTTAAATCGAAGCTTTATCTGAATAACATATTAGTTAAACTTCTAAAGAAAGATGTTTGAAGAGTTTAATTGTTTTAATATGTCATTTTTTGACAGAAAAGTCCTTTGTATCTTTTAAAACGGCACTGAAATTTTAAAAGAAAGAAGTAAGAAAATAAATGCTAAAACAAACTGGGAATTATCGAGGGTCATTTGCACGAATAACAAACACAAAAACTGAGTTGAAGTTTGGTTGATAGATAAAAATGAATGATTCATTCGCCAGCAAGATTTATATGTTGTCGTAGATGTTAAAACATTGTGGTTTTTGTTTTATGAAGTCACAGTATATCCAATTACGTTGTTTACACAAGCAAGTTAATTTATAATCGCCGAAATTTGGGCACCGTGTAATTCATGGACTGGAGGCTTGGAGTGGAGTTATGGAGTGGAGTTTGGAGTCAAATTTTGGAGTCTGATTTTTTTTTTTTATGAGTTTGAGTTTTGTTATCAAGCACCAGCTAGTGCAATATTTAACGTGACTCTTAAGACTAAATTCAGTTAGTCTTGTTGATTGCCTAAAAATCTGCTTAAAAAACAGACAAATGTTTTTTTCCTATTTTATGTTAAATCGGTAAAGGGGGGAAGGTCTCTCATTTCCGTTTCATACTCCGTAATCTATTCCAGCATTCCAGGTTATTTTCTGCTCGTTGGAAATGCCTGAGATTTTCCGATTGTATTCTTGATTGCAATACCCAAAAATAAGAGCTACTGATGAATGCGTGATCTTTACATTGACAACTGCTCAATCATGGTATAAATATTTTCAAATTTAATTGGTCTTATTTACGTATGAAATTAAGATACAAAATTTATCAGATGACAACTCTATACTTTTATTATATTCCCATGTTGCTATTGAAGGTGACGCATGTGTTCCTTGAAACAGTGTAGTGTATATCCCTATATGATTAGAGTTATGTCCAAGACACGATGTAGTTACGATATCGACAGATTACTTTTTTATAGTTTGCTACATTATTTCTTTATACTTATATGTGTATTACTTCGAAGTTTTCCTTTCTGTCACGATATCATTTCGGATCATAATTGTTCAATGGATTATGGTCCCAACCCGCAACCCCCAAAAATGCTGTTGCTTTTTTAATATGTGAGTAACTTGAATACAATCACTTTATGAAGTTTTCCTAATAGTGTCGATATCGTCATGTTCGCTAAACCCTTGGTACCGTAGTTGTCGTGGTATATGTGTGTCTATGTTTACTTTTCATTAAGGAAAATTGTAATTGCAATCGATGTCGTTGATATCGACGATATCGATATCGACTGATTTTTGTCATCGCTCTTGTTTTTTTTCTTTATGCAAGACTTGTGCTTGTGTACTTTCTAAATACTAAGTTTGTCCTGCTGTCCATATCGTCGATCGACGATATCGTATCTATATCGAATCATGATTGTTAAAGACTTGTTTTATCAACCTTCACCCTAACCTTAATCTAAAACCTTACCCTAACCTTAACCTCTGACAATAACAACCCCTCATCATGTGTTTATTTAATTATTAATATAAAAAATGAATCAATATCGACATCGCTTTTGGTCTTTTATAATTATGTTATACATTAACTTGAAAAAAAAATGACAGATCAGGATCGATATCGATACGATATCGTCATGATATTGTCGACGATTATTACAATGATTAATGTTAATGATTATAAATTTCTTTGTTTCCTCAATTAGTTATTCACAACCAAATATATACTTATATTATGAAAGACATAGTATCAGTCATATTTGAAAGCTTGTCCTAAGAGTTAAGATAATACCAGATATTCATTTAAAATGATGATAGTTTGAAGAAGTCAGGTGTAGATCAAATTATCTATTACCTAAATCTCAGGTAGATATTATATTTATTAGTTTATTTATTTATTTATTTATTTATTTATTTTGGACAGGTTAATCTTCTGGTCAACTTTACAAAGTTACTCTTTTTCCTCAAAAATGTATAACCCAAAATACTGTACTTTAATGAATAATATGCTGATGTGAATAAATGGGTCTGTTATAATCACAACACACTGCCTGCTCTTGAACTGAATATGTGGGACATACAGTAGCTGCATCAATTTCCTGCACATTCTTTCAGATTGGGACATGGGTATTAATTTCACTTTCATTGTCAATTTGAGTGTTATCTAAAACAGTGACAGTTCATTCTATGTTTTAATCAAATGTAACTGTTACATAAATAATGACCACAATTGCTTTCAACACATAATTAGATGATGGTGATAAAACACCCTTAACTAAATTTTATCTTTCTGTCAAATCTTTGTTATTTCTGCTAAAACTTTATAGGTTTTTGACCACACAGGTGTATAAACAATGTAGGTTAAAAAATTGTTACAAGGTTGTTTGATTTTACATAGCTACTTCCATGTACGCATATGAACTTCCATGTAATCCATATTAGAATAAGAACTAGTCAGTGATTTTTCTCTATATATAATTTACTTTGATTTGCACACATCAACTTAGTTTCTTAACGTGTGACTTTAAAAAAGATGATTAATTCACATAAATTTACTTAAAAAAATAAATTATATTATGATATGCATACAATATATTGGTGACTCACACTTTTAACAATTTAGAAGTTTATGGAAAGGAATGCACTATGATGCCAGTTAAAGGATCATGATATTTGTACTTCCTCTGAAATAATGCAATGATCTTAACACATGCATGCTGTTCTGTAGAGAACTAAATTAATTCAACACTAAGTCACATACACCAAAATTAAATGGTCATCGTTCACAGTTTAATCAGCATCTCGGAAACTGGGTGCATGTGAGATTCTGGCCTTTCACTAATTAGGAAATATTTCTATGAGCCAATGTAATCTTACAAAGCTTTCACTATCAATTAGAAAACTGACAATCTATTTAATGATTGATAAAAATAAAATGAGCACTACAAAACAATAAAACTTTGCTTTTTTTTAAAGTGTAATATGAACATTTGTTGTTTTCGGATGTCTGCAGCATTTTAAATGAAGATATTTCACATTGCATCTGTCTTTTAGAGTTATTAATTATTGCCAGACAATTTAAGTTAGTATTTGCAGACTGGATTAGATAATTTGATTTAGTTGGTGCATAGTAGGTATGATTGCTTTCATACTCTATAAACACCATAGCAGGTATAAATCTTAAAGGAGACAGTGAAAGAGTGATAAGGGCAATAGACAATAGTGTGAGTAAGCAAAGATGACAACACCAGGAGAGAATACAAACAGAATGAGAATGTGAGGGTGCAAATTTCTGAGAATGGGGGAGCGACAACTCAAGGAAAAGAGAGAGATTGTTATGGCTGTCGCTATAATGCTCTTAATGCAAGGAAGAGAGGGAGTGAGTGGACCTTTTAGTACACCATATGCATGTGTATAGAGGTATAATGTGTTTAACTTAATTTAAAACTAGTTATTATTTTTTGAAATTTTACATGGTAGGCATATTTGGTAATGAATAGTTGAGTGTATAATACTGAAAAACTGCCTTCTTATAAATTGATATAAATTCTGAACCTAATAATTCTTGACAAAATTGTTAACACGTCCAATCAAACCATATTTAAACAACCAGTAAGACCGACTATATCTGTTGATTAATTATATTCAACATAGTTTCCAAACATTTTGAAAGATCAAGGGTTATCTTGTCAGCATCATGTCTGTTTATTCACTACTGATGTAATTTTCTGAAGTTTCAAATACCGCACTTGCATCAGTGTTAGAAACTCGCAAATTTTAACTGGGTCATAGCACCTATATATATGAATTGCCAACCTATTTAGTTACAAGACATGAAACAGCCAACATTTATACCAAAAAATGAGACTTTGATACTAGGCAATTTCTTTAACTTCTTTTTTCCATTATTGTATAAAAAAAAAATCCCAGACTCCAAAAATTGACTCCAAACTCCACTCCAAAATCCACTCCATAACTCCACTCCAAGCCTCCAGTCCATGAATTACACGGTGCCCGAAATTTGTGTTGGTTATGATAAACCTTAAATTGTAACGATAATACGAGGTTCTCATTAAATAAGTAAAAACCCGGCAATTTTTTTGGTGCATTTTACACAAAGACTTTGTGATTGATCTTGATACTAATATAAGCCCAAAATATACACATACTAAAACGAGGAGTAATTGTATTATACATGATACATGTGTATTCTTCTTGAAACATACTGATATTGTATAGATATAGGTATATACTGATATTGTATCGGTACCGTCGTACAGAGACGGTTTTAAAATCCCTAGTGACATGTAGTAACATGGAAATTCAATGCTCTGTATTTACTACTTTTTTAGTCGAATTTAGAGAAGACAGCGAGCCAACCCACCCTCTTATTTTTCAGAAAAAAGCTAGATATATTCGGTTCTATGGCGTATTAAATTAATTCAAAGGATTTTTATGTCATGTTTATTGTATGTTAATAGGATTTATATGTGTCAGATTTTGGGCTAACCATTTCTTTTCTTTTTTTCACAATTTTTGCTTGACCATATTTAGTACCTGGGTTTAAAAAAAATAATAAAAAAAAATACTAGAATCATGATGGTTATTTACTATTTTTAGATATGGACACATTATCGGCCGTGAAATACTCCAGACTAAGTACTAAAGAGGAAAATGATTCTCCGTACACGTGCATTACACTTAAGAACTATGGATCATCTGGGTCACGGCACCAATTTACAATCAACGGTCATTTAAATCCACTAGATGTTGAAAAAACTGTAAGTGCAATGCGTTTAAAAGGCTTAAAGAAAGAAGACTTGCAAAGCTGTATACCATTCACAGCTAAAATCGTCAATTTCTATTTTCAGGAATACCCACCTTCAAATGAAAATGACCTCATTCGTGTTCATAAACCGCTAAAAGACAGAATGAAATATGCCTTTCTTGCCTGCTTGTTTTGTTTTTTCCCTACTGGAATTATGGCTATCATCTATGCATCACAGGTATATTCAAAAGATCGTTACTGTCATCTGACATACATTTTTTTTACCCTAAATGATCTGTCAATATAATCAATATAATGAATACAATTTTTGTAAATTACATTATGTTGCATAAAATCAGAATAACAATATAGATCAAGAAAAATAAGGAATCCTATTTTTATTTTATATTAGGCAAGATCAGCCTGGGAACGAGGCGAGGTAAAGAAAGCGCGGGAAAAATCCAGCTTGTCTAAAGACTTTATCCGAGCGTCTGTTTGTATTGGAGGAATAGCATACATTCTGATATTCCTAGTTATTCTAATTACCGTTATTTTTAATGTACATGCCTGATATACATCTATCATTTACAAGTTATGAGGATATACCATTTATTCTTTCTGTAAGCTCGAAAAGGAACAATATTTTGTTTGTATAAGTATGATCTATAGCGAAAATATTAAGACTGAAAATGAAAGTGCATTTATTGCATTTTCTTCATTAATGCAATTATAACACAGACGCATGTTTCTGTAAAAAAAAAAATCACTCAAAGCATAATAATAACATATGGTATCTAACTCCGAATTACATAGAGTCCCCCCCCCCCGAAAGAAAATGCACTGGCAAACTGTTTATTACCATTCTCTTCTACGATACTTTATCTACAATACCATACATGGCATGCTTTTATTTCTGTAAACAGCGTCTAAACTCTGCTTGCCGACTGGAAAATTCGTGTCACACCATGAAGTGCCATGCTCTACAGAGAGCAAAATTTGAAAATCAGTGGGTTTAAAAAAATAATTTCAGTGTTTAAATATTGCATTAATATATAAAATTTGTTAAAGTTTTATTTTCTTTTAAAACATTTTGATATGTAATTTTAGTCTTTAAGTCAATCAAAATCCAAGAAAATATTCCGCCAGAGATTTGTACATAGCACTTCATGGTTTGAGACGAATTTTCTAGTCCACGGACAGATTTTGGCGCAGTTTTTGGAGATAAAAGAAAAAAAGACAAGCATGCCATAAATGGTTTTGTAAATAAATTTTAAAAAGAAAAAAAAAACTGTAAAAAAAAAAACAAACAAAAAAACAAACAAAAAAAAACGGGTTGCCAGTACATTTTTTCTGAATGTGTAAATGGCTGCAATTCTGGGGAGGGGTACTTCATGTAATTCGAAGTTAGTTACCTTGACAAATGTGATATTATTATACTATGAGTTAAAAATTTATCACAGAAACAAGTGCTAATGAACTACACAAAAGGAAAGTGCATATGTCATACATAAAATAGAAAATATTCATGGTTTGAGTTTAAAGATGTTTTATACTTTGTAATCGGTGAGGAATTCAATCTCAGAATGCACTAACGGATGAGTATGAGGGGCATTACAAAAAAGCAAGTGTATACTGAACATATTTTGTCTGGAATGAAAACGTGAGCACTGGTTCGATTCCATTACATTATTTATTTATTATGTGCAATCAATATAAAGTGTTCATTTATACAATGTGTTCTGTTTTCATTTATTCATACATGTGATTAGAAAAAGTCATTTTAATCGAAAATGAGAAAGTCTGTACTTGTGACACATGACCTCAAATAGTTTTGATTCAAACCAACAGAGTTTTGAATCTTGTTTTATATACAATTGATGACAAAAGGTTTAATACATCTCATCGCAAATATCATTGCACCAGTAAGGTAACGCATCAACATTCAGATATGATTTTGATGATAATCAAGTAGTCTCAAGTTTTCGCGCCTTTAAAGGAGCACAGGAATACTTTCATTGCCGTTATGTTTACAAATTTTGATTTTTTTTCCCCCTACACTATTTATTCTTAAAAATTATTTGAATATGAATGAAAATTATTTGATATTTTCGGATAATGAAAGTTTTTGTACACGATATTATATAACATATTGGTTTAAAACGCTCTGGAAACATTAAGTCTTGAAATTCTACCAACAATTTTGAAGGATATAAACATCAAGTCTGTCTCTATGGTCCCTTTTAATAGTTTTTGTGCGTAAGTATGACCGACCCCTCTTGGGAAGAATTAAGAAAAGTGAGTAAATTAACGTTAATCTTTTAAAAGAAAAAAAAATAGAATATTGGAGGGTGTTTTTAGGAAAATTTAATTCTGATTCATAGACAGAGGACAGAAAGAGAAACAGGGGATTCCTTTAAAATGTTGCACTTTTTTTCACTGCAAGTACTAATGAACGTTAGTACATGTGATCTGACATAGAACACAGATAATCGGTTTAGATAACATATGTCAGAGAATCTAACGACAAGTGGACAACACTAGGGCAATGACACTTTGGCAAGGATTTGTAGTTTTAGCAATTATTTCGATTGCTAACAATGGTCAAGTTATGGGTGCTTCAAATATTACAACAACGATCAGCAATCTTTTCAAGAAACTCCAGGATATGCAAGCAACAAGATACAATCCAGGAATTCCGCCATTAATTTGGACAAAATTTTCCGGGGTTTATGAAAGTGACGTCAAAATGTACTTTCACGGTGCTCCCGAGGACTCCGCCCTTCGGTACTCCTTTGGAGTGTTTGATAATAACATGTTCGCCACAGCTTGGGTAACAACTTGTCTGATTGAAGCACACAAATATGGGAAGGCACCAAAGCCAACAACTCAAATGCTAGACTTAGCCATTAACTTCATAATGGATCATCGAAACAAAAACGCAAAATATAATAACTCTATTATGGCATTTTGGCCCCAGCTCTATGATGAAACATATAAGGTTTGTATGGTACCTTATTTTGATGGTATATCCTTTGCTATGATTTTCATTCTACACTAAGTGTCATGCTTAAAACACTAAATACAGTGATTTCAGGTGGAAAACAAATAAAAGCTTAACTTTTTCTACAGGATTATACCAGTACCCCTGTTAATCTGCTTGGTCTTTTTAATACCACTTATCTGATAGACTGGGATCCAATTTACAAAGAGCTCGATTCTCTTGGTCTCCAACACGTCACAGAAACCATCAAGCATCTCTTGGAAAGAAGGCAAGCTTTAAATGTTACCTTATATAAATAAGTGTCTGACATTTGTACAGAATACTGATTAATAAAGTAAATGGACCATCTTACGTCGATTGTAGGGATGGATACCGGCACGTTTTTCACATCCCTCCAGATTTTGACGACACTTCCGTAAATTTGGGTTTAGGTTCACTTCTGAAGGAGTACATCACCGACTTCCCAGATTCGTCTGTTTTGTGGCAAACCCAGAATTCAAATCTTTCATCTATCTTTAATGCGTTGAAACACTACGCCTATAAACCCACAACAAACGATTCGAGGGTGAATACGATAGACACGCGAACGTACTTCTATATGAGACGTTTCCTACAAAGCGCAAAGTCAGAAAGAAAACCAGTTGCATTGATTACCACTTGGGTAGGTTGTTATAGTGTGGATGTATATATATATATATATATATATATATATATATATATATATATATATATATATATATATATATATATATATATATATATATATATATATATATATAAAACAGACACATACAAATTAATGAAACTGTAATTTTTATATAACTTTTCTTTCGTAGATTCAAGACTTTAACGACCTTAAAACTGAGTATAACAAAGGTGTAGTAACACCTGGTGACGTAAACAATGTTGACGTCACGGTGTCTGCGAATGCTCTGTATGGAATCACAAACAGCATTCTGTCTGGTCTTGTGACGACCGAAATTCTCGAGGATCCCGAAATACAGGTTCTAAAAATGATCATTGAGATTTCGTGTATTATGCTATTTGCTGTAGTAAAACATCGAACGTTATTTATATTTTTTGCTTGGCAGCAAATCTACTTGAACACTTCCACCATGATCACCTTCCAGATAAACACGAACTTCTCTTCTCGTCCAGATCTCGCGTTAACTTACTACCCATCAGTAATGGAATTTTACTGGTTTGTGGCAAGGACATATAATCTTTTGAATCGCAGATACCGTACCGGTGGTCTACCACATCCTGTAAGACGACTAATATACTAGTTGTATTTTACCCCTTCGGTCTTTCTCCATTATAACAGTTTCATCTTTGTATAAATGTCTCCCAAATCTCTATGTCTCATTTTTTTCAGGCAATGACAACAGTATTGCATGAGTTAGAGGAGGCTTTATGTGGAACAATGACAAAATCTGTTATCAAAGAAGCCACCTTTGTAAATGAAAACGTGGCGTATTATGATGATTTTCTTGGAAATGGTGACGTTGACGAAAATGGTCAACACGTAGTAAGATATTGACAATAAATTATAAAAGAGCAATATCCAAGAATTCCTGCTTCATATATTTGTAAATTTATACCAAAACTAAGATATACCCTCGTTTTTACAGAAATATGGCGAAGATCGTCTTTTTACGACCTCTATGGCTATAAATGCTCTTATTACAACTTGGACTCTTTTCAACGTCAAAACTGGTCAGCTGCATTGGAACGTAGGTGAGAGGGAACTTCTGTTTTTTTTTTAACCAAACATTTTTTCTTTGGAAGTGATGCTCATAGTCAAAGTGGTTTTTTTTTCCAGAAACTCCAGTCGATGTAAAGAAGGTAGTATCAGCTTCGGTGTCTTACCTAAATGAACACATCCTCAGTGGAGAATACAAGCCATGGAACACATTTTTCTCAGGATCAGTCAAAGGGCATGAAGCAAGTCTCAATATTTGTCTTATATTTTGCTTAATTCCAGTACTGCTTAAATCTAAAACTGCATTTCTAGGTATTCTATTCTTGATGTATTAATTTTCAAAAAAAGAGAAAAGATTCATATTTTCAAACCCTTCAGTACTGACACATAAAAATATCTTTATTAACCAGATAACATCTTCCTCTCGGTATCCAAACAATCGAAATGGATACATTAATGGAACAAAAATCCACATACGGGGCATGGAGGGCGTGGTCAATGACACGTGGTATGAACAGCAACTCAAGACTCTCAAGTCACCCATTGATTTCCATGGATTCAACAGCTACCCAGATTACTTCCCTTTCTGGTGTTCAGAACCATATACTTACGTCACTAGTATGTTAGCCCTTTCAACGTTTAATAACATTGCAGAGAATGATGTATGAAATATAATGAAAACCTACCTTCTTATTTGTCACTTTTGTAAATAAAAATTTGATACTTTTTTAACTGGCATACTTTGAAAATTATATTGCACTTGTATTCCAAACAAGTACAATTTACAGAAGATTGGTTTATGTGGAAAACTGCTGAGGACGATTAAGAAATAAAAACTATTTGAAACGGGGATTCAAAGAATGAAAATAAATGAAACATTTAATCACACACTGAGCCGAAATTGTTTCTACTGAAGAAGAGAAATTATTGAACAAAAATGTTATAGAAAAATGTAATCACTGTTCAGATGAAATTATATCGAATATATTCATCAGATAGAAAAAGGACAAATAACTGATAAGTTATAAAGTTTAAATTAGAATAACTGAAAGAGTCATTTTGAAGAAAAAAAGTTAATTATAACTTTTTGGAATACAACCAACTTAAATGGAAAGTTTGCTATATCAGCTGTAAATCTAATGAAACGGGGATGTTTTGGCTTCAGTTGATTTAAAAGAAGCTTAAAATCTAGTACCATTGGCTGAACAAAGAATGCATCGAATCTCTTTTCTATTTCTGGTTTTGAAACAAAAGAGCTTGTATGCAATCAGACTTCTTGGCCACTACCAATGTGTCATTAACGCGTATAATTATTTACCTAAAATGAATAAGAGTCATGGACTATGAAAGTGCGCTGTTTCATTAACAAAGTACGAACAGAATCAGTGATTTGTCCAGAGTTTGTCCCATTCTCGGCTTATTATGTGTGTGTGTTCGTCAAACTGCAAGTCGCAAGCTTCTAAAGGTGAAGGTCACATAAGGGCAGATAAGAGGTCATATTTCCAGATAAGGACCTCTCCGGAAATCATTCTAGAAAACCGTGTCATATTTTCTCTTCTTTTATAAGACGGTTCTAACTAGATGCCAAAACATGTTGGTGACTTTACTTGTTTCAACGTTACTCTTCGTTGGAGATGTGTCTGCTGCGACAAATTTGACTTCCACAATTAATGCTTTATTCCATAAATTACAAAATATGCAGACGACGAAATACAATCCAGCGGTTCCGCCATTGGTATGGGCAAAGTTCCCTGGAGTCTACGAAAGTGATGTCAAAATGTATTTCCATGGAGATCCGGTAGATTCTACCCTTCGGTACTCCTTCGGAGTGTTCGATAATAATATGTTCGCTACAGCATGGGTAACAACGTGTCTCTTGGAAGCGTACAATTATGGAACGGCGCCTAAACCAACTGCTGAGATGCTGGATTTGTCCATCAACTTTATCATGGATCATCATAATAAAAACCTAAACTATACAAACTCCATAATGGCATTCTGGCCACAAATTTACAATGAACAAGCAAAGGTTTGATTTTCCTTTCCAAAGAGCTTTTTTTCTACGATTTCCAATGCATGATTTGGTACAATACTTGGAAAGTCCAATATCCGGCTATAGCGAGTAAATGGCTAAAATTCTGGCTATATTCTTGTTCTGTTTCCACAGTTCTCCAGAAATTAACATCTTTAGGGCGTTAAAGAGATTTGGGGTATCTTCAAATAAAGCTTGTCATAAGTTCTCATATACAAACCACTGTTTCCATTTTAAGCCACTTGCATTGCAGAGCAACATTGCACCTTAATTAAGAAGGTTCAAGAAAAAAATCTTGAGAAACAATTTTTTTACGATTTTGATTACTGCATGTAGTATTTCGTCTTTATTCCCTAGGGATATGTAAGTACACCAGTCAATCTATTGGATCTTTTCAACTCTACATACCTCATAGACTGGGACCCTGTATACAAGGAACTTGATAACTTAGGACTCCATCATGTTACCGAAACCATTAAAAGACTTCTAGCAACAAGGTGCCAAATCAGCTTCTGTACATTAATCTTTTCATTGCAATTCTTCAGATTCTTATTCATTGGTAGTGACATCGTAAGAATGTAGTCTGACTTCCACCCAATTAGTAATTAATGGTTATAAGTTGTAAATATATTACTAACCAGTAACAACAAAGATACTGACCGCTTTCTGAATTAGCTATTCTCGTATTTTTTAGGGAAGGTTACAAGCGCGTATTTCAGATTCCGCCGGATTTCGACGACACGTCTGTTAATCTTGGATTGGGTTCCTTGCTGAAGGACTTTATCTCCGAATTTCCCAACTCGGCCGTGTTGTGGCAGTCAAGAAACACGAATCTTTCGTCTATCTTCACAGCCTTGAAGCACTACGCCTACAAACCAACGACCAACGAAACCAGAGTTAATACCATAGATACACGTACCTACTTCTACATGAGAAGGTTCCTAGAGGATGTGAAAGCTAAAAACAAGAGTCTGTCATTAGTTACAACATGGGTAAGTATTGAAAATTTCACTATTGACTTGATGTAAGATAATACAGAAATTTTACACTGTAAAGATATCAAATCTTCTTCTTCGTTAAAAAAAATATCAATAAATGTGGACATAGTCAGTAACAACCAACATGTAACTGGTTGCTTTGAATTCTTCATACATCAAACATTCAAATTATTTACATGTATATCCAGGTTCAAGACTTTGATGACTTGAAAACCCAGTATTACCACGGCATAATAACGCCCAGTGATGTGAACAACGTTGACGTCACAGTGTCGGCAAACGCACTATATGGAATCACCAACAGTATCCTTTCTGGACTAGCTACCACAGAGGTTCTGGAAGATCCCGAAATACAGGTACTTATTAACTTCCGGACAAGCTACCCAAAGGTCCAAAAGATCCGGGCCCGAAATAGGTAACAATTAACTTCCGGAATAGCGTCAACAGAGGTCTTGGAAAATCCCAAAATACAGGTAACTATTAATTTCAGGTCCAGCTACCTCAAAGATCTTGGAAGTTCCCGAAATACAGGTAACATATGAAAAAAAAAAAGAAGAAGTAATTCAACCTCATTCCGTGACTGTTTATTTTTGGTCATTGTCTATACAGATTTAATTTCTATGCTGTTTATAACAAGCAAATTTTAAAAAATACTAGTAATTCATTCCTTTTGCAATAATCATTTACTGATTTGAAGTTTTCTATTATTACATTTTTTAGCAAATATACCTGAACACATCTACCATGATCGCCTTCCAGATCAACACTAATTTCTCCTCTCGTCCAGATCTCGCATTGACATACTACCCCTCTGTCATGGAATTCTATTGGTTCGTTGCAAGGACGTATGCGCAACTGACTCGACGTCATCGCGGTGGTGGTCTGCCTCATCCGGTAACTATTAAAGATTGGGAATAAGTTCACGCGCTTTTATGTCCAAGGCTGAAGCCCATCTTTGGAATCCATCATTTTCTTTTTCTCTCTGTTACATTAAATTCAACTGTAACGAAGTAATACAGTAGATTCCAACGATGTACTCGCGCTAGTTTTCTTCCCAATCTTTGATAAAGCCAAAAGGCCATTCCAGTTCTTTTAACATCAGAGATATTTGTTAGGCGATGAACACAGTGATGGAGGAGCTTAGACAGGCTTTGTGTGAAACTATGACAAAAGCTGTCACGAAGGAAGCTATCTATAACACATCCACCATGGCGTATTTTGAAGACTTCCTAGGAAACGGAGATCGTGACAAGGATGGAAATCCAGTGGTATCTGTTTCTGATCCATGACTTTTGTAGTTGTTAAACTTCTGTTCATTTAAAAGCTCTTCTTTTGACATAACGCAGGATTTTAATTACCCTCCAGAAATATGGCGAAGACAGACTTTTTACCACTTCGATGGCAATCAATGCACTGATTACGACTTGGACCTACTACAACGACAAAACTGGCCATCTTCACTGGGATGAGAGTAAACAGTTTATAATTTAAAATATTTGAAAAAAATATATATAAAAACTTGTAGACAAATCGACTTTAAAATTTGTTTTTTGCAGACACTCCATCTGACGTCAAGAAGGTTGTGGCAGCCTCTGTTAACTTTCTGAATACCTACATTCTCGGTGAAGAATACAAACCTTGGAATATGTTCTTCTCTGGGTCTTTTAAAGGTTTTGGAGTAAGTTTCTTGTGCATTTCTAAAATCGTTCAACAGATGCATTGCTCAATTCCTGGCCATATTGTTTGCTTGGCATTTGTTTACTAGTATCCTCCTAATTTCTTTATAGATTAAAAAAAGTTAAAAATTTATAACAACAATATTTGACAGTTTATACTAAATGTCAATTTCATTTACAGACATCTTGGTCTCAATATCCCGCCAATCGTAACGAGCACATAAACGGAACCAAAATTCGAATTCGTGGAATGGAGGGTGTGGCCGACGAATCCTGGTATGACCAGCAGCTAAAGTCTCTAAAAACGCCCACTATTTTCCATGGTTACAACAATGACCCCTCCTACTTTCCATTTTGGTGCTCCGAATCTTACACCTACGTCACCAGTATGCTGGCTCTCTCGACCTATAACAATATTGCCGAAAGTAACATGAGTAATCGGTGATTTTCCGCTTTGTCCAAAGGGAGGTGACATATCTTGTCATCTCAACATTTTTAAATTTTTATTTGCTCTGTTGATGTCCACAAAAGTTAATTTCCTTCGGATCTTGAAAAAAAAATGAAACGAGAAAATCAAAATTTGGTGTTATGTGTTTTTCATTGCAAACATCTTACAGCCGTTCCTCCCAAGAACTTTTTTGGTTCATTACGCTTGGATGTTCTCACGATTTATGCATACATAAGTTAAAAACATATTGTTGCAACATGGTAAATACTCATGGCCGTAGGAACCAGAGGGAGGGGGGGTGCCCCCCCCCCAATAATTTTGCCGATATATAGAATACTATAGGAAATAAAGCTACTACATGTATATGCTTGTGCCCCCTCAATAATAACGTCTGATGGCCTTTTGTTTTGCTTGTCAAGGAATTTTGGTACTTGATACCCCCCCCCCCCAACTGAAAATGTATGGCTGTGTCCCCTCAAAGTGAAATTGCTTCCTACGGGCCTGATACTTACTTACTATTATCGGTGTTTATATTAATAAGATAATAAATTAACCATACAGTGAAAAGTAATTCCCTTATGTCCTGCAATCCTATTCAATTCATATTGTCCTTTATTAATTTTCAATCTGAAGTTGAAAATGATTACATGACAAATTAATTTATGTATTTATTTTTATCCCCTCGCAACGGAGTTGGAGGGGATATAGAAATGCACTTGTTAGTGTGCATGGGTGGATTAGTGCGTGCGTAACGAAAAATTTATATCGGGATCGATTTGCGAGGGCATGCTCCGCTTTGCGGTGCTCTTGAGGGCACATTAGAAAGAAAATGTCATGCGATCCTATTTAATTTATAAATATTAATTTTAAGTCATTAGCTAAGAGCACATTAGAAACAAAATACCGGTACTGACGACGATGAAGCTTGTGTTTTCTGCATAAGATAGTAGCATCCTCACTAATTAACAATTTTAACAAGAACAGCTTTTTTTTATTTAAAAAGTAATTCTTTCCCCCCTTTTCTTTTCCCATTTAAGATAGTTCCATGAACATAATTACGAAAGCCTATTAGGATCAAACTACGGTAAAAAAAAAATTTAAAAGGCGAAAAAAAGGCGTAATAACGCCTTTTGAAAAGGCGTTATAACGCAGAAAAAGGCGTAATAACGCAAATAAAGGCGTAATTACGCCTTTCCAAAAGGCGTTATTACGCCTTTCTAAAAGGCGTTATTACGCCTTTCCAAAAGGCGTTATTATGCCTTTTGAAGAGCCATTATTATGTCTTTGACAGGCCCGTGCTTTTGAAGTGGGGGGGGGGGGGAGCATTCTCCCATAAAATTGACAAGCAAACAAAAAAACAAGAAACAACCCCCCCCCCCCCGAAAAAAAATAAACTGCCTTAACTTGAGGGGAATCTTTATCTAACTTTTCGGTAAAACTTTCTTTAAATGCAATGACTTGCCCGAGTTTAACCATACTGCAACAAAATGTTAACTCCCAAAAAATGGGGTGGGGGAGCCCCCCCCCCCCCCTCCCCACTCGCATTCGTACTACCGGCCTGTTTGAAAAGGAGTTATATCCAAAAATGGAAAGGCGTTATTTTGAAATAATAAATATAGGAAAGATTGAATCAAAGCCATCTTTTTTTATGCAATATTTAGATTATAGTTTTAATAATATAAATTATAGTATTTTCTATATCCCTGCACATCTCGCAGACAGCTGTTTGCATTCGTATTAAGAGAAGTCAATACTCTACTTTTGAAAATCCAGGATATAGGCAGAGCCAGTTTTGGGCTTTGCTAGCCATGTATTAAAAATTCATGTCAAATTTGATATATTTTTCTCTCCTCTTGGAAAAAACCAGGCAAACTATTTGCATAGGTATAATGAGCAATTAGCCTTCAACCAAATTTCTGAAATCCATGCACCTTGGTAGAGGTGTCTGGCATCAGAGGACTAAGTTAACACTGAAAATATTTTACACATTTAAAAATCTTTTTTCCTGGAAATCTAATTATAATCAGCCCCCAGGGTGGGTTAAGTAAGTCATGTATTGAAAAATAAGAGGCGTAATAACGCCTTTTGGAAAGGCGTATTAACGCCTTTTGGATAGGCGTAATAACGCCTTTTGGAAAGGCGTAATAACGCCTTTTTTGCGTTATAACGCCTTTTTGAAAGGCGTAATTACGCTTTATTTACGTTATTACGCCTTTTTCCGCGTTATAACGCCTTTTCAGAAGGCGTTATTACGCCTTTTTCGCGTTATAACGCCTTTTAATTTTTTTTACCGTAGTTTGATCCTAATAGGCTTTCGTACATAATAAAGCACATGTAAACATGATAACTTTTCATTTAGAACCAGTAAATTTCTCCAAAAGGTCCAGATGTATTTGAAATAGCAAGGTGTCTCTGTTTTAAAAAGAGCTTCAAGAAAATGTAGTATGACAAATTTATGCATAAAGAGAAAACTATTTCTGTTCACAATCTATACTAGAAAATACTGTAAAAATGATTATGATGATCAATCAATGGATAACATATACTCCATTCTTCACGAGTGATTGATAATCTTGATAAGAATTTCTGGTACAGCAATACTTCACATGGCCAGGATCACTTCCAACATAATAAATTTCCTGAATATCTCTAGTCATAGATTTTAAACCAAATATTTAGTCTTTAAACACACAAATATATTAATAATCTTCCTCATCCATATCCTCATCTGGTGCACACTGAAAAAATAATGTCTTACTTGTATTTAGGAGTATATATGTCTTGAAAAGTACTTCTTTTGTTTCAAAAATTAAAAATTGAGCAACTTTCGAAAAAAGCTCACTGCTTTGGGATGTATTTATGTACAAGTACATATCATAAGAACTTGAAGATGAACCTGTATGCAACTTACATAGTATTCAACAAAGCAGACTTGTCCATCCTCATTTTTGATCATGTACTGAAGAGACAGGAAACCCCGATTGTCCGTTCGTATTGAAACTCGTGTGGACAAGGCCAGAGCCTTCACGGAGGGCTTCAGAAGTGAGATCTTATATCTAAAATAGAAATGATTTTTTTAATTATTAGAACTAAAAGTGTTTTTCAAGAACTTTGATGAAAAATTCATCTTCATTTTATTATGTGCATGCTTTTCTATTGGAATTGCAGATTCATACTTGTAAACATTTTAACTTTTATTTATTCTTTCTTTTTGGAGAAGAAGAATTGTTCCTTCAAGAATGTACTTGGAATAAAAATAAGAATACTTCACAAAGATATGATTTCTATAGGGACTATCAGTTTTTGTCTACCTATTTGTCTGTGTCTGAGTGCATAGAAAGGATTCCACCATATCAGAGTCTTTAGGAAAGTCAGACTGAAATTGAATTTAACAAAAAAAAAAAAAAAAAAACATCATAAAATCCTCTGATTTAGGTCCTAAAAAATCCATACTTTTCTGTAGAACAATTATGTGACATGTATTTATTATATAAAAGGTGCAATTCCATCTTGTCCGATTTTCATTCCTACCCATATAAAACTTTTTTTCATCCTGCTTCTACTGATGTGGGTAGATTAGCAGAGTATAAATGATTCAAAATATAAGGGAAAAGAGTATATCAAAATATTACTGTGATACTTACATGTGTGCTGCCAGCATTTCCAAATGTTGACAGTCTAAAATAAGGCTGGTCAGGGGACATCAGAATCTGTAATATATCACTGGTCATGTCCAGTTCACTGAATGCTTCCTTTAGACATTCAGACTAAAATAAAATTAAAAAAAAAAAACATAATTCATCCAGTACAAATGAGAATCTGCATCAAGTAAATTCATTTCACCTCAGACAAGAACTGCTATGATCAATAAAATCTATCAAAAAGTTAATCACTGTGACAAGAACCAACATTTTAATTATGTTTATTAAAGTATGCAATAAAGGACTATATTCTGTAGTGGCCAGTATCTGCCCCCAAAATAAAACTTTGATGGAGAAATCTTTAATTATGTTCTAAACCAGGTGGATATTTGCAGACTTCAAAGCATTAAATATTTTTATCAACTATGACATCATTAGTTAGATATGACGTCAATAAAATGACGTAAATTCCAAATTGCAATGATTTTGAGAGAAAATAGTGTATTTTACGTCGGTATTTTGATTGGAAATTATCGAGTGCAGGTCTGCTCAGACTAGATCTTTTGATATAATGTGTAGAATGATAATATCAATGAAATATGTGAATATGGTACCTGAGCAAGCTTGCGCTCTATAAAAACTATAGTCAAAATTGAACAAACTCTGTGCATTTTGGCCTCTATTTAAAAATAACAGAAATCCAAATAGTTTGTGACGTCACAGAGACAAGAAAAGCCAGCTAATTTTTCCAATTTCATAATATATTGTCTTAATTTGGATTATTTTATACAATATATGCACTTTTTCTCATTTCAAGAGATTTTCAAAATTTGACTATTATGGGGGCAGGAATGCGCCCTTACCGTATATAGTTCTTTAGTGTGTTTATTCAAAACTTACTTTCATGATAATTTTGTTAATTACATTTGAACTACAAAAGTTGAAGTCCAAAACTTCATCTGGTTCAAGAGTTTTTATTGTACAGTCTGTAAGCACTCCTTCCTCTTCAAGGCTATAATGAAATTTCAAAATCAATTAAGTCTCAAATATAGCAAAACTTATCAACAGAAAATACATACCAAATTCCATTTTTTAAAACTCTTGTTTATGTTAGCTAAATAAAGAACCAAATATCTTCCACTTGAGCCAGTTTACATACCAAATTTTATAAACATGAATTATATGTTGACAGACACATGACTTACACTAGAACCAAGGGACATCCATAGCCAGCATAACACATTTTAAGACTGGTTGTAACTCCAGGCAAAGAGGTGCTCCCAAATATTGTTAGACATTCCTACAATCATTCACAAACAGAACTAGCAGAGTGAAGAAAACTAAGGTTAAAACAAAATATGAAGATAGAATAAATTATAATTACCAGAAGAACGGTCAGGTTGATTTTAAATGTGATCTGTTCATCTTTAACACTGAAATGGTGAAAAACTCCCTCCTGGATAAAGGCATTGGCCTGCACACATTTCGAATCTTCCACTGTCACCTTGATCCCTAAGGAGCTTGCAAAAACTGTTGCTGTCTTAAAAAAGAAACAATACCAACATAGCCAGGTGCTTAATTGATAATTAATTTTACAGGTTTATTGACCTTTTTAACTTCAAAAAAAATTATCATGACTATCCAAGTCCCCATTATGGTCTTTAAAAGATTCCAATTCATTTATTTATTTACTTTTCAAAATTAAAATATTTTTATGGAAAAAATCCTCTAAAATCAGGGGGAAAAACTTGCTGAATGCAGATTATTTGAATTTGTGTACTAAATTACTGAAAGCAAGCAATCACTAGTTACAAACCATGCCAACAGAATGTCATATGATAATTTCAGTAATTGAAAGGGGTCAATGTTAGGTATGGAACGCTTGACGATGAGAAATGCATAAGCATGTTGCAACTAATCTCAGCGAGATTCGTCGAGACTAAAAATTAAGGACTGAACGTCTCTTCGACAGTCGAAGACTACAGTCAAAGAATTACCTTCTACCATAAACAAAACAATCAGCACTTACATAATTAACTTTAAGTAATGATCTTCATAGGGACCTATATACTAGTATATAGGTCCCTGATCTTGATAAAAAAAAAATAGTTCTGGTCTGTTGATTTTAGTGAATTTTACAAACTTTATAAATACCTCTTTGAAATGAATTGCTTTCAGTATATTTGAAACATTCCTTGCGTTGTCCAGCTTTGCGAGCATTACATAATGGCTTTCACTGTCATCATGCTGAGTAGATAGAGACATTTTATTCTCACTAAAACATCATTTCGCCTGCGAAGGAAATTCGAATTTCCGCGAAAACTAAGCCTTTTTAAACATCGAACCCGATGTTATTACTATAAAACAACAAGGCTTGAATTCCCTCAAATGATAATATTGAAATAAGTAATTTAGATTTCAATTATGTACTCAGTGTCTTGTTCCTTAAACATTTTGAATTATTTTAACATTTAAGATATTTAATATAAACTTCTACCATAATATTTCAATTGCTGTAAATGTAAAATAACGTTCAAATGATTAAAATATATGACCTTGTCGGACAATCAGTGGGCGAATCTAGAGAAAACACAAAGAACTACAAAACTCACACAATACATAAAGTACATTCTTTTAACCTCAAGATTCTTTATAAAATATTTTCCAATGATCAGGGGGTGGAGCTGATCCATAGCCAGAAATTATTATATTTAAGACCCCCCCCCCCCCCCGGGCTGTGCATCTTTTCCAAGAAATAGTTGTTCACTGATTTGTTCTTTAGTTTGGTTTCTACATTTTTTTTGTTTCCTGTATGTCTACCAAATTTTTGTTTCTCTTCGTATATTTCTCTCTAAGTATTTTTATTCGATTATGGAACCTGATTTGGTAAGATTTTTCGCTCCTTGGGGGGTTCTTTGGTTCTTCGAGAAAGGAGATGGGTGAACAAGGCGTGCAGAATGCCTATAGCTTCATATGTATAAAATCATAATCAGTTTGTGAATTTAGTATTTAGAGTCAAGTTCTCATTATTGAAATAAATGAAATTATGATAAACAAAACTTGAAATTATGATAAATCAAAACTTTTCTGAGGGAAATTTTATCGGAAAAAATTATTTTGTTATTAAAAAAATTATTGGTATTCGTGGGGTTCGAACCCTAGCAATAAAAATCCTGAATATCCTATTTTCCTTTGAGGCTAACACGCTAACCACTACGCTACACATCTCTTGATGAATTGTGGCATTTACTATAGTATATCATGTTTGTGATATGACCCTTTACTAAATGAACTTCAAGTATTTCTCGGAAGGATGAGAATGTTGTGTCATAAAAGTGTATTTTTAAGGTATAGTGGGTCTTTACTCCATGTTTTTTGTTAACCAAAAATGTACATTTTTTGGCAAACTTTGAGGATAAACTTTGAAAAATATGGAGCGAAGACCGACTCGTATTGAAAAATTTGTGTTTTAGTATGAGAAAAATTTTAGATGAAATATCAAAGAAAATTTTGTTATAATTGAGATTTAATTTTCATCTTCATGTTTGTTGCACTCGCCTTGTTCGCCCATCTTCTTTATGTGCATCATAAGAACTGCGAACGATAGTATTGTTCTCCCGCCTACCTCCAAGTCAATTTTCAAAAGTTAAGATATTCAAATGATTTTGGATATTTATATTGATATTTATATGGATTTTCATAAAACATTACTTCTTTAGGAAAACAACGTGAGATAACTCTAAAATTTTGGTAAAACTCGTGTTTTTCACTATAGAAATCAAAGGAAAACGGAAAATATTTTTAAAACATCTTTTCCCCCGTGAAACAAAAATTCCTTTTTACGGGTAATATGGACTGCCATTTCACAAATTCATACCAAAACTTTTTGTGTTTCACGGGGGGGAACATATGTTTATATACAAAAAACGACAAAAATGCTTATTTTTTCAGCAATTTCCAAGTGCTTTACAACTGAAACATTATATTTTACTAATAAATATGCTTAATTTTGTATGCATAAAACATAAGAAAAAGATTTAAGAAACATTTATTCATATCCAAGACTATTTCAGAATATGGTGATGCTTTATAGCCCGATTTCAGTGGAAAATATCGTCTACCCCCCTTATTTCAAGAGCTGGAATTAGGGATATTTTACTATTTAGCACTGGAATTAAAATAATTAATCAATTACCATTGAACTGTTCTTTGTATTAAACAAAGATTTTATGGCCAAATTGTCATCAATATTGAATTAAATGGTAGGCGGGAATCGGGAGTTACCGTGCGTAGTTCTTTCGAATTTAAAATTAAAAAAAAAATGTTTTATTTGTTGTTCTGGGAAGCGTACCATATAGTCGAATAGAGATAAAATTGCGTACGTCACTGATTCCTGTACAAAATATTCCATTTTAAGACTACTTGGTCTGACTACTGCTTATGATTAGGTACATCTAAAAGAGATTGTTCAGAATTCTTTAGGGAGCAAGTTGCTTTGCTTCTTGGTTTTTTTTTTTTAAGATCAAAGATGTCACATACATAGGTATGTTAAAACAGAATTTTTCTGCATGTTTAATTGAAATTTAGATCACCAATATGAATAGTTTTCATACACTGATATGACTTGACTACAACTTGACTAAAATCATGCAATGCTAAAAACATTATCTGTCATCCTTGAAGATTTGTAGACCTCAAAGAAGAGCAACTTTTGTTGAGTTACCACTATATTTCAATGCCCATTGATTCAATATTTTTTAAATTCTGGTTTTCGATCAATGGCAAGGAAGGTTACAGATACAAAAATTACTCACAAGGACTTATATAGCCCATGATTTTCGGAAAGAATGTAATGAATGACGATAAGATTTGAATGTCCTGGGGTTTAGGCAGAATTAAACAAGCATTCTGAGAGTATTGCATTAGCAATACTAGTCCCCTACCGGCAAGTTTAATCTGGTTCCCGTTAAAAATATTCCGTCAAAATCATTGAAGCGGAACGAAATGCGAACTTGATCTTTAACTCATCAAGTTTAAGTCACATGCCAAAAATCAGCTCAATATCTACAAGCGTTTAGAAAAAAATTGCGGAAAACCCTGAAAATTTGAAAAGGTCGTAATTCTGTCGAATATCATTGAAGCGGAACGAAATGCAAAGTTGATCTGTAACTTATCAAGATACACTCACATACCAAAAATCAGCTCAATGTCTGCAAGCATTTAGGGAAAAAGTGCGGAAAACCAAGTGGGACAGACTGACAGCTAGACGGATAGACAGACAGTTAAACAGACGGACGGACGGACGGACAGACTCAGAGGAAACCTATAGTCCCCTCCGGTTTCATCGGTAGGAGACAAATAAGAGAAAGTTGTGCATTTTGAGAGTTAACCGATACAGCACTGCACTTTTAGGAGAAAAAAGGATTATGATAAGTAACTAGACGAGCTTGTTGTAAATCAACAAATAAGTCTTCCGTCTAATTTCAAGAAGATGAGATCGAGATCGAGAGACATCTACGACTGTGCAAAATTATGCCATTTACTACTTTCGGCGTGACCGGAAGTGACGTCATTTTGACGACTTTAAATGATCTCCTTAGCTGCTATCTGTTATTCTGAACAACTTTTCTTCTTTGATGCTTTAAATTGTCAACACTTTTTGAGATATCAGGAAAAAACTTTTGGACCCTGTAGCTCCCTAATTTAAGGGGTCAGCCCCTTACTGTTGATATCCTTTGAAAGACCGTGACATTCTGCACATGTTCTATATGTATTAAAAACGTATTTACAGGTAAAAAGACTGTAGAAAAGGTGTTAGAAAAGTTCTCGATAAAACTATATTCGGGCCATAGCGAGCGTTGGCGCATCGTACTTTCGGTTGTAATGATCTACAAAATTCACTTCTCCATAGGTTGCTCTATCATCTTAAATAGGAAACAATTCTTAAGTGTATAACAATTTTTGTTTTATAATTGAATGATTCCTAGCTCTCCGTTTGGCTGAGATCCAACATTGCAGAATGACATGTTAAAATTTTGTCAAAAACCCATCAATACATATTGTGAGCAGAGCCAACACAGACCTCTGAAAACAGAGGTGGGATCAAGTGGCATGGAGGAGTAAGCATCTCCTGTCGACCGGTCACACCCGCCATGTGCTCCTTGTCACGATCGGGAAACAAAAACCGGAAATATATAGCGTTTCAGTGTATAAATAATGGCCTAACAATCAGTATGAAAAACGTCAGTCAGCATTTGACTCAATGACAGGTTGTATGTGCTGACAAGGTCATTGTATCGACCGAAAAACTTGTGAGAAGATAACTTCAAATGAGACTTTTGATATCCTTGTTTCGTCAACTTGTTCTTCAATAGCTTGCCTCGTTTTAGAAATCGTTCATACGTAGAGCATGCTCTTGCTTATCGAATCAACTGAGAGACATAAACCCCATATGCAGGTGATAAGGGTATATTGCTACATAAGTAAGGGAAGTTGACGATTGAAAAGATCATAAAGCTTTGTTGTTAGGTTACCATTAACGTCTTTTTCTAGTAAAATATCTAAATATGAAACAGATGTGTCAGAATCTGTGGTATCTTTTATTTCAAGCTCACTGGGATATATCGACATATGAATGAAAGTAACTATTGTTAATTGATAATACATCGTCGATATATCGAAATGTCGAGTTGAAGGCCACGCCAAGTGTTTTCTTCTTTTTACGTAAAAGACTTTGAACAAATTCTGCTTCATATGAATACAAAAATAGGTCTGCTAATAAGGGGGCGCAATTGGTACCCATGGGTATTCCAACAGATTGTTTGAAGACCTGATCTCCAAAAACTACATAGATATTGTCAATCAGAAACTCAAGCATCTTTTTAATATATACTTCAGAGTAATTGTCTGTACAATTAGAGTGCTTTTAACAAAATAATTTTGTAAATGACCAATGACAAGGTAAGTATATTTACGAGTTCCACTTTTATTGAAAAAGCAGCTGTCTATGATGTCAAAAAGCCTGGACTTCAATTTATCGTGGGGAATGGTTGTATAAAGTGTTGAAAAGTCGTACGTTTTGATGCTATTGATTTTTGTAAAATTTAGTGATTCAAATTTTCCAAAAGTTCTTTGGAGTTTTTAAGTATCCACATCTGATTTACACTACTTCTCGAATATACTGTTGAACAGTACTCCTGAAGTTTCTCTTCATTACAGTAAATATTTTAATGAGGAGTAAAGAAAGAGGCTTGGTAGAACATTTACTGGAACCCGCTATGTATCTTTGTTTGTAAGGATTTTT